TTGTAAATTCGCAAAAAAAATTGATAATTTTTTTATTTTTAATTTTCCACATGAGATTTTTTCGCAATTTTTTTTTTTTTTTAAAGAAATTTTACTGAAATTTGGAATTGAAATTTTATCATTCCAGTGAAGTAGGAATTTATTATTTCTTTTCGAAGACAAATTCACAAATTTTCTTTTTTCCAAAATATTATTAGCAGTAGATTTTGCTGAATTTTTTTTACATGTAAAATAATTATTTTTTTATTTATTTATTTGATTATTATTAGAAATAATAATAAAAGTTAAGTTAGCTAATAATAATATTTTTTTTTTATTAGTTAATTATTCGAAAATTGAATTTTCGAGTTTTGAAATTAAAATTTATGATGCAGGAATAAAATAATATTTTTCATATATTATAAAGCAGTTTATATTTAATAGAAATTCTGTACATCCTTTCTATAAAATATTAAAAATACCTTTTTAAAAATTGTTTTAGTGCAATAATGTCGCCAATAATTTATGAAATATAAGAAATTTATTTTCAAGATATATTGAAAATATTTAAAATAATATTTCTTATAAAATACTATTATTATTTATTTTTGTGCATAAAAATTAAAAACTTTGTTTGTTTACTTTTTTTTAATTAATTAATTAACTAAATAAATATTTTAAAAAAAAATTATCGCTTGCGTGAAAAATGCTTTATACGCATTTGGATTAAAGAAAACGACACCATAAATCTCTAATCTGAACGCTAAAGAATCTTATGAATGTTGGAAGCTGGGAAATCTCGTCTTCTCTTGAGAGGAGAGATCTGCCGACAATGTTTGTAAACAAGCGGATTAGCCGCAGGAAAGAGTTCTAGGTTCATGGTCGTTCAGTGATAATAATTTTTCGTTTTATATACCGTATATATTTTGTAATAAAAAAATATGTGGTGTATTTATTCGATAATAATATGTACTTTCGATAACAATTGTAATGAATATTAATGAATTATATATATATATATATATATATATTGTATACACATAAGCTATATACACACACACATATATATATATTTATTTATGATGTCACTTTAGATTGATAATAGCAGTTTGTAAAAAAAAAAAATTTTTTTTTCTAAAAATTAACTAGATATGATTAAAATGATTTCCTCTTAATTTAAATTATTCTGAATAGTAAATTTATAAACTGATAGCAGTTAAAATTTTTAATTAATTAATTACAATTTATTTATGACATTTAAATTTATATTCAATTGTATTTATATATATCTTAATTTATTATCTATTTTCATTTTTTTTTAATATATATCTATTTTTATTTTCTTTATATTATTATCTATTTTTATTTTTTATTAGAATTATTTAATATTATATATGTTTTAATTTTTGAAAACATAAAATAAAAAAGTGGATTATATAATAATTTATCATTCATTTTCTTTGTACTTGTTTTTGTTATAATTTTTTTCTCTCATAGCCTTGATCATGGTTATAGACTCTTTTCCCGATTTTTTTTTCTCTCTGTGAATAAACTGTACAAGTATATGAGAGCTAATTATATCCACTAGCAATAACTATAAAACCATCTGGGATCAAGTCTCGAAAAATTTTTTAAGAAAAATTGAAATGAAAATGATTTTTTTTTTTTTTTGCTTATTTTCAATTTTTGAGAAAAATTTTTTATCTTATGAATTTAGTTTTATAGTTTTCAATTTTCGATGTGGGAAAATATTTTCAGGCATTTTTGCTAGTTTATAATTTAAAAAAAAAAAATTCTTAGAATGAAATCAAGTGAATATTTTTAATTGATAGATGGTAAGATTTCGTCATATCCCCCCTTGAATTAACATATTAGTTCCTCTGCGTTAATTTGAATATAATAGAGAGAAGAAAGACTTATTGGTTGAAGTTATAAAGGAATGTGATTTCCAACCGGAACTAGTAACCTTTCTTCACTTTAAAAAATTTTTTTTCTTGTATTTAAATATTTTATATAAATGTAAAAAAAAATATATATTTTTTTTAATATCTCTAGTTTACAATTATATAAAAATTCCAGTCGCCTTCAGATTATTAATGACTCATCTCCAAAATGATAGAGCCCGAGTCACAAAATTGATTACACTCTTGTCCAATATTAAATTTTTATTCTCTTTTTTTAAATATCAATTCGTTTTCTCAACTTTTATTATCAATTTAATGTGCTGGATATTATTTTCTACAAATCTTTTGTAAAAGAAACTTCATAAATTTTACATGATATAAATAAATAATAATCCGGCAATAATATAAATAATTTAATGGATTAATTATTTATTTGATAAGTTTTTATTAATATTGTTGTTATTATTACCATTATTATTTTTAAAAAAATACTTTATTTATTCGTTTCAAAATAGAAGTCGTGTAATTTGAAACAGGAAAGAAAAATTATATAGTCAGGAAGTTGAATTAAAATTTAAAAAATATTTCTCTATTCAAATAATTACGTATAGAATTAAATTAATAAAAAGAAAGGTTAAATTAATAGATTTAATAACATTAACAAAAGAATTGACAGCATTTGTGACAATATAAATAATAATTGAAATGTATAATTATTAAATAAAAGGTTTGTGTGTGGTATAACCAAGGTTATATTATTATATTTGATTTTAGATTCTGTTCACATTTTTAAATATTATCTGACATTAAAATAATTGATATCTTTTTAGAAAAAAGAAATTTCAATATTTTTAAAAAATTGGAATTTAATTTTTCATCTATAACATATAATTTAAAATTCAAATTTTGTTTGATTAATGACGGATCTTTGAATTAGATAAAAAAAAAAGAATTTATTCTGTTTATTATTAATTATAATATTTTACTAAATACACATTAATGCAATTATTATTATTAGAAAAAAATATTTGATAAAAACCTTGAAAAATGTCCCAAAAATTATTAACATATTTTTCTATTCAAATTTTTGTGTCAGTTTTTTAATAATGGAAAATTGTTTTAATTTTCAACAATTTAAATTAATATTTTTTATAATTAAAAACAAAAGAATTAATAATAAAAATATTTTTTTTATTAATTGTTTTTAATTAAATAAAAAAAAGAGTTTCTGAAAAATATATTTATGAATTTATAGGAACATTTCCATTAAGTTGAAGAAATTTAATTGGAAATATACCGACTTAATAATTATTTCTAACTAAGAAATAGCTACTTTAAAGTGAACTAACTTAATTGAAAGTGATTACATTAAATTAAGGTTCATTACTTTGATACTGACAACAAGTTCTCAATTATATTCATTTTCTCTCCAAAATGGTTATGTATATGATTTAGAAAATAATTTATTATACTTTTTATATAAATAATTTTTTTTTACATAATCTAAATAAATATTTAACCAGATTTATTAATATCGTGGAAACTTTTGTCATGATTACACACCCAGCAAAAAGGTTGAATATTGATTTTAAAAATGCTTTGGTGATATATTCCTATATAAAATAATTAATAAATGAAATATTTTCAAAAAATTATAAATGTTATGCTTTTTAAATTAATAATAATAATAATTTGTGAGTTAATAAATATTTCATATTTTCAATATATTGTATAATTAAAAAAAGTTTATTTGATTTTCATATTGCAATTTGAATGTCTGTATTTTGAAATTCAATTTATCAATGTTTCATTTTCGTGTCAATTTTATACGGTTTCCGATTTCAGTGAAAAACTTTTGCAAATGGAAAATGCGTTATGAAGAGTTTTTCTTTTTTTTCAAATATTGAAAAATATTGTATATAACAAATAAACTTCCACGAATAAAAATTTCGTTTACATAATCATTTTTGTGTTGCCGTGGTAGGAGTTTAGTTTTCTTTCTCTTTTTTTTGAATAGATCTCTCGATAATGCTTTTCTCTGCACTTTAAACACAAACACAATTGAAAAATTCAAATTTCGAAAATAATATTGATTTTCACACGTCGTAAAAAAGATTTTTTTTAAATAATTTAAATTCAAATAATATTCAAAATGGTAAGCATTTTAAATTATAATTATTTGATTTGTAATTTATTACAATTTTTTGAATGTAAATTGTGTCGTTTTTTTAATAAAATAATTTTTTATTCAATATTTAAGAGAAGGAAACTTTCTCTCTGAATGTTTTGGAATTCCCGCACTTTTTTTTTTTTTTTTTTTTTTTTTTTTTAATTCACATTAATGCAAAAATGCTAAATTGTTGGAAGAAGAGTCGAAACTTTGTTTGACGTTAAAATGCGGTGCGTATTATAATACTCACAAAACCGACTCTCTGCAGTGAATCAAGTTTTCCTTGAACCTTGCGCCTGGCGCGAGAACGTATTATAATTAATAATTCGTCGTCGTATATATTGAACGCATAAAGTCGTATAACAAACTTTCATTTACTTTATATCATTTTTAATCATTAAGACAGAAAAAAAAAATTCTTTCAAAAAAATTTATTAAAATTCCTCTCTTATATTTTTTTTGTTTTTATCAAAATTAGTTATTTTACAAAAATTTTTATTTATTTATTTATTATTTTTTTTCTCTAAGGATGCTGAAAATACAGAAACAGACTAATTAGATGATTTAGTTATTATTATGATATTTTTTTTATTAATAGTTCTAAACGGTCGTTAACATTTTAACCTTCGTTATTTATTAATTAATAAAATATTTCATTCATTTATTCATGTATAAAAAGTAATTCATGTGAAAATTTAAATTTTAAACTTAATAAAGCAGAAACATTTTTATTGATTTAATAATATGACAGTAAATTTTTCAATATATACAAATTTAGTTTTTCATGAGGCATGTAAAATTATTTTATAACAATAATAATTTATAAGGCATGAAAAATTATAATTATTAAATGTCAGTTATTAAGGCATGACGTAATATATATTTTATTAATAAAAAAAATAAAATTTTGTAAAAGAATGATATTAATTAATTTTGATTATTTTCAGACGGCCCTCAGTAATTTGGAGGAAATGCAACACAATTCAATGTCCTATCGAAATAATGAGAGAGGAAGAAGTATGGGAGTTGGTCCAGTGAGACCGCGACCGATGGAAAAAAGACATGATACATCACCTTACAATTATTTATCACCACCACCATCAGACACGTGGCGAAGAACTAATTCTGATTCTGCCCTTCATCAAAGTGCCAATGAGGCCTGCCATTCATCGTCATCTATGCATCATCGTCGAGGTAGCGATGCATGTCGGTTTCCAATTTTTTTTCTCTTAAATTTCTTTTTTTTTTTTGATAATTATTATATATACGCAGAGACATTTTTTATTCATATCAAATTCTATAATTTAAATTAAAAAATGAAAAATTTATTTGTCTCAGAGTTAAATTTTATTTGACATAAATAAAATTTGATTTGAAATTTAATTTTTATTTCAATTAAATAAAATTTATTATTGAAACAATTAATAATAATTATTCATAAATATATTTTTTCTCTGTGTGTATCTAATACACTTTTAGAAATCAAAAAAATTTTCAGAATCGAGAAAAAATATTTTGTATTTTGATAGAATTTTTGTTTTGCAGAACTGAAAAGAAATGGTCACTTTAATGGAAGTCTGAAATGAAATCCGAATTTTCATTTAAACTTGTCCTGTTGTGAAGACATTTATTTATATATAGAAAGTACGCAAATATAATAGAATGAACATGTTTAAAGAACACAACATGATTTAGTAAAATACTCTAAAAGCTACCGTGAAAGAATCATAAATTTCAAAACCCTTGGAGAGCCAAGGGATTTTACAGACATATTTTCTTCGACAAACCTTGTTTCATATGTATACATATAGAGAAACTCTCACGTTATATATGGAAATTCTTCGTCTTTCGGAGGAAAAAAAAAATCTGACCATTTCTCTTCTTAGATTTTATTACCAGTATTTCAAGTTAAAAAAAAAAGAAAATGACTTTTTCTTTAAATTGAATAACGAAAAGTTATTTGAATTTGGAAATTTAGTTTATTATTATTCACTTGATTTTGAAAATTGATTGATTTTTAATTTTCCATTTATTGATGAAATTGGAAGTTTAATTTTAAATTAAAAATTTATTTTTTTCTTTTTATAATATATGTAAAAATGTTTATGAGTAATTTGAAGTTCGCTAGAGAGAGAGAGAGAGAGAAAATCTTTAAGATGAACAATACGACATTCTATATGTCCTTCTTAGAAAATAGAATTGTTACACGAGAGTTGAAGGCAGGATATCTTGAATTTCTCGTCTTTAGAAACAAAGAGGAAATAGTGAACGAAGTTTAACGAACTTTTCAAATAGCTCATTGGCATGTATTGAGTCGTAAATAGTCAATTCACCTTTTAAACTTCGTCAATATATTTCTAATATATAGTTACAAATCATATACACATAATAGACAAGAGGAAAAATAAAAATGCTTTCCTCTCTTTTATCGTTAGTATAAAATTATATTTTATCAAAGAAACGAATTTTTTGATTTGCATTCGATAATTCAATTTGTATTTCCAATTTTTTAATAGTATTGAACAATTTTTATTTCTATTTTTAATAAAAATAGAAAATAAATTTTTTATAATAATGAAAAAAAGATAAATAATTGACGATTACCTAAAAAAATTTTTAATTCAATTTATTTTCAATTAATTTAATTCAGTTATTTTTAAAAATTGAATTTTTGATTTTCACGTTTTTTACACACTCCCCTTAATTAAATGAGAATAATTTTTCTCTCTATCAAATATGTAATAATTCGAGAATCCTTTTGGAAAATTTTTTTGTGTTTTTTTTTCTTTTATCTGAATCAGTCGTCATTTGCTTAATGAATTCATTAGCATTTTCATTAATATGACGACAATTACAACGATTGACCTAGGTCCAATTTATTTACAGAAATCAGGAAAAGTTACAATAAAAGAATAATAAAATTTAAAAACAATAAAGTAAAATAATTATATAGAAAAATTTGATTCTAGTATTAAAAATAAATTATATAAAATTATATAAGTGAAAATAAAAAAATAAAAATTATTTCTTTTTACTAAACCAGAAGTAGATTATAGTAATATTTCATAGTGTTGATTTTAATAGAAAGTAACTGGACTTTTCGTAATCGGAAATTGATTTTTAACACGTATATATATATATTTCAGGTTTTAAAGTTGTTTTATATATATAATAATCTGGAGAAAAAAAAATTAATTTCTCATTATTTATTGCAGATCAACATATGGGCGGAACTGGTAATGAAAACAGGGAACTTCACGGGTTCATTGAACGACCAAGATCTTCCTGTGAAATGCCCAGGGTGCCTGGTATCAAGTATGTATAGAAATTGAATTTTATAAGATCGAATTTTTTATAACAAATTCTTATGTTAATTGTAAATGAATTATTATTTAATTATATTATTAATTAAGTATAATATAAATGAATAGTGGAATAATTGTTATTCGAATGTTTTTTAGTATTTATCCGAGTGCACAACCACCGGGGCAGCAGATTCCTATAAGCAACAATACAGGATCATTGCCCGACCTGAGTAATGTACACTTTGCATCTCCTCTTCACACCCCTCTGGACCAGGAGGAACACTCGAGTGGCGGTTCGCCCTACAGCAATGTAAGTTTCACAATTAGCTTTCTGCTTTATTTTTTTATTCTTCACCTGCTCACTTTCTATGAGGCTCCCCATTTTTTTTTCTTTTTTTTAACTAGCTTTTTCTCTTCTAACCAAGATGTGAGGTTACATTTTACAATTTCTTCCTTTTTTTTACACGAATAATAATAATTTTTCTTTTATCGATGTTTCCAACTTATTTTTTGTAATTGACTTTTTTTTATTCATCAAAAATTGCAATCATAAATATTTAATTAATTGGAAATGTTTATTTTAAAATATTTTATTAATGTAAATAATTATACAATAATATTGTATAATTTATATATTTTTATATATGAAAAAGAAAATTTTTTTTTTATTATATTTCTGATTCTTGTATATAAGAGGAGTGAAGGCGAATAAAAATGATTCAATTTGCAAATGTCAAATATTGATTTAAAGCTTGTACGTTAAATAAAAAGAAATAGGAAGCTTGACTTTTCGAAGCCTTGAAATATTTAATTTCCGTCTTTGAGAACCATGAAACTTTGATAAAGAAATAAAAAAGAACTAATGATAAGCATTTTTGATAATCATGCAGATATTTTGATTGAACAAGTGTCTTTAAAAAAATAATATTGTTCCAATATATCCGACCTGGTATTCATATTTTTATAACATCGATAAAAAACGAAATACAGTTTTTTAGATTATGAATAATTCCTCTCGTATTGGAAACTCTAAAGAGAAACGATTCAGATGCAAATCACTGTGTTTCACTCTCCCGAGAGTTTTCTAAAGGCTATCCGGGATAAATCTTGATTTTCAAGACAGAGATTTAAAAAAAAAATTTATTTTAAAAATAAGAAATTACAAAAAATGTTGTTATTAAAGTACCCTATTTATTTTTCACTTAGAGATACAATTTTTTTAGAACGGGAAAAAAATTCTATTGTTTGATAAGATAAGGATATTTTTTTTTTATTTTCGGAAAGACAATGTTTCTCTATTCTTTTATAAAGGACCATTTTTTTTTTTTTAATTATGCAACGATTGCTATTTTTTTTTTATTTTCCTTTTGTCTTTTTTCTTATATAGCAGTATCGAAAGTTTTACAAGCTGTCTGGAAAAACTAAAGTCTCTTTAATACAAGAACTATTTGCAAATGTTATTCAAGCCATATTCGACCTACATCTTCTTGCGTGTTTTTATCTTCCTCTCTGATTCATTTTTTTTTTTTTTTATTATTTTTTTTTTCTTCCGGTTTTTTCTAATTTTAGACTCGGTACACTAGGTTCATGTCTGAAAATAGAAAACATACATTCACCAATTAATTTTTTTTTTTTATTTATTTAACTTCCCTCACACTATTGAATAATGCGTGATAAGTGGACTTACTTGAGAAAGTCGTGTCCACTTTCCAATATATTGGTTTTATTATTAAAAAATACATAAATAAAATAGAAAAAAAAATTCTATATCGAAGTCGACCTTTCTATTCTTGGATTATTTTTCTCGAAACTATTAGCACATTTTCCATTTTTTTTTCCTTTTACACTCGCGGAGAAATCGCTTAATTTTTTACACGGGATATTTTACAATGGATTTTTTATTTGCTTTTTTTTGTATTTTGTTGTTGTTTTAGTTGAAAAAAATTGAATTATCTGTAAAAATCACATCTTATTAAATTTTATGAAATGAAGTAATATAAAACATTTTATTAAAATTAAAAATGGATTTTTTTTTTGAGAAATGAATTTGAAGAAAAAAAAGTAAAATAAAGGAGCTGTTCTGAAATAGTGTATGCGATATTGCAGAGTCCTCAAACGAGCAGTCCTACAAATTTGTCGCCAACCAGCTTGACGCAAGCTGGGAGGCTGTCCTTTTCACAGGAACACAGCCCGCCAAGCATCCAAGTAAATATCCTTGCGATCCTCTTAAATAGTCTACCGCCATGTTGCTATCCGATACGAAATACAACCAACAACATTTTTCATATATTTTGCCTTTTCTCTAAAAAATTTTCTACAAAAAACTTTTGCCATTTTTTTGCGAAACTAAAATTTTACCTTCACTTTGAATTTTTTTTCTCACACAGAGAATTTATTAATTAATCAAATTAATTATTCATTTAAACTAATTAATTTTATCAATTATTTTACAAATAAAATTAATTAACAAGTGATTAATTAATTTTTAATTTATTATTTCAACTCTAATTTATTTTATAATTGAATTACAGGGAGTAATCTAAATTGTGTACTGATTCATTACATTCTCTCTTTCTTCGTTTGTATATTTTTAGATTGAAACAATTTTTTTTTTCTTTTTTTTTCTGAAAGGGCCACTCACGTTTCTTTCGTATCGGATCGCAGGGCGCGCTTGTAAAGCGAGGTAAATGAAAGGCGTTAAGAGAATACAAAGTCTCGTAGTTAAATCTTTTAACGAGATACTTGGCGAACTTGAAGGATTCATGGGAATTAAATTTGTCCTCAAAAATACTTTTTATTACTTTTTTTCCATACTTTTTTTAATACTAAAATAAGAAAATAAAATTTAGTGGATAAATAAATAATATTTTCATTAATAAATTATTGTTGCAAATATGTAAAACAAATAAAAAAATCAACAAGTAGAAAAAAAAATAAAAAATCTATACTTTTGGCTGAAAATATTAAATTTGTCAATTGTGTCGTTCAGAGAAATAACGAATTTCAAGTAAATGAAAATCAATAATTATTTTGAATAATAATTTTTTTTTTCAAAAAAATTTGCCTTGCTTTACGTTTGTGACGCCCAGTAGTTCGTTATAAAGTAGAACTACTGTGTAGCTGCATGAGACGGACTACTTTTACCTCTCTCAATTATTATTATTATTTTCAAAACTACTAATCTTAGCATTTCACTTTTTTTCCCCTTAATTTAATTTAATAAAAAAATTTTAATTAATTAAAATATCTTCTTGAGATATATTTTTTTAATTTTTTGAAAAAATATTTTCATTAAAATTTCAATTAATCTAGACGATTACGTTTATTATGTTACTTATGAATATTTTAATTACATTTCATTGAAAAGTGATTTTTTTTTTTTTTTTTGAAAGCTTTTACTCTTTATATATGATGATGAAAGGAAAAAAAATCACAGAGTTTCTAAACATTCATTACCATTTTTGCAAAACGATTCTATATTTGAACCGCATAATCATGCAAATATACTTTCCAGTCATATATTTTCAAAGTCACAACAGAGAAATTTTTTTAAAAATATTTTCCTTTTCTAAATCAAAATATTGTTTTTACTATTTTTACTGTTTTTATCGATTTTTCGAAATATTTTTTTTCACTTTCTTTTATTTTAGGGTGGGGGAATAATTTTTTATGCGAATATGCTAAAGAAAGTAGTTTTGAGGAATAAAAAAAATATTGAGAGATGAGGATAGCAAGAACGAATTGTTAATTCTGCTTGATAAATTTAATTGAAAAATGCTTGTGCAGTTCTAGACTGTCTGAGTGTTATATATATATATATATATGAGAATTAGGAAAAACCATCTTTTACTTTTATGTTACATGCTTCAGAGTAATTTTCTTTTTATATTAACGACAATTTTAGAGTTAATTGTAGATTTAAGTTCCCCTTAAGTTCCCCTACACCTAGTATTGTATTTAATATATAAATGAATAATAATTCCATTTTCGAATATCTATTTCAATCAAAAAATTTATTTTCTTTTATAAAATTAACAAAAAATAATAGAAATTTAAATATTATTTCTGAAAATGAAATTTTCCTTTGGTTAAAAATTTTCTCTTTATATCAATATGAGAAAAATAAATGTATTGTTTTAAATTATTAATAATTTTTTACCAGGGATGAAAAAAACAAAAATTGTTAAATATCAAATATCATATGAAAAATTCGAAAATGGAAAAAAAATATGTTGAGATGTATTTTTAATTGTTAGTCGCACACAATGTTTGTACCTTGTTATTTGCTTTTGATTTTTGTGCTTAAATGGCTGGTTTTTAATTTGGTTCATTTTTTATTTTTATTTTGCCTTCGTTGTAGCGGTTTTTTGTCTTTGTTATTTTGCAGAACCATTTATCAGTGCCTGTTAACTCTAGGTATCTTCCCACATTTAAGGTCAGTAGACACCAACATTTTTTTTCTTTAGTTTTTAATTTTTCAATATATAATTTTTCTCCGGATTTTCTGTTTTCCTTATTTTTTTTCCTTTTTTTTGTACACACAGCGCTTGTTATCACTGGCGATCGTTAGCGTTCCGGCAAAGCTTCTTTTATTGTTTTTGCTTGGACTGTGCAAATCACAAAGAAACAATTTTTTTTTCTATTCTCATAAAGCAAAACTTTATTCACTGTGTGTTGCACACTTCTTTATTAATTCACAATCTCGAATGAAAAGTCACTAATTTTAATCAATATTTATAATATAATTTAAGAAATAATTATTTTTATTTAATAATTATCATTGTCGAAAAAATTATTTCCTACGAAATTTTAGTCTTTAAATCAATATTGATCATTTATTTGATTAATAGTTAATTAATTGATCATTCATTTGATTGATTGATCATTTATTTAATAAATTCATTAATATTAGATTAATTTAGACAGTTTATTTGATTAATGATTAAAAAATTTTATAAACGGTTTGAATTTTTTTTTTAATTATTAATTAATTTGAATTATTGTTAATTGATGATTTATTAACATTATTAATTATTTGATTGATAATCAATGTTAATTTAACAACATTTTAGTCTTTCAATTTCTTATAATTACGATAGAAGAATAATTTTTCGCCTAATCGCGTGAGAGGTAGGAATTAATTGATAGTAAAGTTAGGAATTAATTGTAAGTAATATGAAAATTTTTATTGATAAATACAAGTGTCAACAGTGAATGAATTTTGCTGATGATGATTAATAAATATAGAAAATAGATGACGTGATACACATATTTAGGGTAGCTGATTAGACTTGAGTCGTTATCAATGAAAGAAAAATTAAAAAAAAAAAAAAAAAAAAAATAGGTCATTACTGCTCTCTAATTATTCTTGGTATGAAGCAGGGTGTGGCGCTGGAAAACAGCACAAGTACTTCACCGCAGGATCTTCAATCGTATTCCCAACAACCATCCCAACAACCTCAACAGACAAACCAGTGTCAAGGACATTACATTTATCAACAGTCACACAGTCCTATAGCTCAGCCTCAAAGTCCAGTGAGTAATGAAAAAAAATGCCTTTTTAATTATAAATATAGGATCAGAATCTAGAAATTTATTTATTGAAACACAAATATTTTCTAAAAACCATTAATTCAATTGGATTTAATTACAATAAGGCTGAATTTTAATTTAACAAAATTTTATAAACAAATTTTTATAATTTTATAATTATTTTTATTTTTTATTGGAATTAAAAAGAAAATTGGTGTTGCAGAAATCATCGCAGTCACCACAACAACCTCAGCAGGCCTCACCGCTCAATTCTTTGGGATCCTACAGGACACCCCAACCAGTTAATAGGCCATCACCTCAATCTTCGCCTAGTCTTACACTTCAAGTAAATATTTATTATATATCAATTTATAAAGATTTACGAGTCATTGAATAATTCCCCACATTTTTTTCAAATCAAATTCGATTTTCTTTTTTTTAGGGGAGTCCTTTGAGTTATAGCAATAATCCGTCAACGCCATCGAGTCCAATGGGAGGACATATGCAACATCCAAACTTAACATCGGATAGTCTAGATCAAAACAGCTACTATATTAATCAAGTTCACTCCGATTTTGAGCAATTCAGTATGGTTAGTATTTCAAAAAAAGAACAAAATTATTCTTATTTATCATATATTTTGTTAAATTTATTTACAATTTATTTATTTCTCTGTCAGTTAAATTCAAATCAATTTTTAATCGAATTTTTCCTTTATTTTCATGCAAATAAAGGGAATGGTGAGTGTTCTTTTTTTCGATTAATATAATTTTTAATTAATAATAATTTATCATAAAATATAATTTTCATAATTGCTAAATAATAATTAACATGTTTTATTATCATCATTAAATAATTATATAATAATTAATATTACTTATATTAGAGATTGAAAAGAATTTTATTTTCATTAATTAAAATAGAAAATGAATAATTTCTTTTCTTTCAAAAATAGATAAATTCATGAATTTTTGAAATAATCAAGAAGCCGATGAGATTGAATCACAACAGTATTCTTTTATTGAAAGCAGAACAAATCAATTTTCAGTAATGTTTCATTAAGTGAATGAAAGAGCAGGAATTTATTATTCTGGGCTAATGAATTATTTTTTGAATAATCGTGTCGAAGAATCGTCCGAATAATGAAAAAGTGACATAAGTAGCAAAAAAAAATGGAATATTTAATTTTTTAATTTTATCTCTAACGATCGTTTAAAAGGCAGCTTTTTGAAAATTTCTCGTAAAAATTCTTTTCTAATTTTGCTCTCAAAATGCTTCTATATCAAGTATTAAAGTCCAGAATTTCTCACATTTTTAAGAGTGGCAGTCAAATTGAAACTTGACTTCTCGCTCCCCTTTTTTTTCCTATGTGGTGAACTTTTAAGAATGCAAGAAGAGGGTAAAGCAGACTTTAAAAAATTCGGGCTCTACTTGTACGAGCGAATGTGAACAAAAAAAAAAGAAATTTGAAAGCTTCCTCTTCTCGCATGAAAATAATGAGGAACCACTTTGCAATTAGCGCCTGGAAAATGTTTCTCCACCAAAAAAAAAATTAAAGAAAGAAAAGCTGTCAAAATATTTTTCAATTTTTCACATTATAATCTTTAATATTATTCCACCTTGAATTAGTAATTCGTAAAAATTTATAAAAATGTTCCATTTATTGAATATTGTATAAATGAAAAATAATTAACTTTAATTATGAAAATTGAAAAAGTTATGATGATTAGTGAGGAAATAATTACATGTGTACAATATAGTAAAAACAAGGTCATTGATAAGTGAAATGAGAAAAGTGATCGATTCGTGGCTTTTTTTTTAAAATGAAAATATATTGCTATCATGAAAAAATAATATTCCTGAAATGAAATTTTTAAAAAAAGTGTTTTTAAAAAAAAATATTGCTCTTTATTTGTTGCCTGCTTCCGTTAGGATTGGGTGCAAATGATGCAACAGCTCGCGGATTCCGGTTATGCCTTGGCCACGCAGCTAGAGGTGATGAGATCTTCCCCTTCGTAAAACGACTTTGGCAATCTCTCGCCAATTCCATTACAGCCAATCGGATTTTTTTCCTCTGCTTTTTTTTTTATTTAGTTTCCTCAAATAAACGACGATCTCGGTTTTTGCGTTTTATAGCAAAAAAAAATATTTAATTTAAAAATTATATTTTTTTCGCGATATTTAAAATTTTATTCTTTATTTTGTAAATTCAGTTTTATTATTAAAAGAAAAATAATAAGTTATTAAATCAATTGAGTGATTGAAATTTATTTGAGAGATTCTAATTTTATTTCTTAGGTGCTTTCTTGTTCGCGTGTTTAATTGATTGATTCTTTCAAGAGGTTCTTCATTTCTCTCATCTGTTAATAGGTATTCTGCAATAGCTCGAATCATTAAAAAAGTTAATATTATTTTTTAAAATGAAAATTCATTTATAAGAAAATAAAATTTAACACAGATTGAAATTTTTTTTTATCAAATTCAAAAAGAAAGGCTAAAACTAACAATAACAAGAAAAGAAAATGCAGAAAATCATTTAATCGATGAGAAATTCGGATTTATTTTCAGTTATTATTAAAAGCGACCTATGGCCATATATTTAATTTAAAACTTTCTTTTGCGAAACATTTTCAGATTTTTCATCCATATATTTTTTTAAAATTCGGGAAAATAAAATAATAATTTTCTTTTTACGTTTCTCGTAGCTTGATACATCGCCGTCTGTGACATCAACGACAATGGGAACATACATTGGATCTCCAAATCACACTTCCAGTTACTCACAGGTATTTTTATTTTCTTGTTAAATTATCTTAAAATCTTGAGATTTTTAATTTATTTTATTTACTTTATTTTTTGTAGAATGATACTACCGATGTTTATCAAAACGTTAGTAGTGATCTTGGTAGTGGAGATGCTGCCTTCTTTAGTGCAACTTCACTTCAAATCGGTTATCGACCTAGAACGCCAACGACAACTCAACAATTGACGCCCCAAACGCCAAACACCCCAACAATCACGCTCACAGGTATTTAATTAATGAAAAAATAATTACAGATTTTAGAGAACAAAAAATTGTATAATTATATATTGTAAATGTAAATTTACAGATTGTTCGTTGGGTACAGGGGATTTGAGTAATTCCGATTTTACAAAGGACCTGGTGCCATCGTTAGTGGAATCATTTAGTCCTGATATATTTAGTACGGATGATTCTCTTCGACAGGATCCTCTTAATGCTCTCAGACAAGATCTCGATCCATTGGATATCGAAGATCTACAAAGGCTCGCTGACAATTCTGATATGGTTATATCAGATCCATGCGCTGAAGCTCATTTCAGGTTAGAGCACCGCTAAAGACCAGAAAGAGAGACAGAGTTTATTTATACTCCTAGTTATGCGAGATTTTAATTTAAAAAAAAAAAAAACCGCGTAATCGCATGACTATAAAAAAAATATTGTAGAATAAAATAAATTACCCCTTAGTGTTTCGATTTAATTGAAACACTAAGACAAAATAGGGATCTTTATCTTCTCCGAAAATATCTCTTTCCAATGATTATAAACTTTTTATCTCGAAAAAAATTTATTTAACAAACACACAAAGCACAAAACATTAATTTTTTTTTTTTGACTTATTTTTGTGACTAAGTTTTTAATTCACTTTCTATTTGAAAGAATTTTTATTTTAAACTTTATTAATTCAAAGTTTTTCAAGAAAAAAAAATGACTTCATAAAAAATAAATTATGGAATATTTTTATTATTATTTTAAAATATTTGACGATTTTTGAAATTCATTGGAAATTGTTATTGATTAAAGAGAAAAAAAAATCCCTCGTGATAAACTAATGATTGACGATTGAGTACTACAAATCTTTATTACATTTTTTTTTCATTTTATACTACTTTATAATATTGTAAACGTATATATGATCTCTAAAAAAGCACAAAAACAAAATGTTTACTGATTTATACATGCTTTTATTGTAAAACGCCGGTCATATAGTTATTTGATCTACCATTTTTAGGGTAAAATAAAATTAAGATATTTCATCTTTATAAAAGACGTGAGTCAATCTTTTTGTGCTCCTTTTTTTTACAATTTTAAAAGGAGTACACTATCGCATAAAGACATAATCTGAGGAATGAGGGAAATGCCTTTAGAAGGTTGAATTATTACAGAAAAGAAAGAAAAGAGAGAGAAAGAGTAAAAAAAAAATATATATATAAAAATATGCGTTATAAACGCTGAAAAAAAAGAATGTTAGAAATCCTTATTTTAGTTTATAAAATTTTTCTATCAAAGAATAAATTAATATGACGAAGAATTGTCTCACAAATCTTCGTAAGTTCTCGGGACCTAAGGAAAGAGAATTGCGTGTTTCAAGAGTAAAAAAAAAAAAATATAATTTTTTCTTTTACAATAAAGGATAAAATTTGTCAAAAATTCCAAAAAGTATTAAAAATAAATTGAATATATTACACAGTAATTTTTTCTATTTATAATAATTGAATATTCGAATATTTCGCAAAAAAAAATTTCCATGACCAAAACCGACAAAATGAAACCAATTTGGATAATTTTATATATAATTTCTTTTGTATAAATAAATGATCTAACGACTTTAAATCAATTATTCACTTTTTTTTCCAATAAGTCACGCAGTTCTCGAAACTTCTTTGATTTAAAATTTTATTATAGTCAAGTAGAATATTAATTCAGGAATCCAAAAAAAAAGAAAAACGGTTTCGAGGGAAACAAATCACAAAAGTCAATAGAGTTCCTGAGATTTTAGTGCGATTCTAGTGTAATAGCGATTTGTTATATTAAAAATAAATAAATATATATATATATAAATATTAACAAGAAAAACACCGATTTCTTCGTCTCTCATCATTGATAATAAATATTGTCAAAAATAGAAAATAATACAATTGAACAAAGCAGCTAGTTGCGCGCGTATACCCTCCACGATTGTCAATTGTTTTTTGAAAGTAATACGCTCTACTTTGTATAATGACTACCATTTAATAACATAATAATTGATCGTGGAATTTTTAGGATAATCGATGATAAATCTGTATGTGAAAAAGGATTTTAAAAAACAACGTTTACATCTATACGCACTATAATCGTAGCGCTATCTCTTAATCGCTAAAAAGTTTCTAATCGTAAATAGAAGTACTTTAAAAAAAATCGCAAAAAAAGAAAAGTCTCCTTTATGAAACTATACATATATATATATAGTGAAGTTTGAAACAATTTTTCATGCGTCGAGTGCACCTGCGACTCTCTCAAGTTTATAGGCTCATCGGTCTACATTTTTAAAAAAACATATTCAAATCGACTTTAATTTACAATTGCAAAATTTTTCCATTTAAAAAAAAATGCATTTTAATTAATTGAAATAAATATTTCAGATTCAAACTGTCGATTTTTTGCGGAAATGACAATAATTCCAATTTTTTTCTATTTTTTTTTTTATAAGAGAAAAAATAATTAGAAAATAAAATATTTCCCAAAAGTATATAAATGTTAAAATTTAAATAATAATTTATTTAATAATTTAATCCAATAGGGAAAATTAGAAATAAATATTGAATTTTTATAAAAATAGTTTAATGAAATTCAAATTTTTCCAAATCGACTGTTTTGAGATTGAAATATTTTTTTTTTTAATCGTAAATTATGTTTATCGAGCGATTTTCAAATGTAATACCCTCATAGGAATCTCTCGAGAATCAAGACTTGTACGATATAAGAATGAAATTCTAAATCATCGACCAGTGCAAATTTAATCTATCTTTATTATTATTATTATTATTATTATTATTATTATTTTTAATGATAAGGGAAAAATTAACAATACTTTTTTTTTTAAAGAAAAGAAACATTAATTTGTAAAGAAGATATCATTTAGACAGATAATGTTTATTAGTATAAAAATACAAAAAAGTATACTTTATAAAAAGTATATAAAATAATTTGTGTTGCGCATAATATATTGTTTATTAAACTGTTAAACTTTTACAAAGTCAAGATCCTTAAATACTATGGTATAAGGGAACTTTTTAAAATGGTCAAATAAGTACCAAAAAAAAAAAAATGGTTGAAATAAGACCAAAATGGAAATACCTAGCGTGCCATAATGTTATAGAATATTTAAAAAAAAAACGATGTAGATGAAACGTAACGAGAGAAAAATTAATGTTTTTTCCAATAGGGGACGAACTGACTGACGATCGCTAATAATTATTCGACTCTTGACTTTTTTTTAGAAAAAAAAGAGCCGATGCATTTTTTTGTTTTTTTTTCTTTTACCAAAAAAAAAAAAACAAACATACAAAAAGCATGTAAAAAGGTGCCAAAGCGCATAGCTGTCTATTGTAGATTTATTAAAACGTGCTATCGATCCGTATAGTCGTGCAATAATTAAATATTATATAAAAATATATTATATAAATATATGTGTCGGTTGAGGCCATTTGTATGGCATACTTCGATATATTATGATCAAAGTTGGAATGTCAATTTAAATGTAGTAACTGACTGAGTCGCAGTGCCCACAGATTTAAGAGAGAAAGATAATGAATGAATTTCATTATGACCTACATATTATATATATATAAAAAAAAGACAATTTGATTGTAAAGAAAAACGTCAGTTTTTTTTATTGTAGTACTTAAATAATATTTAGCGATACGACTTTTATGAAATGTTGACTCGATTAGAGGGGATGTTAAATGCAGGAACTCACAGTTCTGGTGTCTAAGAATAGTAATTCTCTTTTTTTGACGACAAAAAAATTAAAATTTTTTAGAAGTAAAAAGAAAAATTATATTTTAAAATATGTAAGAAGTGTTACAAATTTTTTAAAAAATTATATTTTATTTAGATCTTTAAGTTTTCTCTCTTTTTTTTGTCTTTTCAAATTTTGTTTATAGTTTTTATTTTTAGGCTTTCAAAACTTAAAATTTTATTTACATCTGTAAGAAATTGTTTTTTTTTTTAATTTGGTAGTTTTAGTTAATTGTTAATTTGTGTAATAATGTTTTTTTTATTATTATTATTTTAAACGAGTGTTGAATTTCTATATAAGAAGAATGTTAAATTTTATTTTACAAACTTGCCTTACCGATTGCTTTGCATAATAATAAAAAAAAATGTGCAATAACAATTTTAAAGATTCTTAGATGATTTTAATAGAATTAATAAATGTTATGTTTTTTTCAAATTGATGACACCGAAGCTGCAAGTTGCTGAAAAGTATGAGATTACAGTTGTTAGCTTCTTAGAATTGTTGTGTAACTCTCAAATTAATTAACTAATTGCTTGATTAAAAAAATGAGGCGTGTGTGTGGATTGAAAGTTTGAAATGAACAAGTGTGAGGCAAATCCGTGAATTTTAAAAATAATGAAATTCTTTATTTTTCTCAGCTTTCACATATCCGAGAGTCTTGTGACAAAAGATTCAATGTATAATGAAATTATTAAATTTCACATTTATTATAAATATTTTAATTTTTCAAAATTTAACACTAATTTCTAAGAATGTTATTTTAATTTTTTTAAAATCTTATTTTAATCTTTTAAATGTAATTTTTATAATATTTCAAATTATAATTTTAATTCTTATGAACATAATTTTAATTTTGTTTTCAAAATAAATCTTTAAGTTTCTTTCAAATTTTTACGAATTTTTTCTTCTCTACATCACAAGTCACAAGACTCAATCATTTTAACATCAATATTTAAAAAAAAGCAAAAAAAATCTATTAGTGCCAGAAAGTGGATTAAAAAAAATTTGCGATAAATTTCCAGTTTCTAATAATGAAAATTATGAATTTCTTTATCATTAAAAATAAATTATGGGAAATGGTACTTAATATTGACTATAATATAATTATTTGTTGATAAAATATAATTATAACAAAACATTTGTACATTGGCACCAGGACTGAAATCGTAATTTCTGTTTATATTATTATATTGTATAATCAGTTTTGTATGTTATTGAAAAAGCAAAACAAAAATTATTATTATAATAATAAAAACTAAATAAAAGACGTTGGACGACTATAAAGTTTGATAAAAAAAAAACTATTCTTTATTAATTCCTGACTTTTTGTTCGCTTGTGCGAATTTAAAAAAATGAATCAGTCGTTAAAAAATCTTCATTAACGAATAGAAATGTAATTTTGTGAGAATGAATCATAATATTATTATATATTAAGCTAATTAATAATGTACGTCTCGAAAATAGATCCTGTTTCATTTTTGAAGAAAAAAAAAGAAAGATAAGAGGGCAAAGAGAAAAGTTAAAAAAAATTGTAATATTTGTAAATAGCCAATGTTATTTGTGGTAAATTACTATATACATATTATAAAAAAAGAATAATTAATTACTCTGTATTTGCCAATATGTTGTTGTACCATATTATTGTGAACACCATTTCTCAGACATCGATTTTTTAAATAAAAAAAAAAAATTAAAGAATTTTGTAATAAGCTGATTCGAATCCACGAGCTGTATAGAAATAATCTTGTACACTGGTTTTAAAAAAACGGGGTTAAAATTAATAATTAAAATCGTAGTAAAAAATTTCGAGTTAATTTTCAAATTTAAATTTAAAAATTGGATAATAATTTTAAATTTCGTAGAATTTAACTCCGTATTTTTTTCAACAGTAGTATTTTACATAGAATGATTTATTTCTTATGTGGTAGAAAGATTATAATTAGATTATTTGAATTTTCTATATCGCGCCTAAAAAGTACTACTAGAGTCATTTGAATTTGGAATAATAAACCGTTAAATGTGATCCAACGAATTGCGCATCAGCGTCACACTGTGCTTATTGCAAATGGAGCCTCAAAACCTTTATCTTCAGTGTTTTAAAAAGCTTGAAATCGTTGATATTTTAAAATTAAAATAATATTACAAGTTGATTTACAGTGTTGAGAGAAAATAAAGAAAATATAGTGCTATAGAGAAAAATAGATAAAGAATGTCTGGTGCCAGAGAAAGTCGCATGTGAAGGTGAGAGGAGCACATTTCTTCTCATAATTAATACAAATTTGTTATAAAAATAACTCATTAAGAGATTTATTATTATTGTCAAAGTAATTACTATCAAATTTTGTACAATTATTTCGCAATGAGATTTCATATTAGTGAAAATAATCGTGAAAATATTCGTGAAAATTACAAGTGAATCGTACCTAACCTAAAAAAAAAAAATTTCCACAATGGCAAAACGAAGTAAATATTTCGAGACGCTCTAATAATTATATATAAATAAACAATAAAATCATTTCTTTGATACAATAATTTTGAAATTATAATAATTTTTATTCAAATGAAATTTGTGAATTTTATCGAAAATAGATCATAAATAAAAATAATAATAATAATACGTCGTAGATAAAATCATTAGTGTTTCATTAGAGATCTACTATATATAAAAAAAAATCCGTCATTTTCGTGATATTTACTAAATAAATTTATCACCATACATGATAAATTAGATATATATACTTTAATAAATAAATATATCTCATTTGCGTTACACATGTGAGAGTTTATGTATTTCGTGTTTATACAAAAGAAAAATCAATTTCTCATTTTGGCCTTTTTGGAATTCTCCTTCTTAGATATTTAGAGGTTTATCAATGTACATAATTGTTAATATTTATATACGATTATTAAATATATATTAACTTGTGTATGTATTTTATAAAGAAGAATGTACGAAGACGAGACGGAGAGAAAACTTTTAGAATAATGTATAAACGCACAATGCATAATTGTCTTCTTCAAGTTTTATCATATCTTTATTAAACTTGGACGTCTCCAGTAAATTTGTGTCTACCTGTGAGTATTACCTATACACCTATCCAAATTTATATTATTTCTAGAATTTTTTTTCATTCTTTTAGTTTTCGTAATTATACTAATAATAATTAATCTTTTAAGTGTTAAAGCAATATTAAAATTAAAAAATTTTCAAAAAAAGTTATTAATGAAATTACAATAAAAGGATTAATATAAAATATATAAAAGAAATAAAAATAAATATTTTCAAAGTTGATTTTTGATTAATTAAAATTATATTAAATTATTCTTTATTTCTAGGAATAGAAATTTATCTTGCTAAATAATTTTGACTAAATGTTTAATTATTCTTTTTTTTAGGGTTGATCTCTTAAATTCTATCACTAGATTTCTGTTTTGATGAAAAAGAATTAATTTTTTTATTTCGTTTTGAATTATTTTGATGTGCAAAACATCTTTTTCTCTTACGTTTCCGTGTCGATGAATTTGAATTCAAGTGACGTTTTTTCAAGGATCGTCTTGCACTTGAAAAATCTTGACATTTAACATTAAATTTTGTCCTCTGTAATTCGTCGAACATGTAATTATTTTCTTTAATATCTTCTATTTTTCTTCTTTCATCCACTTCACGTTTGATTTCTTCCTTTATTGCGTCAATTTTTTCTCTTATTTGTCGCGCTACTCTACGTTCAAAATCATTTTCAGATTCACCATCTTTCACAAAAAATTCTATTTTTTGTTTCATTTCACCTGAGTCTTTCGTTTTATTTTGATATAATTTCAACTTATTTATATTATTATTATTATTTTTTGATAAAAAATTTGTTTCATTTTTAAAAATTGCTCGTAAATCTTTAGAATTTTGTTCATTTCTTTTTTTTATTCTTTGATTTTTAAAATTTCTTCCATCTCTTTTTCTTTTGTTTATTTTACGTTTTTCGAAATTTTTTTTGGTTTTCGACTTCTTGTTGTTTCGTTTGAAACGATTTATATTATTATTTTCTGTTTCTTCTTGCACCATTTCTTCCTCCTGTATTTCAATATCATCGTTTTCAAATATTGTTCTATAATTTGTTTCTCTTTTTGCGAGAGATTTTTTATTTGAAACAATATTTTGATTATGAAATTCTCGCTTAGATCTGCGAAGATTTTCTTGGTCATTTTTATAAATACTCTTGGTAAACACTTTGGGATTATTCATTTCTTTATCATTGAAAAGACTTTTGAGTTCGCTAGAAATTGTAAACGAAAATTTATAATTTTTCAATTTTTCCAATAATAAATAATTATTTTTATTAATTTTTCTATTTTTTTTTACATTTCAATTTCAAAGTAAAAAATACTAAAGAAAAATTTGATAAATATCTACCTCAAAGTAGAATTCGTAGTTTTAGGAAAACTACTTAATGGATGAGTTTGAAATAGGAACATCAATATTTGCACAAAGACATAATGATGTAAATATATTTTTTTCATTTTGTCTAAACGATACCATTGCAGTATTTTTTTTGTCGATTTCTTTTTCACCCTTGACAGAATAATTCCATTCACGATTTATTATGGAAATTTAAACATAATTTATAAATTTTTAGGCTGACAATTTGAAGAAAAACAATGCAAAAAAAAGGTACAACCTGAACGTGTTTGCGGAACAACACGTCGGAAATTAAAAGTTTATTTTTTGAATACTTATCGCGGAAATTTCAAAATAATTGACGGAAAGCTGCTTTTACTGAAAAGAAAAATTTTTTTCAGGTGAGTTTTTCTTTAAAATTATATTAAAAATTAAGTGAAATTAAAATATTTAACTAAACAAAATTTCAAACAAATTTTCAAAATATTGCACTTTATTTTCTAATAATTTTGTATTTACATTGAACATTATTGTACACGCTGTGTATAATTCTTTTAAGTTTAAATAATTATTAGAATAATACAGGGCTATAAAATAGTTTCGAGCACCCTGAAAATTTCATTTTTGATATTAATTAATAATTTTACTTCTAAAATAATACTTTTAGGAGATATTGAACGTTTTGAACACCCTGTATTCCAGTTACAATTTTTTAAATATGAAAAGATCATTATAATTATTATTTAAATAAATTATAATGATTTTTCAAATACAAATATTAAATTTTACGGAATTGCTTTTTTAATTACAATTAAATTATTTTGAATTTCAATTAAATTATATTTAACTTTATTATCATTAAAATGATATATTTTATAATTATTAATAATCTATATTATGTATAATTACACGATTGTTTTTTTTACCTTTTAATGGAAAAAATAAAAATTAATTGTAATTCAGAGAAAAGTTTTAACACCTATTCCGTTTCTGCAGAATATGTAAAACTTGTTTACAAATCTGAGAACACGGTTTTTTTTTTCTTTCACTCTTTAGGTCATAATTTTATTATTAATAAGTCACAATTTCATAACAATAACAATTTTTTTCTAGATTAACAATTTCATAAAAATTCATGTACATTTAAACACATGAACTTTTCATAATTTTTGTAATTTTGAGTAATTTTTATACATTAAAAAAAATGTTACAAAAAAATTCACAGCCTCTTTTCAAAAAGTTGAACATAATTTCAATGTTTTAATTTTTGATTATTAAATTTATACGCGATCAATAAGGCATCAAAGATTCACATATATGTGAACAGCCCATGATCATTTTTTAAATCTTCTATTCTGAGCAAAATCAAGATGTTAAATACAAGAAAACATCTTTTGAGCTTTTCAAATTTTTTATATTCTAATTTGTAACTTAATTTTTAATTTTCGACATTTTGTAATATACATTTCATTTGATGTAAATAATGATGTAAATTTTTTGATATAAATATGAAAATTAAAACAATTTAAAAAAAGAAAATTAGTGACTGGAAAGTAATGTAAAATAATTGAATACTTTAAAAAAACCAAGGACAATAAAAATAACAGGTAATTGTTACAAAACAATTTATTTAGTCGCAATAAAAAGGAAAAAATAACTGGTTAATTATAGCATTCTTATAACAGGCAAATAAATGTGTGAGATAAATAAATACATATTTTTATAATAATAATAATTGAAGCGTATAAAAAAAATCTAAGCATAAAATTAATAACGTGAAAATAAACATAAAAAAATCATAAAGGTAAAATAAAATTTTGATTTTATGTATGTGAAAAATGCTAAACATTACTAAGCATATATATTTAATCGAATTCAATACCTCATTGGATTGATTTCGAAGTTATCACGGGTTCAAGCTCTAGTTATTGCTTCGTAACATACTCAGCTTAACATGTAAAAAAAAAATACCAGAAAACTCGAATATTTTAGATCGTTTTTAAAACGATTAAGGTTGACAAACTTTTTTTTCTTTCTTTACGGTAAACAAAAATAAATAATTTTGTTTGTGTTTACTTATCGTGTTAGGTAAATCGTATAATATAAATTTTCATATCTGTGATATTCAAACGGCAATAAACTTTTATGAGCGGCAATAAATTTCTTAATGCTATTGTTTAGTACTTATATCAACAAGAAAGAGTAGAAATCGCTTGATTTTTACTATTTTGTCATTTTTTTTTCTTTTTTTAAAAGAAATAAATAAATCACATTCAAATCTTTATTAGAATATTTTCTATAAATTTTTTTTTTATAATCAAATTTTAATAATTTGTGAACATTTTTTAATTTAAATTAAATACTGATTTAATTTTTAGTTAAGAAACAATCGATTTCTTCACTTTACAGTATTATTAATAAATATATATATATTTTGATTTACAATCATTTTCTTTTCAGATACATATGCTGCTCCTGAATTTATAAAATCAAGAATATCTAAGGCATCGGTTGGTGGAATTGAAATGAAAACTAAATCGCAGCTGGTAGTTCACAGCCAATTGTGTGTAAGGATGCGAGAGAAATTTTTAATTGGAAATCAAGGGCATGTAAAACTTGTGTTTTGGAGTATCGCGTGTATGCTTAAAAGGAGCTTTCTTTGCCTCGAGAAGTGCTACTGGACATGGACCTCGATTTCTAGGTATAAATTCCTTTTTATACATACTCGAATTCATTGCACTTGATGATGACGAATCACCCAAACTAATGTGAGATACATTTGATTGTTTTTGAATTCGCTCTACTTTTTGATTCGAAAAATTTCCATAACTGCGACCTTCGCTTTGTGAATAAAATTTCCCACCAACTGTCAAATTATCCTGACGTACGATACGTTGTGGTCGTTCATAAGATGAGGATGCCCAGGGATTTACTTCTTTATTGCTGCGATGAAGTGATGTGAGACTTTTACGATCGCTACTTTGCGATGAATTACTGATGAATTGACCACTTTCGGCAAGATTTGATAAACTCTTTCGTTGATCAGCGGCTGTTGATGATATTGTATGTAGTGCCTCGGTTGATGATATAACACCACGACGATGTAGTACAGCATTTGAAACATCAGCCGATGATGATGATATGATATTTTTTCGATGATGAGTTGTTTTTGTCAATGATTCTTGATGTCGATTATCGTTTTGACCACTCATTGTTTGTTTGAATTCACTGCTGTTTGCTTGATTTGCATTGTAACGTGCCTGACTTGCTATTGTCTGTTGAGTCAATTTCGATGATTGACGAGCTTGATTGTTTGTGGTGGATTTACATTCCATATGTTGTGAATTTACATAATCGCGTTTAGTATGCTCTTGCTGATGATGAGTGGTGCTATATTGTTGTCGTTCCGTGTGATGTTTCTCTGTTTCCAGATGATGATGCTTCTCTTGTGATCTTAGTAATTTTTCACTGTGAATTCTTCGATTGTAATCGTCATCGGAATAGCGATCGTCTCTCTGTCTACTTGAGGGTCGAATAACATTACTTCTTTGATCGGAATATTCTTTTTGACTGGTGGATATTTCCTTGCTTGAGCGTTTTGTATAGGTGTTGTAATTTCTTGTTGTGTCGTCGCCAAGGGTTATGGACGATTCAGTGTGACGAGATCTCGTTCCATTGGAATCACGAGATGTTTTTGTTTCCGTGTTACCGATTCGTAAATTATCTTGATGACGTTTGATTTCGGCTTTTTCGCCTTTGACGACAGTGTAGGTGGATTTTTGTGATGTAGTATCTTGGAAGTCGCCAGTCATTCGTAGATTGTCTTCATGTCGTACAATTTCACGACGTTCGGCACGTGTTGGAATGTAATCGTCACGTGGACGAACGGCAAAATCGCCTTCGGGTTTTAAATTATCAGGATGCTTGATAGGAGATCTTCGTTCACATGGACCAATGGGGGATGATTTTTCAGGACGTTGGAATGTTCCCTCCGGTTTGAGATTATCTGGATGTCGTTTGATTGAGGCACGTTCACCAGTCACGTGTTGATAGTCATCTTTTCGTCGAATATCGATAAATTCACCTTCTATTCGTAAATTATCCTCGTGTTTGCGAACATTGATACGATCAATTTTTGTGATATTTTTGTAATCGTCGCGCGATCGTCTGACGTCAATTTCACCCTCCATTCGTAAATGATCTTCGTGACGACGTATTTCCACGCGTTCCGCTCCGTTTGTGTATTTTTTGTAATCGTCCTGTGATGCGGTTCTGATTTGCATATCACCCTCGGATTTGAGATTATCCTCCGGTTTTCGCACTGGAGCCCTGTCAGCTCTTTTTGGAACGAAATCATCCTTGGGTACAATGTAGAATTGACCCTCGGGATGAAGATTATCCTCGGGGCGGAAAGGTGTTCGTTTCTCACTTGGCGAAACTTTGGATGGAGTACGACGTTCAAAATCACCTTCGGGTTTGAGATTATCCTGAGGTTTCTTTTGTTTAGGTCGTTCTGATGGAATGTATTCTGTGCGATAGGGTTTTTCGAAATCGCCTTCAACTTTAAGGTTGTCGGGATGACGAATTGGAGTACGTCTTTCGCCAGGACCAACGGGTGATTTTTCTGGACGTTCAAAAGTGCCTTCTGGTTTGAGATTATCCTTGGGTTTTTTGATATCAGCACGATCACCCTTCTTCGGAGCTTCTTTTCTCGGACGATCGATGAATTCACCTTCGGGTTTCAAATTATCAGGATGACGAATTGGCGTACGTCTTTCGCCGGGACCAATTGGTGATTTTTCTGGACGATCAAAAGTACCTTCGGTTTTGAGATTATCCTTGGGTTTCTTAATATCAGCACGATCACCTTTTTTCGGTGCTTCTTCCCTCGGACGAGTGGTAAATTCTCCTTCTGGTTTAAGATTATCGGGATGACGAATTGGTGTACGACGTTCTCCTGGACCAACGGGACTCTTTTCTGGACGATCAAATGTACCTTCGGGTTTGAGATTGTCGGGATGTTTAATGGGTGTTCTGCGTTCAGCTGGACCAATTGGTTTCTTTTCGGGTCGTTCGAAATCACCTTCGGGTCGTAGATTATCTTCGTGTCGAACTACTTCAATTCTCTCGGTTCTGGTCACATTGTAATCGTCACGTCTTCTAATATCGGTGAATTCACCCTCGATTCGTAAATTGTCCTCGTGACGAACAACATCGACTCGATCACCTCTGGTGACTGTGTAATCGTCACTAGTCCGGTGTGTTTCAATTTCGCCCTCCATTCGAAGATTATCCTTGTGAATGACAACCTGAGATCGTTCTCCTCTTGTTGGTTTGTAGTCATCTTTTGGCTTTCCAGTGAATTCGCCTTCGGGTTTAAGATTATCCTTGGGTTTCTTTTGAACAGGACGATCAGCACGTTTTGGAGTGAAATCGTCCTTGGGTTTTCCGGTGAACGTACCTTCAGGATGTAGATTGTCCTCTGGTCGAATTGGTGTTCGTCTTTCTGCTGGTGTTATTGGAGATTTCGATGGTCTCTCGAAATCACCTTCAGGGAATAAATTGTCTGCGTGTCTGATTGGTGTTCGTCGTTCACCAGGACCAATTGGTGATTTCGTGGGTCGTTCAAAGTCACCCTCTGGATGAAGATTGTCAGTTGGTTTTTTAATAGGAGCACGATCACCTTTCTTTGGCGATTCATCTCTCGGTCTTCCGGTGAATTCACCTTCGGGTTTCAAATTATCTGGATGTCTGATTGGTGTTCTCTTTTCACTCGGTCCAACTGGTTTTTTAACAGGTCTATCGAATTCTCCTTCGGGATGGAGATTGTCTTTTGGCTTTTTCACATCCGCTCGTTCTCCTTTTTTAGGTGCTTCCTGTTTCGGTCGACCAATGAATTCTCCTTCGGGTTTCAAATTATCGTCGGGTTTTATTGGTGTACGACGTTCAGCTGGTCCGAATGGTGTTTTCTTAGGTCGGATAAATTCACCCTCTGGTCGGAGATTATCTTCGTGTTTGACAATATCGATTCGTTCGCCTCTGACAACTTGATAGTCATCACTAGTTCTTGTGTCTGTGAAATCGCCTTCAATTCGTAAATTATCTTGATATTTGGTTATTTCAACTCGCTCTTGAACGAGGAAATTTGTATAGTCATCGCGAGATCGTGTTGTTTGAATATCTCCTTCCATGAGAAGATTATCGGTATGTTTGACAATTTCAGCTCGTTCACCGCGAACAACTGTGTAGTCATTCTTTGGTTTTCCTTCGAATGGACCCTCGGGTTTTAGATTGTCAGCATATTTGATCGGTGTGCGTTTTTCAGCGGGTTTCACGGATGTTTTCTGAGGTCGATCGAATTCACCTTCTGGTTTGAGATTGTCCTTGGGTTTTTTGATATCTGCACGATCACCACGTTTTGGTGCTTCCTCCTTTGGACGACATGTAAATTCACCCTCGGGTTTCAGATTATCTGGATGACGAATTGGAGTTCGACGTTCAGCTGGACCAACTGGAGATTTTTCTGGACGTTCAAATGTTCCTTCCGGTTTTAGATTGTCTCTAGGTTTCTTCACATCGGCACGATCGCCCTTTTTCGGTGCTTCTTCCCGAGGACGAGTGACAAAATCACCTTCTGGTTTTAAATTGTCCTTTGGTTTTTTGACCTTGGGACGTTCTGCTGGTCTGAATTCTTCATGTTCTGGTCTTTCGAAATCACCTTCCGGTTTGAGATTGTCAGGATGACGAATTGGTGTTCGACGTTCAGCTGGACCAACGGGTGATTTTTCTGGACGTTCAAATGTTCCTTCTGGTTTAAGATTGTCCTTGGGCTTCTTGATATCTGCCCTATCGCCCTTAGTTGGTGCTTCTTTTCTCGGGCGATCGGTAAATTCTCCTTCCGGTTTGAGGTTGTCCTTGGGTTTTTTAACCTTCGGGCGTTCCGCTGGTCGGAACGCTTCATGTTCCGGTCTTTCGAAATCTCCCTCGGGTTTGAGATTATCTGGATGTCGAATTGGAGTTCTACGTTCTGCTGGACCAACTGGAGATTTTTCTGGTCGCTCGAAGGTTCCTTCCGGTTTTAGATTATCTCTAGGTTTCTTTACTTCAGCACGATCTCCCTTTTTGGGTGCTTCTTCACGTGGTCGAGTGATGAAATCACCTTCTGGTTTTAGATTGTCCTTTGGTTTTTTGACCTTGGGACGTTCCGCTGGTTTGAATTCTTCATGTTCCGGTCGTTCGAATTCTCCTTCCGGTTTTAGATTATCAGGATGACGAATTGGTGTTCGACGTTCAGCTGGACCAACTGGTGATTTTTCCGGACGTTCAAAAGTACCTTCTGGTTTGAGATTATCTTTCGGCTTTTTGATTTCAGCTCTATCGCCCTTTGTTGGTGCTTCTTTTCTCGGACGATCAGTAAAATCACCCTCGGGTTTTAAATTGTCAGGATGACGAATTGGCGTACGTCTTTCGCTGGGACCAATTGGTGATTTTTCCGGACGCTCAAAAGTACCTTCTGGTTTGAGATTATCCTTAGGTTTCTTAATATCTGCTCGATCACCTTTCTTCGGTGCTTCTTCTTTTGGTCGTACTGTAAATTCACCCTCGGGTTTAAGATTATCCTCAGGTTTGATTGGTATTCTCTTCTCAGCTGGTCTAAATGGTTTTTGCTCAGGTCGTTCAAAATCACCTTCTGGTTTCAAATTGTCCTGTGGTTTTTTAATTTCTGGACGATCAACTCGTTTGGGTGTGTAATCATCTTTTGGTTGTGCATCGAATGGTCCCTCAGGTTTGAGATTGTCCTCGTGTCTCACAATATCAACGCGTTCACCACGCACAACTTTGAAATCGTCACGTGTTCTTGTATCAATAAATTCACCTTCCATTCGCAAGTTGTCTTCGTAACGTGTAACTTCAACTCTTTCGCGTATGAGAAAATCGGTATAATCATCACGAGTTCTAGATGTTTCGATATCGCCCTCAAGGTATAAATTATCAGTACGTTTCACCACGTCCATTCGTTCACCACGACACGGTTTGAAATCATCTTTTGGTTTCCCTTCAAATGGACCTTCTGGTTTGAGATTATCCCTTTGTTTTATAGGCGTTCGTTTTTCAGCAGGTCTGAATTTTTCTGGTTGTGGTCTATCAAAATCACCTTCTGGTTTTAGGTTATCCTTGGGCTTTTTAACCTTAGGACGTTCGGCTGGTTGGAATTCTTCATGATCAGGTCGTTCGAAATTGCCTTCGGGTTTGAGATTATCGGGATGTTTGATTGGAGAACGACGTTCAGCTGGTTTTACAGGTGTTTTCTCTGGACGTTCGAAAGTGCCTTCTGGTTTGAGATTGTCCTTGGGCTTTTTAACAGGAAGTCGATCACCTTTCGTTGGTTTGTAATCATCTTTGGGTTTTCCCTGGAAAACACCTTCAGGACGTAAATTATCATCGGGTTTGATAGGAGATCTGCGTTCCGCTGGCTTGAATGGTTGACGCTCACGATCGGGGAATTCACCTTCAGGGAAGAGATTATCGGGATGACGAACGACTGGTGCACGATCGCCAGGTGCATATGGTGTAGGTGTTGATCGTTCGAAATTACCCTCGGGTTGTAGATTGTCCGGATGTTTGATAGGTTGACGTCTTTCAGCGGGAATGAATTTATCTCGAGGTTTGTCTTCAAAATCACCTTCGGGTTTGAGATTATCATCGGGTTTGATGGGAGTACGACGTTCGGCTGGTTGGAAGGGTTGACGTTCACGATCTGGGAAATCACCCTTTGGGAATAAATTATCAGGATGACGTACGATCGGTGCTCGATCTCCTGGTCCACAGGGTTGAGGTTGTGGTCTCTCGAAGTCACCTTCTGGACGTAAATTATCTTCCGGTTTGATGGGAGTACGACGTTCCGCTGGTTGGAAGGGTTGACGTTCACGATCTGGAAATTCACCTTTCGGGAATAAATTATCAGGATGACGAACGATCGGTGCTCGATCTCCGGGTCCATATGGTTGAGGTTGAGGTCTTTCAAAATCACCTTCCGGACGAAGATTATCCTCGGGTTTAATTGGCGTTCTACGTTCAGCTGGAGTGAACTTGTCTTTGGGACGATCTTCAAAATCACCCTCGGGTCGAAGATTGTCCTTCGGCTTCTTAACTTCCGGTCGATCGGCTTTTTTCGGTTTGTAGTCATCTTTTGGACGACCTTCAAAGGGTCCTTCGGGTTTGAGATTATCCACTGGTTTTTTCACTTCCGCTCGATCACCTTTTGTAGGCTTGAAATCATCTTTCGGTCTTCCTTCAAATGGTCCTTCTGGTCTCAGATTATCCTTGGGTTTTTTGACATCGGCGCGATCTCCTTTTGTGGGTTTGTAATCATCCTTGGGTCTCACTTCGAAAGTTCCCTCGGGTTTCAAGTTATCTTCAGGTTTTTTAACTTCTGGTCGTTCTGCACGTTTGGGTTGATAATCATTTTTCGGTTTGCCCTCAAAGTCACCTTCGGGACGTAAATTATCGTCAGGTTTTATTGGAGTTCTGCGTTCTGCAGGTTGGAATGGTTGACGCTCACGATCTGGAAAATCACCTTTTGGGAATAAATTGTCAGGATGACGTACGATTGGTGCTCGATCTCCGGGTCCGTAGGGTTGAGGTTGTGGTCTCTCGAAGTCACCTTCAGGACGTAAATTATCATCAGGTTTGATAGGAGTTCTGCGTTCCGCTGGCTTGAATGGTTGACGCTCACGATCTGGAAATTCACCTTTTGGGAATAAATTATCAGGATGACGAACAATCGGTGCTCGATCTCCAGGTCCATAGGGTTGAGGTTGAGGCCTTTCGAAATCACCTTCAGGACGAAGATTGTCTTCCGGTTTATAGGGCGTTCTTCGTTCAGCTGGAGTAAACTTATCCTTCGGACGATCCTCAAAATCACCTTCTGGTCGAAGATTATCTTTTGGTTTTTTAACTTCCGGTCGATCGGCTTTCTTCGGTTTGTAGTCATCTTTCGGACGTCCTTCGAAGGGACCTTCGGGTTTAAGATTATCCACTGGTTTTTTCACTTCCGCTCGATCACCTTTTGTAGGCTTGAAATCATCTTTTGGTCTCCCTTCAAATGGACCTTCTGGTCTTAGATTATCCTTGGGTTTCTTGACATCGGCGCGATCTCCTTTTGTGGGTTTGTAATCATCCTTGGGTCTCACTTCGAAAGTACCCTCAGGTTTCAAGTTATCTTCAGGTCGTTTAACTTCCGGTCGTTCTGCACGTTTCGGTTGATAATCATTTTTCGGTTTTCCTTCGAAATCTCCTTCAGGTCGTAAATTATCATCAGGCTTGATGGGAGTTCTGCGTTCTGCTGGCTTGAATGGTTGACGCTCACGATCAGGGAAATCACCTTTCTGGAATAAATTGTCAGGATGACGTACGATCGGTGCTCGATCTCCGGGTCCATAGGGTTGAGGTTGTGGTCTTTCAAATTCGCCTTCAGGTCGTAAATTATCATCAGGTTTGATGGGAGTACGACGTTCCGCTGGCTTGAATGGTTGACGCTCACGATCTGGAAATTCACCTTTCGGGAATAAATTATCAGGATGACGTACGATCGGTGCTCGATCTCCTGGTCCATAGGGTTGAGGTTGTGGTCTTTCGAATTCACCTTCTGGACGTAGATTGTCTTCCGGTTTATAAGGCGTTCTTTTTTCGGCTGGAGTGTATTTATCCTTCGGTTTTCCTTCAAATGGTCCTTCGGTTTTTAAATTATCCTGCGGTTTTTTCACTTCTGCTCGATCACCGACGGTAGGTTTATAATCATCCTTGGGTCTTGCTTCGAATGGTCCTTCGGGTCGTAGATTATCTTGAGGTCTTTTAACATCAGCACGATCACCTTTCGTTGGTTTATAATCATCTTTTGGTTTTCCCTCAAAAGGACCTTCGGGTTTTAAATTATCCTTGGGTTTTTGTGGCGTTGGTCGTTCAGTGATCATAGGCACGAAATCTTCTTTTGATTTTGGTATTCCTTCGAAAGGACCCTCAGGTTTTAAATTATCATCCCTGCGAATGACGAGTGTACTTCGATAATCCGTATGATCGAAATTGTGATATTGCTCTTGAGTTGTTGTTAAATTTTCCGTGATATCAGTTCGTCCGTAATATTTATCCACTTCATCTGTGGTCCATGTCGTTGGTCGACGATATGGTTCACGCTCCACTTGATCATAGGTGTGAAAGTCTTCCTTCACGTGAGAGGTTCCCTACATTTTTAATAGTTAAAAAATTTATTTTTTATTAAATTTAAAATTTAATTTAATATTAGTAAATTAATTTGTATTACAAATTTATTTATTTTTATTTAATTTCAAAAATTATTATTATTACCGTGAATTCTCCCTCTCCAACTGTGAGATTATCGACATGTCGGATGATCTCGGCACGTTGAATAGTTCGATGATCGATGAATTCAGTACGTGATGTTGTCTCGTCGGTGAAATCTCCCTCGACTTTTGTGTAGGTGTTGCGACGTGCAGGGCTTGGCCTTTCGCCGGAAATCCCGGTGAAAACCAGCTCTGTGGTTGTCAGACCTGTTAAATGAATGACCAATTATTTAACTGATAAATGATTATTTGCGCAATGTGTCATGAAAATTAAATAAGGGTGGAGCAACTTATTTATCTTTATAATGAATTGATATATGAATAGTTATCACGAAATGTTACAAAATAATTCAAAAGCTGAAATGAAAAAAAAAATTATAGAGTAAATTAGTAATTCATAGTTATAAATAAAATTTTTTTTTATAATGTATGTAACTTACTGTCAAATTCTCCTTCAGGACGTAAGTTATCCTCGGGTTTTTTAATAGGAGCTCGTTCACCGTGAGTTGGAGCTTCTTGTTTGGGCCTGCCAATAAATTCTCCTTCTGGTTTCAGATTATCTTGCGGCTTCTTAACGGGAGCACGTTCGCCATACTTGGGTGCTTCTTCCTTAGGACGACCGATAAAATCTCCTTCCGGTTTAAGATGGTCTTCGGGCTTTTTGATTGGAAGTCTCTCGCCACGAGTTGCAACGTAATCAGTTCGTCTTTCACCAAGGAAATCGCCTTCCATATGCAAATGATCCTCATGACGATAAAAAGTCTGCCTCTCAACATGTTTTTCATCAAAATCATTCTTGTATGATGTCACAGTATACACTGGCTGATCATGAGGTATCTCCAGATGATCCTCGGGAAAGTTATTATGAGGACAACGATGACGTCTGTCAGGTAAAGAAATTTATTTTTTTTTTATTGGTGATAAAAAAAATGTTTAGAATTTTACAGGAAATTTTTTTAAACATTAAATTAGATAAAGGTTGAAAAATTGTAAAGAAAAAAATATCTCTAATTCTTTGGATCTTTGGAATGAAATCGATTTCAAAATCCTTGGTTCTTATCAATGTGGACCGAATCTTGAGGATTCCACGAACGCTTTAACTAAATCGACATAAATGGCAAAAAAGTTGTTTCAAATTGCCGATTTTCGATGCAGATCGACTACTAATTTGGTTCACTTGTATCTTCGAAGGCGAACCAGTGTAAAGTATCGAGGACATCTTTTTTTTATTGCACACAGCAGTGAATTAAAAAAAAAGAAGTCAATTTGTACTATTTAGTTTTGGGGAAAAATAGTTAAAATTGTACCTTTTTTTACAAGATTCAACTTGAAATTTATTTAATATTTAGAAAATATTAATAGAAATAATAGTTACATTAATGATTAAATATTTAAAATTTAATTTAATTGAATTTTTCTGAATTATCTTCAACTAAGGATGAATTCATAGTTTTTTGATACATAATGATTTATAATATTAATATTAAAATTTGTTTTTTCTCAAATCATTCCTCTTGGAATATTAAAAAAAGACTACAGACAGATACAATACAGATTTAAAAAGTGAGGTCGTGTTGCGTGATTTGTCGCTTCCAAGTTGCCTTAAAAGGATCTTTCTCGTGTTCTACTTACAAATATTAATTTAGACTCGAACTGCTTTCAGAATTTTTTTTTCTTTAATTATATTTTGTTAAAGGAGAGAGTGAATTTTAAAGTAAAATATATTTGAAAGTATTTTAATTATTAAATTAAATATTAATTTTAAAAGAAAAGATTTAAGAAAAAGTAGAAGGAGAAATAACTCTAAAATTTAACTTACAGTATATTTTCAATTGAGAAATAATAATTAATAATAATAATAATAATTTGTAATAAGAAAGTCGAAAATTAATAAATTCTTTAAAACGGTCGTAAAAAAATGAACGTTCTTCGAGTATTTAAACCATAAAAATAAAAACAAAATAACAGTGATTTCCGTTACAACCCAGTCTCTTTGTTTTAAATTAAATGAGTCACGTGAGATGACTGCGTCATCTTTGCGACTTTCGAGATTAATTTCAACTCAAAAGGTCAAATAAATTTGATGGACAAATTTAAAAAAAAAAACAAAGTCAGACGATGCAAATTCTCCAAAAGTTATTCAACTTAAAGTCACTTTAGTTTTACTTTTGTTTCGTGGGATACTTTCATTTAGAGTTACTTTAATTTAGCTTAAATTTATATTTTCTTAAATTATTTTTAATTAATTTAAAAAAAAAATTGTATAACAAAATTAGAATGTAAATTTTAAGTTAAATCTTGTAAAAAGAGAGGAAATTAATTTAACTCACCCGCAGGTACACAATTCGCAAATACATTGTTCCTTTAATGGGATTTTAACTAGAACGTCCGGGACTTTTTGCGGGGTGATATCTTCTTTTTCCAATGAATCAGGACTTTGATCACCTCTTCGGGGTTTTGGCTCCTTTTCTGTTTTACTCGGCAATTTGTCTGTTGGTGAAACATAATCCCGTGATTTTTCCGGTGACTTGGTCCTAGTGTCGGAGGGTCTAAAAATTAAAACGAATAATTTAATTAAAAATTTAAAAAAAGCAAATAGGTATTAATAGAATTATAAGAAATTATATTGAAAATTTCAAGCGTATGTTCTCTTGGTTACAAAACAGGCAATTTCAAAGTTTATTCATTATTATTATATATATAGCTCATGAATTTTCATGAATCGAACACTTGTGTTTTCCTAACTAGTGTTCAATCTGCAATCCTTAAAGCGATGATGTCAGAAATGAAAATACACACTCGAGTAATATACTTTACCGTGACATTGAACATCGAGTGTAAAGAATAATTTTTTTGTTTTTTTAAACACCGAATGTGGAATAATTTAATTTTATTCTTTTGTAATTTTCTCTTTAAATTCTCTACGAGTTTGGCTTTTTAAAAAAAGACTTGTTAAATCGTTTTATTTCTCCTTTCTAAAGAATTAATTTCAGTTCATTAATTTATTCATTAAATTAATTAATAATAATAAGATCTCACCTTCTTGGTCCAGGTTTATCTCCAACTCGTCGAGGACTTTCGTCCCGACGTTGAGGTCGACTCGGTTTTCCTGCGGCAGGAATTGATTTTGGTTTGTCATCACTTCGAAGATTTGGAATTCCTCGGGGATAACCGGGTCGATCTGGAGAGACCTTTCGAGGCGATTCGCTCGGCGACCTCGGCCCGGAGGTCGGGATCTTTTCGAATCTTTTGTCATCAACGACATCTCGCGCTACCATACTATTAAACTGTTCGTGATTGACAAATTCTCTCGTTGACTTGCTGACATCTCTCTGTGAAAGAAAAATGCAATCAATTTAATTAATTAATCTTTTAAGATAAAAGTTTAAAACAAAATTAATCAAAACTAATTTTAGAATATGAAAAAATAATTATCAAAAATCTAATCTAATACCCCGATAATTCTGATATAATTAAGAAACTATTTCAAATTTATCGTTTTAATTAATTAATTTTCTATTTGTTACAGAAAGTAATTAACATTAAATTAGTATTTTTTCTATTTAAAGAGAAAAAAAAATTAATTACATTTTTTATACGATGACAAGGTTTCTTTTTCGTATTTTTTGGGATATTATTTAAATAGACATTGATAGACTGTAGAGCTAATTTAATTATGTAAAAAAAAAATTCATAATGGATTAATAAGATTAGACCGATGATAATTGACAACCCTTGACAGTTCAATGAACGACGCTAATTGCGAAATAGGTTGCAGTATTACATTCCTATTATGTAATTTCTTCTCTTACGCGAATCAGTGACTACGTGTAATAATTCTGATTTTATGACCGCTAGATAATTTTTCAGTTAGAGAAAATTTCAATTCTTAACATTTTTCTAAGAAAACACGAAATTTTTAATTTAATGTTGCTATTTTTTGTTGTTGCTTATAAATAGGTAATTTAAAACTAGCGTAAATTTTATTTAAAATTCATTTATATTTATTTACAAGAAAAGAAAACTCTTATGCACTTTTAAGCTTTTAAAAAGTCAAGGATATGTTTAAAGGCATAAAAACGATGCGACTGTCGAGTATTAAAATTATTATCACTTTGCTTTTTAGATTAAGAAAGTTATTTTCAAAGTATGTTGAGAACGTATGACGTTTTAATTTAAGATTTATTTATTTATATATTTAAATTTTATTATTATTAATTATTGTGATTTATTATTGAATTATTTTATTTGGAATTTCGTTAATTTAATATAAAAAATAAAATCAAAAATAAATCAAAATAATAAAAAAAAAACATTGGCTTTATAATAGTCGTATGATTATTAATGAAGTTTTTTTTTGGAATTTACGACTGAAGTGATTTTCCTAGAAGAGTATTATAAATTATTTTTTTAAAACATGATTGTAAGGTAAATTAACTTCTCTTCAATTATAAACGAGTCGTGAGAAAAGGTGGTTACATACACGATAACGTGTCGTGTTTTAAGACAACTAGAGCACATTTTGTTTGCCTTCTTAACAATCGAAAACAGATTGAGTGCATGTAACGAAAAAAGTTTATCGTTCTAAATCTTCTTTTACTCAACATCTTTTAAGCATTAACAATCATTTTTTCATTTGATTGTAAATTGGTACAAGAATTTTCCATTAAATTAAAGAGTTATTTTTTTTTAATCATAATTAAATTTTTGGAAATTTAATTAAATTTTACAATATTCTTCAATATAACTTACAGTGATAATAATAAAAAATAATAATAATAAAATTAAAATATATAAATTCTGCAAAAAATGATTGTTATTAATGCAGAAGAAGAAATTCTGAAAAAATTGTCAGGAAACATTTCGTTTTTCATTAAAAATTTTCCCGTTATGATTCTTTGAAAAATAAATTGTGTACCGAGTGACATTCGCTAAAACGGGAAATATTATTACTTTTTTTCTCTCGCAAAGTATTTTTTTTTTTCATCTTAAGGACGTGTGGGACATTGTATTACATTTTTTCCTTTAATATACTATAACGACGAAGACCGTATTAGGTCAGATTTATTTTTAAACGGTCCACTCAGCACAATCCTTGCACTGTTTGGAAGTGAAAGTCAATGTGGGTCTTTTGCCTTGTACGAGAGTGGAACTCGCGTTGACGATTCTTTAACTTTCGCGAGGTCACCGATTCCTTTTATTGAAGGGCTGCCCTCGACTGTCAGAGAGGAAAAGAAAAAAAAATAAAAGAAAAATTCTGAACATTTTTTCTTTTATTACATTCATTTATCATTCAATACCTTTTCGTAATAAAAAAAAAAGAAATATGTAAAAACATTCGATATCTTATATATGTGATCGCAGAATCCAATTCAAGGAAATCTCTGTTATTAAATATTTCTCACGAGATGATTGAAGATTATAAAATTGTTGGTTGTCGTATTTTTTTTCGATCTAGTTTTCTGTTTATTCACTTCTGATTTTATTTTTATAACGATATATGATAATTTGAGTTTAAACTATCATTTAGTTTTTCATTTGAAATTCTAATTGCGCGAGTGGAAATTTACCAGACGTGTAATTTTTAAGTTCATTTTTGATTTTGCAATTTTTTTCTTTTTTGCCTATGTATTTTTTGTCCCATTTTGCAAGAAATAAAAAATCAAAAATAAGAAAATTGTAATTGAAGGAAAATAATGTTTTGGTTTTTTTTCAGCTTACCTGATCCTGACGAATGTCCTTTGTGAATTCGCTAATGACACGATCTTCGACAACATTCCGAAAATCTTGAACTTCAGTGAAACTTGATGATTTTTCAATGACAAAAGATTGTTGCACAACGTCTGACGTAACAGTTACGTTACTATCGGAAATAATATCGTGAGTGTCAATGACATCAGTGGTACTAATTATGTCTTTAGTTATTGAAGATCTTCGATCAAAATTATTATCAGGTATGTTGTCCTTTGGCTTTTTAATTGTTGTTCTGTCGTTGGGAATTTTTTTATCATCATCCGGTTTCTTCGAATCTTTCGGCTTCTTTTCTTGTGGTTTCTCATAGACAAACGAACCATCCCAATTAGAGGAACCCGGTTTTGTTGGACGTAATGATCTATCTGGACTTGTTTTATCATCCGGTGATTTCAAAATTTCAGATGGTTTTTGATTATCAGGTGATTTATAATCAGTTCTTGGACGTGGTTTCGGTTCGGGGCCTTCTTTTCTTTGTTTTTCATCAGTTATTGTAGTTGAAATATTGGAAGAATCAAATGTTCTGGATTCAATTGTTGAGGATTTTTCCACAGTGAATGATGATGTATTTGAAAAATCAAATTTCGAAGTTTGATCAGTGATGTCCGTGGAATATTTTCTAACATCCAAATTTGGTTTTCTGTCAGGTTTTGTATCCTCTTTTTTCGGTTCGGATTTTTTGGGTTTTTTCTGATCTGGCTTTTCGTATGTGAATGATCCATCCCAGGTGGATGATCCAGGCTTGGAAGGTCGAATTGATCTTTCCTCGGGAGTTGGAATTCGCTTTTCTGGACTCGATGGTCGTCGTTGATCAACAATTGGCTTTTTTCGATCTTGATCAGTTGGTTTCTTTTGATCACTCGGTCCCCTGAAATCTTTTAGAGTTTCGGTGGTGAGGAATTTTATGGGATGATCGTCAGTTATGTTTTGTCCATCTTGAATAACGACAGTTTCAACTGAGGTTGTTGAGAAATCAACATTCTGTGAATCGGAGTAGCTTTCATGTGTTGATGATTTTTGAATGATGAAGGATGATCTTACAACTTCATCATCTGTCAAATCGAGAGTAGTATCACTTATATTCTTCTTTCTAATAGGTTCCAATTTTCGTTGATCATATTTACTTCCAAAATCTCTTTCTTTTTCATTGGGTTTAGAATCAGGAAATTTTGATTTATAATCCGGAGATGCAGTTCTTTTTGTTTCTGGACTTCTTTCCATGATGAAAGTTCCATCCCAGGTTGATGAACCCGGTTTTGTTATTCGTGACTTTTCGGGACTTTGAGGACGTTTTGGATAATCTTGACCTTCAACTTCTACGAAAATTGTTTTCACATTTTTAGGTCTTTGATCATCAATAATGAAATTTTTCTCACTTGATGTGTCTTCAATCACATAGGATGTGGTTAAGATATCAGCTTCGTTGATCGAATTATCTTCAGTGACTTCTCTGATATCGACAGTTTCCGATCTTCTATCGACTCTTCGAATGTCTGATGGTCGTTTATGAGGGGAAAATGGTTTTTCATAGACAAATTTACCATCCCAAGCTGAGTCTCCAAGGCGATAGGTTCTTGGCTGTTCTTTTGGTTTTCTTGGACTTGGTCCATCATCTTCTTCAATGATTACATCCGAGACGGAAGTTACTTTTTCGATTTTCTTATCACCCTCGGTATTGTATTCAATAATATATGATGACGAGGCCGATTCCATGAGATTAACATCTTCAGTCACGTCTTGAACCTCAACGGAATCATTTCTTTTCTCCGTTTTTCGTACAACTGTCACGTCTTTTGGTTTCTCGTAAACAAAATGACCGTCCCATGTGGAATCACCAGGTTTTGTGACTCTTCTTGTAGGAGATGGTGAATCTCGAATGATACTTTTGATATTAGTTTCCTGACCATCTCGAATGTCGATTTTCTTCTCAGTTGTAAATCTCGTGGAATCTGAATCACGAAGATCATAGGACACTGTCTTCTTTTTTGGTTCAGGTTTCTCGAAAATAAATTTCCCATCCCACGTTGAGTCGCCAGGTTTCGTGTAACGAACTGGACTGTGATCTAATCTCTCAGAATCTCTTCTTCTTGCAAAATCAGTTGTGTCCGTTGATGAAACTTTTAAATCTTTCAACGATGTGAAATTCTCTTGTTTTGATTCAGATGTTTGTTCATGTATACTAGAACTTGAAAATCGTTCGTCATTATTTGATTTTTGATTGATTTTTATTGATCTATCTTTTGCCACTGGTTTTTCATAGACAAATTTTCCATCCCATGTTGAATCGCCAAGTTTTAATCGATCGCTTTTCTTTTTGTCGTCCATTGATCGTTTATCAATTGTTATGTCACTGTCGATATTGTGACATGTTGTTGATGTGACTTTTCCATTATCGTCAAACTTTTGATCCGATTGATCGATTTTTATTGTACTGATGATCATTTGACCGTCCTTGGTGGTATGACCTTCTGTGACGATTCTTTTTGATTCGCTACTCTCCATTGATCTTGAATAACTTGACGGATGATAATGATGATGACTAGTGTCAAAATTTTGACTTGAATCAAAAATTTGATTTGTGTCGAAAGATTTATTGATCTCTGATTCATGAATGTGACTCTGTCCAGTTGATGTGATTTTTTGATCTTGAAGAATATTTGCTCTCTCAATTTCTTTTCTCTCTTTTAATAATTGTCTCTGTTCATCAGCTATTAGATCTTGAGATGATTTTCCTGATCTTGAAGTGGAAGCTGTTTGGACTGTTTTTTGGGGTTTATTTTCAATAACTTTGATTATTTTTCCATCAGCGTCCATTATTATTTCTCGACTTGAACTTGACATTTCGACGGTGTTTGTACGCTTTTCGGATGCTGTGACATTTTTTGATTCTTGGACTGTTGATGATGAGGATACAACTTCGTGTTTCATGGATGAAGTTGAACTCTTGCGTGTTAAATCCGTCATTGAAGATTTAGAAGTTGAGGATGTGACTTCATTTTTATTTTTTGATACATCTTTACCCTTACCTTTAGCCACGTTTCCTTTTTTTATCGTCATTGTGACACTTCACAAACAAAACAAAAAATTTTTAAACACTGATATAAAAATATAAATAGATCCTTTGGTCTTCACTTTTAGTTTTTATCGAATTTTTTTTACTCGTTTTTTTTTAAAGATTACAAATCTAATGTAAATTTTTTTTTGTTTTAGAATTAAATATAGATATATTTAAATTAAAGTTTGATTATATGGAATGTTTAAATTTTTAACAGGTGGAATTTGATTGAGGGACAAACACGATGAGGCAAAAACGATGCCAGATTTCAAACTGCTACCAGGTTATATCCTGGTATCCTCGCCGGTGTTGCCGGTCGCATACTGATCTGCCCTCACTGTGGAGAACACACGCCGGTTCAAAACCGATCTCCCTACTTTTCGCCATCCCCATAGTCAAGAGAGTGCCAGGAGAGGTTTCGTGTGGGATGTTTCAAAGCTAATACACGCACTCATACTTCTTCTGTTGTCTCTTTCTCTCTCACTATTACTGCTTTTAATGTAAGTATACATATATACATAAGTTTACGAGTGCGTGTTTCTTAAAGGCACATATGTTTCATTGTGTGTAGTATAGTCACTTCTTGTAGAGATTATACTGCGACGATCCAGTCGATGAGAATATAGGGGAATCGTGATATAGAAAATTTTAATAAAACGATTATTTCGACTTTTAGGGGGCCTTTAGGTTTAATTTAGAAATAATTGATAAGAATTTATCAATTTATTTCAATTGATAAGAATTTCAGAATATTAAATATTAATTTCTTTTCAATAAAATAAGACTTCTGTTTAGGTGTTTAAATGGAAAATTCTTAAAGTAACAACTTTTATGATAAATAGTTATTTTTGTCGAAGAATCTAATGGAAATTATCAATTTTTCAATTTTAAATAGTTTTTTACATTGATTATCATTTTATGTTGAAGATTTTAATGTAATTTTTATTGTCTCATTAAGAGGATACATTTTTAGTAAAGAATTTTTCAGTTTTTCCACTGAGAATTTTTTTCGAAAGGAAAAATATTATTTTCAAAGAAATTTTATTTTTAATTTTGTATAATTTTTTTTTTGTATTTATTTAATCAAAATCCATTAATAGCCCTTTTTATATTTATATTTATTTTCAAAGTTTTGTGAAATTTAGTTATCAGTTATTTTTAGATTTGATTTAATTGAATTTTTTTTTCTTTTTGATATCGAGGAAGAAAACTGCTTAATGAATCATAAAAATATTTTGTCAGATTTCACACGTCGACCTTCTTTTTTTTACATGCGGTTGAGAATTCAATGAATCGCTGCCAAACATAAAAGGGAAGTAAAGTTCAGGAAGATTTATTACCTTGTATATATCGTTCCTTATTTCCTGATTTAATATTACTGTTGTTGCCAAATTAGTATTAGCTTACAAAGATTCGGTTTCTTTTTCTTTTTTTTTGTTAAGGATTTTAAACTGAAAATAATTTTTTCTTCTTTAAACAAGAAAGTAATTATTTTTTAAATTGAAAATGCAAAATTTTACTAAATTAATATTTGTTAATTACTTGATTGATCAATAAAAATATATTTCTATGTAAAATATTTTGGGAATTTTAACATTTGAAAATTTGTTTTCCCAATTGTGGCAACAAGTAAATTCCAACACCAAATTGAGATCGATCGCTAATTAAATTAGAATAATTTACATGTCTTGCACTATGAAAATAGACAGTAATTAAAACAATTAATCATGCCCATCATTGATCTCTTTAAGCATGACGAACCAATTTGTTCTTTCGTGGAATGTATCTGCCTTGCTCTGAATTCGAATCAAGGTTCCAATTTATCCAAAAGTGGCGTATAATTTCATGAATAATAATCAGTCTTAATTTTCTTTTTTTTTACTATTCTTGAAAAAGATTCTATTTTTATAACGAAAAAAAGGTTACATAATTTTGTTTGATAAGATTAAATTCTTTTCTAACATTTGTGACATTTAATGATGAGACACTTTTGATCATAAATGTTTAATAAACATTGTCTGGAAAAAATTACCAGTGTCATAAGACAAAATGACATTAGAGAGAGGGAGAGAGAGAGAACTATAGAAAAATGTAAATATATACAAAGCTCGATAACGCAAAAGGCAATCATGTGTGAGTAGTATTGATAGAGAAGAAGGCTTTTAGCAATTTCTTGCGTAATACTTATTTCCTTCTAAATACGGCTGTGTGATCTGGCCTTCGTAAAAAAAAAGATACAGTAAGCATTTACTGCACATTCATTCGGAACAAAATTTACATCTCTTTCTCGAAAACCATTTCGCAAAACGTCACTTAGTAAATCAACTATCGCTGCATTTGGATTTAATCGATAAATGACGATTAAATGGCATTATTGGTTTTTTAGGCCATTGATGATTAAAAGGAATTCCAAAAATATCAATTTTCAGGAATTTCAAAACATTAGCCTTCATGCGATCAAATTAGAAAAAAATTTTCTTCGAATTTCAATTATAGAATCAACTAACAATTTCGTTATTTAATTATATTACAATAGAAATTTTTAGCTTTGTTTTTATTTCTAATCTTTAAAAAATCGCACCTTAAAATTTTAAATTACATATACAAATATTTATCATATATAACAGTTTTTGGTGTTAATTTTAACTGTCAATCTTTTTTTAAACCTGAATTGGTATTTAAAAAGACTGTTGAGAAAAAAAAGAAAATAATATCGACTTGAAAGCGTAGGTCGAATACTTGTTGAGAAGACAGAACTTGTGGGTCCGTATTTGGCGAAGGCAAAGAAATCTGTGGGCGAACCGGCAGGCCGCGTCATTCGTGTCGGGTCCGAGGAAACAGATGAATGGGCCTTACTCATTTCTCCACATGAAATATATTGCGTTTCTATATGCAGTTTCACTTTGATCCGAATCGATGGTCCTCGAAAAGAAGCCCACGTTCGATTACTTCCCAAAAGGCTCCACTTAAAAGGCCAATGTCGAAATATAATATAGACCCTTTAATCTTCTCTTTTTTACAAAATGATTCATATTCGAATTTATAGAATCTCGTCATTTCTTAATTTAATTTATTTTTATTCAATGTATAGGAAATAAAAATTATTTAAATTAAAATTTTTTAATTTTCCTTTATTAGATTTCTATCATATTTTATTTAATAATAAATTATTATAATAATTATATTTAATTTATCTTTTAAAACAGAAAATTAATATTTTTTAATTTTTTTCAGAGGAAACTACGTTTCCAATAGATATATTCTGTAAAAGATGTCGATTTTCTTATTCGCAAGACATAACTATTTGTAAGGAAAAATAATGAAGGCGGAATAGAAAATTATTATATGGATAACTGCAATTAGTGATTATTGGAGCTGACTCTTTTCATCAATTAAAATGTTCCAGAGAAAATAATGTGAAAATTGAAAAGTTGTTGAGCTCACAACTTTCCTAACAGAGGTAAGAAAAATTTTGTAATACATTTCATATAAATATATAGTTTAATTAATGGAGAAATTGATAAGAAAAAATGGAAAATACTCACAATTGAAATATTGGAAAAAATTGTTATTAAAAATTTGAAATCAATTTGAATTTGAATTACAATTTTTTTAATAATAAATTTAATGTTTAATGCGATTTCAAGATTAAGAGATTCGTCATATTTAAAAGACTGTAATTCAACTTTCTTTGTATTTTCTCTTTTTTTTTCTTGTTCGTTTGATCCCCAAAATGGATACCATCAAATTCCAAGGAGTGTCTCTCGACCATAATCGGAAAGTCTCAATATAACATGACTTTTGCAATAAAACGCGTCGCGAATTGAATTGGAAATTAAGCGGATTTTCTCAGAACTTGTCGTCGCTACTCGATTCTAGAATTTCTCATATAGTGAGATCAAAATTGGATTAAATAAATGAAATAAAAAAATCCTATTCGAGAAGTGACGAGAATAAATTTTTTTAAAAGAAAGTTTAACTTGTCCAAATTAGAAAAATAAATATTATATTAAGTACAGAAAGTTTTTATACAAAAAGAATTAAATGTAGAAATTGGCAAATTTTTGGTAAATTATTTTTTAATTTATTTAGAAATAAATTTTTATAATTTTGAAAAATATATTTCGCATTGTTTAGAAATTAAAAAACAAAGATTATTACTTGAAATTATAATAGTTTTATAATTATTACGTGAGAATGAAAACACATCTAGTGTTTTTAACGGAAATGATACACCAGTAAAAGACCTGTGAATTAGCTTTTTCCTTCCGTATGTTAAATTGCAACGGATGGCTGAATAGAATTTATTTTGTATTTAAAATTCAAATTTAAAAATTATACTTATTTCGTGTTAACAACTTGTTTACATTTCATTGTAATATTAATATTAATATAATTAATTAAACATTTAGTTCATTTAATTAAAAATTAATGAATTATTTATTTATTAAACAGTTAATTATAAATTATTATAATTAATTAAATACAACTTTAATTGATTTTTAAGAACATTATTTTATTCGTAGGTCTGTTAATTTCTTTATAGCCTCAAGTGACTCTACTGATTATAAAGAATTTATGCCAAAAAAAAAAACCACGTGCCATCATTTATTGTCTAATCAAACTGATGATGGAAATTTGGTGAATATTTTCATGTGAGTTTTTAAACTACTTCTTATTATCAAATAGATTTCTCTAATCTTCTATATTATTTCGATTTCAAGCTTTTGATACATTTTTAGTTACTACTATATTATTGTCATTTATCTTATCGCGCACTTTGAACTTAATTTTTCCATTAAATGCGAAAATAATTTTATTTTAAATCCCCAATTACGGCAAAATTGTGGTAACAGAAAATTCTAAACTAAAATAAAATGTGATTAAAGGGAGAGGGGTTAAATTGGCGTGAATTTCAGAGGCGTGAATTGTAGTGAAGTATTAAAAATCATGTTAATACGATATGTACGATATTATAAAAAGAAGACTTTGGAACGGAGCAAGAAAGGTTTCAAGTACTCGTGATGTCACGGCCTGTTTGGCTTATATTCTGACAGAGTACTTTTCAAAGCCCGTAAGGTCTTTAATCGCTGACTTTAATACTCTTATATCGTGTGTGATGCTTTCTTTTTCTTGCATCCGCCGTGGCGCCTCGATTATAAATAATGATTAATCAGAAAAATTGAGGGCCGTTTTTTTTATATATATATTCAGGCTGCGGTTTTTTTTAAATTATCAAACAAAAATTAAATATTAAAATTTTATAAATACAAAAATTTATATTACATTTCACTATTTATATTATGTATTATATATTTCACTAATTTAAATTTTTTCCAGTTATTGAATTTTTAGAAATGAAATTTTTACAGCTATCCTGATTATATATTATAAAAAAAGAAGTTATCCAATTGTTATCGATAACAAGTACCTATTTATTACATTTAATTTTCACTTTTTTTTCTTACACATTTGTCATAATGCTTTTATATACGTGCATTGTGCATGCACAATAGTAATTGTATACACGCATTTCAACCTTGCCTTTACACTATAGCGTGACGTGTGTTTAAAATTCGGTCATTCCTGTACTTGTCCAGACGAGGTCAATCATTTCACTTGAAATGAATAATCCTCGAAACTCTTAAATGAAGGTGAACAAATTGTTGTTTTTTCTTCATGGTCAGAAAATTTTTCACGATTACAATAACTTGAACCAGAAATTCCAAAAATGATTGATTAAGAGGAATTCTTTTTTTTGTTTCCAATGTCGTCAGTTAGTAATTATGAATCAAAGATAATAGATAAGTTAATGAATTTTGGAAATTTCTATGAAAATCTGAAGTGGATGTTAGTTTCAAAAAATAACGTTTATTCAGAGAAATATTTTCGTGCATATAATTTTTCTTTTCATTTTGAAACGAAGTAGAAACTCAGTTTGCCAAATTCAATAATCTCTTTGGGATTTCAAATTATTGTAAAGGATTGTTTGAAATTCTCTCTCTTTCTCTCTTTCTCAATGCTTTTGTTTTATCAATACTATTTACTGCAGGTAACTAAACTGCAGTAATTGAAGTGCAATTGCAGTTAACTAAACAATTTAACTTTCCGGAAGTCGGTGGATATTTATAAAATTAATTCCAACGATTAATTAGTTTTTTTTTTATTTATTTTCAATTTAAATATTATAATAATTTTAATTATTTAAATAAAAAATTTTAAAACTTAAGATCTAAATAAAAAGAAAAACAAATGAACAACAAAATTGAAATAGTTTCAAAAATGTTTAAAAAAAATTGACTTTTTAAATCAAAGTTTGTTTTAATTAAATTAAAATTAATTTTATTTTTAAATTATTGTAATCTACAAATTAGTAAAGAAATAAAATATTACGGTTATACCTGAAGAATCTTATATCTGGTATCGTTGAGATGAAAATTCTTTCAGGAAGTAGAAGTTAGAGAAAATTTTTTAAAAGCACATTTCCGTTGATGAACTTTAAACGTCTTTTGCATCGACGATAGTTCTTCATTCTAAAAATCGATTATTTGAAAAAGTTTTAAGATTTTGATGATATATTTGAGTTTTGATGATTTGATTAAAAAAGTATTAATTTTCAATTCATAAAATACTTTTGATAGCAAATAAAAAGTATAATAATGAAAAATTGCTAATAACAACTAATAAAAAAAAGTTTCAAAGCAATATAAAAATAAAATTTTATTAATTAATTTTTTATTATTAATACAAAATATTAATTATTTAATACAATATTTTAATTAACCGTTTTTTTATTTGAAAAATATTTATTTTTTATTAAAATTATTGTAATTATAATTTTTGTTTAAATTGAGTTGAATTTTATTTTAATTTATTTGCAAATTTTATTTCAAAAACATATTTTTCATTTTCTTTCGTGAGAAATGGAGTTTGTGGAATTGAAATGATATAGCAAATTAAATTGAAAGGATGTAGCGAGCTAATTTGTTACAAAAGATGTAAGGATTAAATTATGTAATGAAAAACACACTTTCTATGAGCAGGGAATCGGATTGCGAGGAGTGAAAGTGTCGAGGGATCGATTTCCGCGTTTGTCGACACCATTCCGCATAATTTTCCATTGACCCAGTTAAATTGGCCTTGATCCTATTTCAATTGAATTTGTTTCACTAATTTTTCGCACATGCAATGCAAAAAAAAATTACACTTCGACCCTAAACAACACTTTTGTTAATTCACTCAACACTGGTTAGCGCGACACAAAATCATAATGATTTATCATTCTGCAGGCGCTTCGCAGGATCGCGAATCACTAAAACTTGGTGGTCGTCGACGTCGACGTCTCGATTTCCCGCGTGCGTCAAAGCGTCGTCCATCACCTTGGAAACTGCGAAAAACATTGACTGCGCCATATCGCGAAAATTCGCCTCAATCCCGCGAAATAGATGAAAATTTAAAAAATTTATTTCACCTTCCTTTAGGAGATGAATAATTTAATTCCAAGTTTTTTTTTAATGAAAAATTCTATTTCATTAAAAATTTTTAATTAAATTAATCTTTAATTTTTTTTATTTAAATGTTGTAATAAGCTTTTCATTAATATTGTTTTATTTCATTTATTGCTTCCTCGTGGAGGAAGCTATGTAGTCCTTTCGTTTATAAACTTTTTAAAAATGGTGAAAACAAATTTTCCTCTATATAGAAACATGTTATATGAGATCCTGATCAATTGTCCGGATGTATGTATGTGTGTGTGTATGTGTGTGTGTGTGTGTGTGTGTATGTGTGTGTGGATCGTTTTTGTGAACACGATATCTTTAACAGGTTTTAATGGATTTGGATAAAATTTGGTAGGCTTATTTAACACATTAATCTCTCAAAAATGACGAGAGGATTTTTAAAAATACCCAAAAAAAAAAATTTTATCGTTTTTTTTCCAAAAATTTTTTTTTAATTGAAAAAATTTTTAAATCGAAAAATTTAAGGTAATATATAATATAATCGTCTTCTTTATGTCAAGATGAATCGATTGATATATATAAAGTATAGATTTGATTGAAATTTAAAGAATTAAAGAAAGTTAAAAAATCAAAAATTCTCATTTTAGCTAAAAAATGATGTGTTTATTTAAATTCATGTTTATATATGAAATAATTTTATTCCCTGCATTGAAACGAATTGGTTGGTATATATAAAGTATAGATTTGATTTAAAATTTGAGAATTAATAAAAATTGAAAAATCGAAAATTCATATTTTAGCTAAAAAATTTTGTGTTTTTTTTAAATTCAAGTTGATGAATAAAATAATTGTATTCCTTGCATTAAAACGAATCGATTCGTATATATAAAGTTTATGTTACACTCAAAATTAATTAAAATTTTCTTTATTTTTCAAAAAATTTAATTAATTTAAAACATTTTTAACTCGAAATTTTTTAAATCAATCAATTGAATTGGACAAATTCATTGCTTCCTTCACGAGGAAGCGAATTTTTTGCTTCACACAATGAGGAAGCATAATGTTTATGAAATAAACATAAAGGACCCCCTCCTTGTTTAATAAATGTTTTCACAAATTACAAAATACTACTCTTAGAAATGTAAATTACATTATATAAAATGGTAATTACAAAAAATATTTAACTAAATTATAGAAAAATACGATTATTTAAATGTAAAAGTGTCTTTTTACAATTTTTTGTCACAATTGAAAATTTTGTAACTAACAATATTATTTATAATATATATTTTACACGAAGAGAAATTGTTAACAATTTTTATCAAAAGTATAAAAAAAAAATGGTGAATAGATTTTGTTAGAATTTTCGGTTTCTTTCTTTTTTTTACATATAATGCATTAAACAATTAACAGCTTGATATCCCATGATTATGTATCCCACGAAAAAGGAAATAGCTCTACCAGGTTGCATGGGACAAATAGCGTATGTTAAAGTATGAGCGATTCTACTTAAAACGAAACCGCGAATTAAATTAGTAGCTAGCCAAATGGATGGCCCGGTTGTCAAATAAAGGAAAGTTATTATAAACCATGGGAGAACATTTTCCAGATCGTTCAAATGACATCTGCGAATTCGTTCTACGTCTTGATCGTCGTGAGTTACTTTTGCTTTCGGAGCAAAACCAGTGTCTTCTGGATTAGCGAATACCTAAAAACAAAAAATTATTTTTTAAATCAATTTTTTAATTATTTTTAATTTTTAGAAATTTACAATACATTGTTTTTATTTAATTAAAAATAATTTAATGTTCTTAAAAATACACGTGAAAAATAATTGGATAAAAAAAATGTTCATAAAATATTAATTTTATATCTATTCCCCTTATAAATTAGATATTCTTTTAACAGATATAGATATACTACTATTAATACTTTCAATGGCAACGAAAATAATTTTTAATGAAGTAGAAGATAACAATATCGCAAAAAAATAACAGTTCTTAAGAATATTTAATCAGAAAAAAATGTATAATTAAAAAAAGATTCTAAAAATTTATAATGAGTTACTTAAAAAATAATCAATCTTTTTGAAATTTCAATCATTTAAAGAAATAATTATATATTTTTGTTTTATTAATTAAATATTGTTGAATTAAAAATTAATTGATTTAAAAAATTTAATAAAAAAAGAATTTGATTTTTATCTTCTTTAAAATTGACATATTAGTAATAATTTAATTGTTTTTTAAGTACCTAAATTCTTCTTTGATTTTGATTAGTTTTTTGTATATCAGAAAAATTAGGCTATATGTGTTGTTAGCCGGTAAAGAATATAAAATATAATGTGTGTATTTGATTTATTTAAAAATTTATTAATTACTTAATAAAATAAAAAAGTAAAATTTTTTCATTACAGAAAATCAGAAATAAATTATAAATTATTTCTTTAATGTTTTAACTAATGAATATGTTATAATTAATTAAAATATCAGGATAAATACCTTCTTTCTGAATCTTTGCCGAGCAGTTAATGGAACCATAGCCATTAATTTAAGAACTACAATAGCGCCCCAGAAGCCAAAAACTTTCATTAATTCTAAATCAATTTGCGTCATTTTGCAGGGAAATTTATTTTACTAATTCTCTATAAACAGAAAAATAAAATTCTGTAAGTATTTCTCCTCGAACACTCGACAATGTAGTGACTGGCGTTTTTCGGAATTCTTTCTAGATACATACCTTGCAATAGATAAAGCTTATCTGTTATCTTGTATATAATTATGGAATCTTCTTATATACAGTTATTATATTGTCAATTAAAATAATTTTATTCTAGAGAAATGATTGAATCATTCAATTGTATAACATCATGACTATGATGTATTTTTTAAATTAATCGTTAAATCTGAAAATAGTTTTTTTTTATGTTTGAATATAATTTCAAAATGTTTCTGTATGAAAAAAGAAACACTAGATAATTAGAAATACAGATTCAGATTAAATAGATTTAAATCATTTGTTTTGTAACTTTTTTTATTAGTTGATTAATTATAAAATTGAAAACAAATATTAATACTATTTACGATTTTTATTGTTATAAATTAAATTATAAGTATTAAAACAAATTTGGAAATTATGACGTAGAATAATAAGATGAGCATTGACTGCTGGCTTTGGAGCTTGCTCTATTATCCAATACTTTGTAACATTACCGACTCAGTCTGACAGCGCGAAATTTTAAATGCTGATAATTTTTTTATTCAATTTAATAATACTTTTTTGCAAATACAGACAATTTTTTTAAATTGGATTTTTAATATTTTCACTATTTTTCTTTTTTGTCAGGGTATTTTGTATTTCAAGAAGAGACTTACATTTTGTTTCCGGCAACACATAATAAACAAATGGCAATGATAAAAAAACCACAATTGCACACAATAAAAATACATATTTTTCGCCAATTAAATAAATCAATGGCTGATAAGCTCGTGTTGTACAAAAATTAAATACAGCTGCCGATGCTGTTGAGGCAAATCCAGCAAATGATTTGATATTTGGAGGAAATAATTCACCAACTAATGTTGAAGGTACACATCCTAATCCATAGGCGAATGATATACTGAATAAAAAAAGGGAAAATATCGGTAATATCCAAAGTTTATCGATATTTAAATTTAATGACAATAAATGAAAATGTAATCCTAAAAGTAGAAGTGAAATGGTAACACCAATTGATGATGTCATTAGAAGACTTCTTCGACCAAATTTATCAACAAGATATGCAGAGAGAAAATTTGTTGCAATTGGACAAATACCCAAAATTGCAACTATTGTACTGGGATTAATTATCGTTACTTGTGCCTTTCTGATGATTATTTCCATGTAACTGTAAAATACATTGTACATACTGAACACGCAGAAAAGCTGAAGAAGAATGATGATTATTGCACTTTTTCGAATACCTGAAATTATAAATTGCTTTGGTAAAAAAATATTTTATTATTATATTATTTAAATATTTCAAAAAATGTATATTTTTGTCATTTTTTTTAGAGTTTACCTGGAAGTCGAAACTCTCTCAGTCTTTGCAAAAAGGTCATGTTTAATGTACCAGAATAAGTCAACATATCTTGGATTTCCTTTTTAAATTCATTTGTTCGTCGAAACCATTTTAATGATTCTTCTGCTTTCTCGAGATGACCGTTTTGAACGTGATGATATGGAGTCTCCGGAATTAAGGAAAAGAGAGCAAGAAATAAAAAATTCGGTACAAGACTTATGTAGGCGAATACTTCCATAGGAAGGTACGATCCCATTACATTTCCCAGAACGACTCCCACACTACTCACATTAATATTTAACGAAATCTAAAAAAAAACATATTAATTAAATTAATTCATATAGGAAATTTTAGTGTTATGTTAATTTTAGTATTTTAATTTTTCACACACTAGAGCACCGCGAATCGAAGGATGAGCTATTTCTCCTAAATAAATTGATAATGAACCCCAAGTAATACCGGAACCAATTCCAAGAAAGAATCTTGATATATAAAGCCAAAATACAGAGCTCGCAATTATTGTACAAATCCATCCAATTGCCATAGGAATTGCTCCAAAAAGAAGAACAATTTTCCGACCGAGAAATCCTTTATTAAAAATTAAGGTAATTTTATGAATAGAAAAATGTTTTATTTAATACAATTATTTTTAATTGTTTATAGTAATTTAATTAATAAATAGTAATAATAACTTATTATTAATCTAATTCAAATAATTACATACAGAAATCACCTTGTATTAAAGCGCCTGTGAAAGCTCCAATTAATCGTCCGAGATTCAATAAAGATGCAACCCAGGATGCTTCAAAATCCGACAATTTTAATGAAGAATCCGAATCCACTGAAGTCAATTGAGCCAGGTAAGGTGACGACCAACCATTAACCAATCCGGAATTAAGAACAATGAGACTTACTATATAAATAGTAACAAAAATTAATTATTGTTGCAATTTGAATTTTAATCATTTTTTTTTTTTTACTCACACGCTAAGGCAGCTAACCATTGTGGCCAAAATTTTTCTTTTTCATCCTTAGATTCGTTATTATTGTTTACGGTCATTTATAAAAGTCAAGTAATTTGCAATATAGTTAATTAATTTTACAATCCTTTTTACAATTAAGTATAAATATAAAAATAAATTTTGATAATTATTAAAACTATTTTAAAAATAAAAGAAAAATAATAATTGAAGATATTTAAAATCTAAATTATTAACAAAACTGATGTAACATTTTCTATTGAAGTTATGAGGCAACACGAAATTTTATAATAATTGAAAACGTTTAGGAATCAAAAGCATTGTTGAGGGAAATTAATTTTAATTCAAAGATGACAAGTTAGTCTGTGAATATTATCTGAAAATTTATGATTTCTTGATGTTTATACACTCCTTTCTTCATTATTGGGTAAGTATTTAACATCGTTGTCTCGCATATGTTTGAAACATTTTTTTTTCTAATCCCCCTATAAGTGTCATTCATTTGTTATCTTTCTGTTTTTCAGAATATATTACCAATTTTAATTAAACATAAATCTAGAAACTAATTAGTTCTGCTAGTTCTTATCTCATTAACGTCTATCAAATTATAACTTAAATCATGATACATATTACGATATATGTACTTATTTCCTATAAACAAAAAATGGAAAAATTCAAAATTTTCTTAGAATTTTTAAATTCGAATGAAAATGATATTTTAATTTAAATTGAAAATTATTAACAATATTAATTGAAATTAAAATCTTATTTATATTTAATTATAATTATGTTAATGAAATTATTTTATCATTGATTTTCTTTTTTTTTTATACCGATTCTACTTAAGAATTTATAACCAACAATTTTTATATTTGACAGATGCTTAGGATTTAAATAAAGTGAAAGAAAATAAAAATTCTTGATCAGCAATAATGCTAGACGTTCAGAAACAGCAACAGGGGATAAATTTTGTTAATAGATCTCAACAACGAACAACATTGAGAGTAGTTGTTGAAAAAATAGGAAAAGCAAGTGCAGTTGTTCATGGAGACTTGAGGTAATATTTCTAAATAAACTAAAAATTAATATTCTTTTTATTTTTGTTATTTAATTTACTAACTATATTTTTATTATTTTTTTTTTATTAACAGCAAAGAAGCTTTAAAGGAACTATTGATGTCTGAATTGTCATTGATATCAAAAACCAAATCTTTTGAAAAAGAAGATATAAAAATTTCTCCAATTGAAATTCAGGAAAGTATTGATGAAGAAGATTTCAGAGATAATGAAAGAGAAATTTTAAACAACATTAGTCAAGAAATTTCCAAAGATAATAATGTAATTGAAGATCATATTGATGCTGTAATAGATTTATCAAAAAATGAAAAAGAGCAATATGAAGAAGGTAATAATTTTTTTTGTTAATTTTCTCATTGTTATGAATTAATATATTATTATAATTGTTTATTTGTAATTTAATTGATTTAATAGTAATAATAGTTTTTAAATTTTTATAAAAATAAAATTAAACTTTTCTTTAATAAACAGAAGAAAATCAAAAGAAATGTGATACGAAAGTTTCGAAAAATCTTGAATTTTATGGGGAAATTGACTCGTTCGAAAGAAAATTGACGGAAAATGGAAATCCTAAAAATAGAGAAACACATAAAAAGAAAATTTATGTAAAAGATTCAAAGACGCACGACAAGAATTTTATTGCATTGCGCAAAAGTCAAGAAATTTTAAACGAGTTATTGATCCATGAAATTGGTATAAATGAAGAAAAAGAAGACACATTAAATATGTCTGAAGATAATAAATGGTTGAAGAAACATTTTAAGGAACCATTAATTTTAGCTATGAAAGAAATTGTTGAGAAGAAACCTTCGGATCCGATAAATTATTTAGGTTTCTGGTTATTAAATTACAGAAGTTTTGATGAAAATCGAGAGAAGGAAATACGCTTAGAAGAAGATATACTGAAGAATCAAAAAAATCACGTAAATTTATATTTTTCATTATTATTACTATTTTATTATCATATACTGTATTTTGATATATTGTTTAATTGTATTTATTTTTAAGTTACAGAATGAAGTTGACAAAATTTCAGTATCAATATTGGAAGAAAAAGACGAACTCTTAATTCAAGAAGAAGAAAATACAGAAAACTGATAAATAATGAATAATTTTTGTGCTTAGGATTTAAATTTTACTACAATTTATAGATATACATTTTTAGATTAGGTTTATCTATATTTATCCACATTATGTAAGTATATACATATATTTGATATAAACGTAGATTAAAAATAAAAATATACACATTTTAAAATACGTGATAATTAGAAAAAATATTATTTTTACTTTTATAGTAATTAATTTTGAAGAATTTAAATATTCCCTCTTTTTTAGGAGATCTGTTTTATTTACCATCGATAATTGCGATTTCAACGCCATCTATATTAAAGATGGCCGTCTAAATGTTTTTTTCCCGCCAAATGGACGTTTGGCGTTTCCATCTGACTGTGTGAACCTGTTGCATGTCAATTATTTTGTTTAATTCTTGTGATTATTGTATTATTAATTTTTAGTTAACAATTATGGATTTAGGAGATACTCAACCTGGTCAAATACATGTACGTGATGAAATTGGCGTTCAGTGTCAAAAATTATTTCAAGATTTCTTACAAGAGTGAGTATGAGTTTTACATTTTATTCCGTCTTTTATTTTTTTTTTTGGCATTAAATATTTTGTAATTTTACATTTATGAATAATTTTATCGCTCTTTAATTAATGAAACAGAAGAATTTGAATACTTTTAATTTATTGATAAAATTACAAGAAAATTTGTATGATAAAATGATTTTCATAATTTAGAGAGGTTATAATAGTGTAATTAATATTTTTTCTGTACATATAGATTCAAGGAAGAAGGTGAAATAAAATATAGAAAATTAACGGAGGAATTAGTGAGTCCAGAAAGAAGTACTTTGGAAGTTTCCTTTGAAGATGTAGAAAGTTACAATCAAACTCTTTCTACGACTATTATCGAAGAATATTACAGGTATTCAAATAATTATAATAGAAATATATCTAATTTTAATTATAACTTCTGGAATAATATTAATAAAATTAAATTTTACAGAGTGTATCCCTTTTTGTGTAAAGCAATTGAAAATTATCTCAAAGATTTGGTGAAATTAAAAAAAGAAAAAGAATGTTACGTGAGTCTTGTTGATGTACCAACCAGACACAAATTAAGAGAATTAACAACAACGAAAATTGGAACTTTAATTCGTATATCAGGCCAGGTTGTACGAACTCATCCAGTTCATCCTGAATTAATTAGTGGCACTTTTGTTTGTGTCGATTGTAATGCAATTATTAAAAATGTCGAACAGCAATTTAAGGTGAGTATAAAAAAAGACAAATTTTTATTACTTTTAACATTTTTATATGAAAAAAATAAAATATTACAGTTTACGAATCCGACGATCTGTCAAAATCCAGTTTGCAATAATCGTCGTCGTTTTATGCTTGATACGGACGCTTCACTTTTTGTTGATTTTCAAAAAGTTCGTATTCAAGAAACACAAGCTGAACTACCTAGAGGATGTATACCACGTTCAATGGAAATTATTCTTCGAGGAGAAACTGTTGAAACAATTCAAGCTGGCGACAGGTATGTAATTTTAAAAAAATAAATAAAATATTTATTTAATGAAGAAATTAATTTAAAAAGAATGAGAAAGTATTTTTTAATAATAATTCTTTAAATTTCAGATACGATTTCACAGGAACGTTGATTGTTGTACCTGATGTTGGTGCACTTTCATTTCCAGGAGCAAAAGCTGAAATCACTGGTAACAACAAAAACTTTGACGAAGGCGATGGTGTCAGGGGACTTAAAGCTCTTGGTGTTAGAGATTTAAATTATAGAATGGCTTTTCTTGCTTGCAGTATCGCTGCAACTAGTCTTAGGGTGAGAAAATAAAATACTGAATTATTAAAAAAAAATAGTTCCAATTTTATTTAAATTACATTTACAGTTTGGTGGCACAGAAATGGCAATGGAAGACATTACTCAGGAGACTATAAAAAAACAAATGACAGAATCTGAATGGAATAAAGTTTATGAAATGAGTCATGACAGAAATCTCTATCAGAATTTAGTTACAAGTTTATTTCCCTCAATTCATGGCAATGAGGAAGTTAAGAAAGGTATTACTCTAATGTTATTTGGTGGTGTTCCAAAAACAACAGTGGAAAAAACAACACTGAGAGGCGATATCAATTGTTGTATTGTTGGCGATCCCAGTACAGCGAAATCACAACTTTTAAAACAAGTCGCTGATATATCACCAAGAGCAATTTATACTTCCGGTAAAGCATCAACAGCGGCGGGTTTAACTGCAGCTGTGGTAAGGGATGAGGAATCTTCTGATTTTGTCATTGAAGCCGGTGCATTGATGTTGGCTGACAATGGAATTTGTTGTATTGACGAGTTCGATAAAATGGATCCAAAAGATCAAGTCGCCATTCACGAGGCTATGGAACAGCAAACTATTTCTCTCGCCAAGGTTCGTTAATTTAACAAAAAAAAAAATTTTATTTGATAAAATATTGTTCATTTTTTATTTTGATTTTTATTTACTGTTTTTGTTTTTTTTTTCCAGGCCGGAGTCAGAGCGACTTTAAACGCTCGAACATCGATTCTCGCTGCTGCCAATCCGATTGGCGGTCGTTATGATAGACAAAAATCTCTACAACAAAATGTTCAATTAACTGCGCCTATTATGTCTCGATTTGATCTCTTCTTCATTTTGGTTGACGAATGTAATGAATTGGTTGACAATGCAATTGCCAAAAAAATTGTCGATTTACACAGTAATATTACTGCCACCATTGATACGCCTTATACACAGGAAGAAATTCTTCGTTATATTAATTTTGCAAAGCACTTTAAACCAATCATCAGCAAGGTAAACATCGAATTTTATATTGTAAATTAATTTCTTTTTAAAATTAACAAATTAAATTTAATTGTAATTTATTTGATTTACACAAAAGTGAAATAAAATTTAATGATATTTAGGAAGCGGGTGAACTCTTGGTTAAGACTTATACAGTACTCAGACAACGAGAAGGACTTAGTTCAGGAAAATCTACCTGGAGAGTTACTGTACGTCAATTAGAGAGCTTGATTCGATTGTCCGAGGCTTTTGCTAAATTGGAATGTATGGATGACGTCACTGTGAAACACGTAGAGGAAGCTCGTCGACTTTTGAGCAAAAGTATTGTCCGTGTAGAACAACCAGACATTGATCTTGAAAATGAAAGAGAAGAAGAGCCAATGAATGTTGATCCATCAACAGAACAAGAAAATGGTGTTCATGACGATCAAGAGAATGATAATCAACCAGGTATGTGGGAATTTTTTTTTAAAGCAAGAAAAGTCGCTTTTTGGAAAAGGTTTTTATAATTTTTCACGAAATTTGGTGCCAAAGTATTTGGTTTTCATTTATAAAATTATATTTGTGTCTATTTTTATTATTAAGAGAGATAAATTGAAAAAATTATTTTTAAATTTGTCTCCAAAAAATGGAAATTCGTTGAAAATAGCTAAATTCTTTCTTTATGAGAATGTAAGTTTAGAATATTTTACATTTTTTTTATGCATTTCTCGAAAAAAATGTTTTTTTTTCTGAAAGGAAATATTTGTTCTATAGAACCGCCAAAGAAGAAAATAACACTGTCGTACGAGGATTATAAGAGAATTTCAAATATATTGATTCTTCATATGAAACGAATTGAAGAAGAAGGTACGTTTTTTATTTGAAAAATATTTTTAATTGCAAATTTTGTTTTCATATGAAATTTAGAATTTAATTTACATTATTTTTACAAAAGGTCACGGTATCAAGAGATCGGAATTGGTTCTTTGGTATATTGATCAGGTACAGGAAGAACTTGAAACTGAAGAAGATATATTGAGCCGAAAGGCGTTAATTGAAAAAATCATTGATAGATTGACCTACACTGTACGTATTCTTGTAATTGATCAACTAAAATGTATTTTATTTTTTTATATATATATTTTTTTTATATTAAAAATTGTTACAGTATTAAATTTAAATTTAAAATTAATTAAAGGAAGAATTTTTCATTTTGCAGGATCAAATTATCATTCCGTTGCGAGAAGGTGAATTAAAAGGCAAAGGAAAAGAAAAAGAAAGCGACGATGCTGATGATGAAAACGATAAAGAGCTTGTTGTACATCCTAATTATTGTGTAGATATGTAAAATTTCTTAAATAATATTTGAACTAGATCTGAAGCGTAAAAGACAATGAAATTCTCAATCATCAGTTCATTTATTATTCAAAATTTCGAAAAGTAATCAGAAATGCGTCGATGTTTTTTGTGAACATATTTTATACTATTTTTATATACAAGACGACAAAAAAAAATCGTTCGACAAATATTTCAAGAAAAACTGATTCTTGAATATTTATTATAACAATTTGTTAAACGGTATTTTTTTCAGTAAATTAAAGACTCACATTTTTTACAATATTTTGATTAGTTATTTAAAAAAATCATTGTCTTCTTTTTGTTTACAGGAAAGAAATTTGATTTCCCTTTTTTTATTTATAGAAAGTTTGAAGACGTTTTTCAGTGGAGGAAGAAAAAAAAAGTGTATAAAGTGATCTATTGTAATTTGTTAAAACACTTTTACTATAACATGAAGTTATTAACATCTATACGCGATTAAATTGTTTGATTATAGAGTTCATTCTAACGAGGAGTAAAGGTGAGATGATGCTTTGATGGAGAGGCGTATGTTAGAAGAATGTTGAACCGTTTAAGAATTGTTTCTCAGTGCTTATGTGATAGTGACAAGATCAACTTAATCGTAAAGGATCAAGATCCCATTAACCCAATGGCATTTAGTTTTAAGCATCATGGAGGAAGTTCAAACGACAATTAGAATTCAAGTAATGTAATTACTATCATTTAAAATATAAATAAACGATTTAATAAAAAATAACAAACATTTATCTTTACTATATTTTTTAAAAGAATTGATTTTGAAAATTATGATTGTTTCGATAAATTTTTGTGATTTTTTTTTATCGTTTAATTTATAAACATTTATTTCAATAGTAGTTTATTTTTATTAACTTAAATTTATATTTATTAGTACAAATTTTTTTTTTACAATTTTTTTTTCATCGAACATTATTCATAATTATGACAAAAGCAAAAAAATGATAATTAGTAATTTTCCGTTAAAAGTAAAGTGATAAAAAATATTTTCACAATATATGAAAACTATTTCACTTGCGTCATTATATGTTAAAATACAATGTAAAAAAACTATTTTCAGAAACAAGTATTTATAATCTAAAATAGTTGTTTAGATCGAATGTCTTGATATTAATCAACAAATGTGAATTACCATGACAATGAAATTGTTTTTTAAATATGAAATTCACGTGGTACTTAAGAGGAAATTTTTTTAAATTTCTTATCAAAATTGAATATTGTCATTATGACACTTCACGACAATTATGCACATTGTAAATTTGCTTAGTTTGTTTTTTGTCGAATGATTTGACAAAACTTTGCAATAAATAATTGTCTTTTTTGGTGATATGAATATTTTTTGAACATAATTTCCTCTGCAACAATGGTAAGTTCCAATTTATTAAATTACAATCAAATTTTTTAAAATAAAAATAATTGATTTTTTTATAAAGATTATTGGTAAATTAGATTTGTCTATTAAATTTTGAGCAAAAATTTTTATTGATTAGAGAAAAATGAAAAAAAAAAGAATTCTTATTACACGAGACCTTTAATTTGCCCTTTAATTTAGAAAAGTGGCGATTGCTAAATTGGCTTCTCCTTTAATTTAAAAAGCGTTTCTCTGTGTGATATAAATTTCAGTCTTTATAAAGCTTCACCTCGTGAACCTTAAAGCCAAACGAATCGCTATTAAATTAATTGATTTCAAAGTTTTTAATTAAAGAATGCTTTTCGCTTTTTTTTAAGCGGTAAAAATGCAAAATTCACTTGAAAGTCTTCTTCAAACAATTTTTTGATTTCTTTTCTCGTTTGTTGTTTATTAGAATTTCATTATACCATTCGTTTTTAATTTATTTAATTTTATTTTAAAATTAATGAATTTATTTTAGCAAGAACAAGGATGGTTTGTTTTTGGTGGTGACTTTGCGCTTCTTAAAGAATTTTTATCGAATAAGAGAACGAAATTATGGATTCCTTTGCAGCTCCTTGATTCTTTGTTGCGGGGTTTTGGAGCGGTAAAGATTACATTTTTTTCTTTAATTAATTTAATTAAAGAATTTGTAAAATTTTTTATACATTTTTTTTTTATTTTACAGGTCGCATTTGCAAATAATCCAATAAGTGGTTTATTTATTGTTATTGCTTTAGCTGTGAATTCACCAGGAATATTAATTTTCAGTGCTACCACAGGACTTTTAGGATTATTATTCTCTATAGTAAATATAAAAATTAAAGAATATTTTAAAACTAAACTTAAAAAAATTTAATATCTCAATTAATTTAAAATATTCTTTGCGTTGAATTAAAAGCTTTATAATTTTGTTTTCTTTTTGAGTTAATTGGAGAACCAGCGAGAAAAATTGAAAATGGTCTCACTGTATTCAATCCTTTACTTGTGGGAGCATTGGCTTATGTATTTATTCCTAAACTATACGGACCATTTGACGCCTTTTGTTTATTATTTCTATTTTTCAGTACAATATTTAGGTGAGAAATTTTCATTTATCAATTAATTTATTTTTTCTGTTTTTACAGAAAATAAAGGTTTTATTAGTTTTTTTAAAATTAATTTTGCAAAATTAATTTTACAGTGTTTATCTAACAAGATCGATAGGAATTGGAAAATTACCATGCTTAACGTATCCATTCGTTATAACGGAATTAATGTTATTATTTATTCTTAAACATCACAGTGGTGGATTTAGATTTGAAGAAGGATTTTCAATAAATGCAACAATTGTGAGTTAAATTTTGATTAAATTAAAAATTTGTTAAATTTTTAGCAATGTTAAAGCATTTACTTTTTTTCATTTAGAGAAAAAAGAATTCCGAGTCAATAATTACTTACCTATCTTTTTTTTAATCATCAATAGGATTTACAATAAATGATAATTAATTGTTTGAAAGTCTTGTAAAGTTAATTAATTAACTGAATAATTAATTACTGGATAAGAAATAATTATATAAAATTTTTAATTATATTTATTGTAAAAACTTTCATTTTATATATATATATATATGTATATGGAAACCTTGACTGTTTGAAATCTATTCATGAAAAGAGAGATTCACGAGATATTAACACATTCGTTTTGTGAAATGATGCGGAATATCACAGTGATTGGATGAATTTAGGTCAGTTAAAAACTCAAAGGTTCTCTTTTCTCAAATTAGAAAAAGTAATCGCTTGAAAATTTCATATGTTTGAATGAAATTCTTTTTCTTGAGTTTTTTTTTTTTTTTTATTTAAATAAAACTATTGCGAACTATATCAGAAGAATAAAAAAAACTTGAAATGTTTAGATATAAAATTTGAATAAGTGATTTATTTGTAAATTGCAATATTGAAATTTAACTGAACGTTAAGCATTGATTTCATTATCATATCTTGTTTTGTATTTTTTTAAAAAAGTGTTGTGTTTTAATAAGAAAAAAAAGGAAATCTGATTTATATCTGGTAAAATAAATCGAATTTTAGTAATATTGATTTACTAATTTTAATTATTGTATTAATGAATTTTTATTACAGTACTATTAATTGATTCGGTACTTTTTTTTTAATTTTCCGCGCTTTTATTATGTTTGTTATTGGAATCGAGATCATAAAGTCGTTATATACACGTGCCATTATACATTGAATATACATGTCCTCTTGTTAGGCATTCAAAGCATGTGTGGAGTTTCAATTTTAATTATTGGCTATTAAGTCTTAAGCATGATCGTTAAATTACAGCAGATGTTCTTGAATCGAGTTTTGTAGGCAACAGTTTAATTTAATTATACTTTTCAATAGCTGGAATTTTATTTTCATTCACCTATTGCAAATTTTCAATTTAAAAAAAAAAATAATAAAAAATGAATTGTTAGTTTCTATCTTTTTTTGTGAGAAGATATTTTATTGATTTACTTTTGTTGAATTTTTGGCGTATAAAATGTGAATTTTTTTTTTTTAAACCTACAATGGAAAATGGGTACAGGCTTTTGATTCTGTTTTAGAACAATGGAACAAGCAACATGACAATAGATGACACGGGTACTATTGTTGGAAAAGAGGATACTGTCAGCCCAGACTGGGGAATGGTAAGGACGATATGTAAGCGATAATTTCCAATATCCCAAGCCAAACTATAAAGTCTCTCGAATGTTACTCTTTAGTTATTCCGCGGTGTTGTGACGTCGGCATCCCAGGTGTTTGCGGTCGATGATGTAGCTGTTGGTTCAGTCGTTTATCTCGCAATTTTAATTTATTCACCAATCACAACTGTCTTTTCATTAGTTGGTGCTTTAATTTCCAGCCTTTTGGGTAAATTTCATTTTTCTTCTGTTTTTCTAAAAAAAAATTTTCCCTCTTTGTCACATATTTAGATGATAAGTCTAAAAATAACATACATTCATAAATGAAAAATATAATTTCTATTTTTGTTTTTAATTTGAAAACACGTAAATCAAAAAGTCTGTTTGGATGAATTCCAAATAAAGTTCGCAATATTTCAATTGTTCAGGAACTGTTGATTCAGAACAGTATTAAAATTACTGTTTTTTTAATCATATTAATGTGTAAATTAATTTTTATTCAAGAAAAAAATATTACTTATAAAAAATATTGATTGATTTTTCTTAGGTTTACAACTTAATGTACCGTACGAATTAATTTATTCAGGCGTTTGGGGATTTAATGGAATTTTAACTGGAGCTGCATTAGGAGGACATTTTCTAATAATTAATCATTATTCATGTATGGCGACAATTGTTGCAATAGCTTTCACTTCTATTTTGCAATACATTATTTACAATATTTTAAATGAGGTATTTAACATTTTATATTAGAATTTTTTTTCAATTGAATTGTTTTTTTTTCCTTTTATTTTTGAAGGAAAAAATAATTGAAATTTTTTTCTGAACTATTCTATTGTTTCTCTTTTTTTTTAAATAATAAAAATGAATTTATTGATTTCAGTTCCAATTTCCATTTCTAGCGATACCTTTCGTTTTAACAACGTGGTTGTTTTTATGTCTGGCAAATTCGACGGAAGATACATTCATTTATTGTCAACATCGGTCTTATCCAGAAAAACAACGTCAGGATTTTTATCGAAGTCGAGCTAGTCAAAAGGAGAGAGAGGTGAGTAATTATAAATTTTTATTAACTTACGATTAATAAGAAATTGATTATTGTTAATTAAATTTTTTACAGATCGATGACGAATACGATCCGGAACCATTGATAAATGATGGGAAAGCAATAGTAATTGCTTCGTAAATTCGGACACTATTTTTTTCAAAATCTTCAAGCAGTTTCGATATAAAAAGTTAGTAAAAATTTTAATCTTTATTTATTTATTAGGGGGGGGGAACAAATATTTATTTTCGAGAAGAGAAAAAGAAGAGCTTTTAAGATGTAATTTATGTGGAGTTGTTGGCGTACGCAAATGTTTCTTTCGCTTTCATTGTTCAAGAAGCATGAAAAAGATATACTTCTAACTACTTGGAGAAAAAAGTGCTCCAGTTTTTCTCATTCACAAATACATTTGCATTTTGAAAGAGGCGAGTAACCAAAAATTTCCAATATTAATGAATTTAATTATTGAAAATTGAATTTATGTTTTGGAATATTAATAATACTTTTAATTATTATTTGTATAATTAATATTAAATTTAATTTTGTATGATAGAAAAAAATTATAAATTCAGGATTACTTTCGATGAGTAAAAGAGTAATTATGAAATTTTCTATTATAATAATGGAAAATACTATATAAAGAAAATGTGTGAAAGGAAAGGTGGTTTACTAAAACATGTAAAAGAGATTTATGCTCTTGGTACATGGCACTTGTTTCTCGGTATCTTTCATTCTCTTTACAATAATCCCTCGCAACATCAGACTGAGCCATTTGGGGTGGATTCGTCCTCTTCTCACTCTCCTTCCTTCCTTCCTTCCTTTCTCATATAACCATCAGCAGCTTATACTTCCCCGACTCGATTTCAACAAGGAAGAGGTGGTAGAGAAGATTGAAATGAAGGGGAAATTCCATGGAGAGAAAACGATGTTACCTTATCCTTTAGAACGAGAGCTGGATAGAGAATCGAGAGAGAGAGAGAAGGGAGAAAAGGAACACCCACGTTAAATAGAGTGAGAGAGAATAAACCTCGCACAGGTGGAATAGGGGTTGGTGGAGGAGAAGACTGGAAAATCAGAGAGAAGGGGTTGGAATCCATCCTACTACCCCCGTTACCCGGCTTGCGTATTCAGCCTGGTGTCTGGCCACGGCTACTACTTCCCAGTATTCCGGCGACTGACCCGAGAGCTACTCGTACCACTTGTTCATCAAACGGGTTTTCATTAAATAAAATATACATTCAACACCTCCTGCAAGGTAGGATTCAATTTTTTCTAATATTAATTTTATTTACACAATTTTTAATACATTTGTTTCTTTTTTCCAGCTTCACGTTCACTATATATGTATATACATATCTCCAACTCACTTGTTTCTTATTTCCCGCTCAGTGCGCGCGCTCTATTTTGCCAGGAGAGTGAGAAAGAGGATGAGTCAAACAATGAGCAACAACCCTGATGCTCTACTCCAGGAGATGTCAAGTGCCTGACATTTTCATCATCATCATTTGGTTAAAAAGAAATATCAAGAATTTTTTTTTTTTTTTTTTACTCTCTCTCTCTTTGTCTATAGATGGTATAAAGGATAAGGGATGCTGCGAGTGAAATTAATAAATAGTGAGATTCCACAAAGAGACGATTTATCAGCTGTGAACCAAGTGAAATTATTTATAGCGGATTCATATAATTGGAAAAGGAAAAGGTGAGAGGTTAAAAATAAAGTAACTTTGACTTGAATATTAATGACAATTCGAAATGGTACATTAATGGAAATCAATAATAACTTCTAATTACACCTGAATCTCGAGAGAGAGAGAGAGATCTCTCTATTTCTTTATTAAAATATTCATCTCGGCTTGAATTTTAACAACGGATGGGTTTCAGTTTCTAACTCGAGACCGCGAAATTAATGGATTCGCTAATAAAACTTTATGAATTTTGCAAGTCATAAATTAATTTATTCAGATAAATTTTTCATTAATTTAATTTTAGCAGTTAACTTCCGAAAAAAAAATTTTTACAAATAGAGAAGAAATAATAGTAATTTAATGTAATTAGCAAAAGGAAAAAAAACACGATTTTAATGAATTTTTCGATTAATTACAGAATTGTCAACAGAAGATGAAAATTTATTATTGAAGAATCACAAAAAAAGAGGATGGAGATCTAAAGAACTCGACTAATGAAGAAATGTATTCTGAACCTAATTTTTTTGCAAAATTCCACAAGTTCGAAGTTGGTCGGTCAACAATGTGTTGGAGACAAAAAAAAAAGTGCTCAAGTTCACGACCGTTTACCTTTGCCTTCGTGGCGCTGAAAAAACGCGCGTACGAACTAAAAACGCTGGCGCGCTTTCCAGTGAGATAAAAGTTCTTCTTGAGTGTTTGTTCGTCTCTTTTGAAACAAGGAGGCAAAAAAAAAAAAAAAATAAAATCCTATTTGAAAATCAACCCAAGATAAAAAAAATCTCAATCAGTTAAAGTCAATTTTAAATAATTATAAATATATTCTTAGATTATCATATAAGATCAAAATCCATATATTTAGATGAATCGTAGTTGCTCACAATATATCAGGTTTTAGAAGAATAATAATTGAAGAAATTGAAAAAGAAGAAAATTATTAATGAGGCTGAGAAATTTGAATTGTGAAGGGAATGAAGAATCGAGAAGTTGACGCACAAAAAATTATTAATTATAAGAAAGGATAGTTGAATGAGATGACGGTGATGCCGTCGAGTTCCGATGTCGCGGACAAAGCGGTCTCGACGGAAGATGCGTCCTGTGGGGTTGAAGTGTCAAGTATTGATGCCCTATTGGCGGCATTGGTTGAGACAAAAGTTGAAGCAATAAAAGCCTCGTCTTCGTCAATAATTACAAGACGTTTCGGTAGTGCTCCAGCGAGTCCAAGACGGCCAAGATTGACCTCCTCATCGACTGTCTCTTCATCACAGAATCATCATCACCATCATCATCATCATTGTCATCCCGATCATCGTTATCACGGAGATCATCATCATCACCATCATTGTGATCATGGAGATTGTCACGATCACCATCAGAGACATCAGAATTATCATCAAGAAGAAGAAGAACTAGAAGAGGAAGAAGATCATCGAGAACATCATCGGCACGGTCGTCGATATGAGAAGAAAAAACGTGAACGACATCGACGTCATGGATCTGCTCCCTGCGGTGAATTCATCGAAAATCCAAGACTGCTTCAGCAAGGACATCGTTCTGGTGAGTGCTTATTTTTTTTATTGTTATTGATTAAATTTCAAAATTTTATTCAAAATAAAAAAAACTTTTTTTTTACTCAAAAAAGAAAAAATCGTCTTCGAATAATATTGTTAAATTCTCACTGTAGGGTTTTTCAGTTTTTTCTTTCGTTGCTTGAATAGAGGCATTGAAAATTCGAAGCTTATAGTCGCTCTCGAGGAGCGAGTTTCAGGGATTATCGCTGCCTAAAGTGGAGCGAATCCGAGTTTTGGTTCATGCTGGAAAACTGAAAGTTTAAAGTCCTACCTAGTGTGTCTGTATATATAGCTTGAGAAATTGAGAATATTTCAAGTTTCTTTTCGGTTATTTTCACATCTTTGCCTATATATATGTATGTACGTATTTGAGTGCACCGACCGGAATTAAAGGTATTATAAAAAATCAGCCAGCGTTCATGAATTTTTTCGGGAAAAATTATTCATGAGATTTGTAAATGGAAAATAAAATTCGCATGAAATCTTATCAATTTGAAAAATTTAATCTTTAATTAAATATATGATTTTTTTTTTCATAGAGTTTTTATTTTTAGAATATGTTTTTTTGTAAAATTTTCAAAATAATTATTTTGCAGATAAAGGAAAAAGAAGAGCATCAGAATGTCCACGAAGTCCAAGTAAAAAGAGGAAATATTCCAAAAGTTCTTATGTACTTGAGGAGGATATTTTGGATTTACCATTGGGACTTGATACGCCATTTGAGCATCTTGGCATTGATGGTGATCAGGATTTAGGGCTGATAAATTTGATAAGATCGAGAGAGGCGTTCAGCGATATATGCGAGTATCCGAGGTTGCACCAAAGTGCCTGCTACACTTCCCAAAACGAAGCACAGCTGTAAGTGTCAGTTATATATATGTAAATGAAAATACCTATATGCATGAACAAACTTTCCAAACTAGAAACTATACTAGAGATTATTCCGAGGGAATGTTTTCTATAACAAGTTGTGCAAAATGACAAAAGCTTGTTTATTAAATTTTCTATTATATTCCCTCTCCTTGACCTAATTAAAGAATCATCATTTTTTTTCCACTCTCTCAATTTTTTCATTTACAGAAAAATTTAATTGAGAAACGATAATTTAATTATCTATTTTTATTTAAAATTACTATTTTAAAAAATATAAATCACTTGAAATTAGCAAAATATTTGAAATAAATATCATTGATTATTTTTACAATTGAAAATACTTCCTTTAAACAAAAATAATTGTAATATTTTTGTTTCAAAAAGATTAAAAATCAATAACTAATCCTTTTAAACGAGAAATCTATTATATAATTCAAATCCAATTGGAATAAATTTATTTAAATTGAATCGAATTTTTTTTTAGCATTTTTATTCAATTCATTATTTTTTTATGAATAAAAGTGTGATATAGAGTACGATAATTTAAATACTTAGAAAAATTTTTTATACATTGAATTAAGTTGTTTACTGTGAAAAATCCATTTTTATTGGCAAACTTTATCTATGAAGTACATGTCTCCCTTTTTCTCTCTTAAAGCTATGCCTAGGTCGTTTACTTTATGTAATATTGTGGTACATAAAAAATTCTCGTAAACGTATGAATTAAATTAAAATCAAAATTAAAATAAATAATAATAAACTAAAAGTAAAATAATATATTTTTTAGAAAATATTTTCAAAAATTTAGTTTCAAAAGATATTGATTATATAAGTCAATTTCCTCGAGAGATGTTGACAATAAACTGTTTGTTTTCCTCTCATTCCTTTTTCTAAAAGCCGACAATATCTGATATGTATGTATATATCCGTTTCCGATATTCTTTTATCCCGATCTTTTTCTGACTATAATGTAAATAAAATATATGTTATATTATAAATAATTCAAGTTACGAAAACGTATGTGTAAATAATTAAAGTAGATTTTCCAAAAGTTGAAAATATTATCTATATAAATAATAAAAATTTTGAATTAAAGATTTCTCGCTTAAAAAGATTGTTGTTGAAAATTTTAATTTTCAAAGGTTTTATAAATTTTTTTTCTAATAAAATTTTAAGTTGACTGGAAAAAATATATTCAAGTCGCATACAGAAAATAAGAATTTCGACTGGAAATTTATTTCAAGATGAAAAGCTCTTGCGTTTTTAAATTACTCGAGAGCAATGCTTTGCACGAAATGTACGATATTTTGTTGAATTTTTGAAGTGAAAGATTATACTTTTAGTTTTTAAAGCTCCATATAGGTTGCTGACTTTAAATATTAATATTATAAATATATATGATGATATTATTAATGACCTAATTAACTAAAAATTTATTTGATAAATTTAATTATTAAATACAAAATTAACGATGTTTAATTTTCAAAACAAACTGTAATATTAATTTTTAATTTTGTTTAATGAGTCATTAAAATACTTTAAAATATTTAAAGAATTCAATTGAAAGGAAAATTGGGTTAAATTATTAATAATATTATTAATTATAAATTAAACGTTTTATAAATTTGTCGCAATTAAATGGATATATTTTTTTTTATTGAAGTGAAAACTTGTGATAAATGGTATTCAATATAGGTGAGATTTATTACCTTTGCGAGGCGTTAATTTACGAAGAAGATTTCAAAACTTGTAATTTATCACTTTTTTTGTCATCTCGTATCGTATTTTTATCGTTTTTTTCTCAATATTTTAACAATGATTTTTGAATGATGATAAATTATTGTTTTTATGATTTTATTTATTAGTATTATAATTATATATTTTAGTTGTTATTTTGTTTTTGAATTATAGTTACATTTTGCGGTGAATTAATATTATAAATTTTAGAAATAATTTTACAGTCTCAGCAAAATTATTTGGGAGTTAATTATCCATAATTAGTGTGTTTGAAACTTATAATATTGGATTAGAACTTTGGGATATTAATGGAGACTATATAACTGAATTCAATTGAGAGATACTAATTTAAATTAATATCGACATCGCTGAATCACACTTAAGGGAATTTCTCGCTGATTAGTTACTTTTGATTTTGTCTTAATGAGAAATCTATTAAAACTTAGTTCAATTTATTTGACTTTATATAATATGTTTGTTTGACTTTCTGCTTTCGGAAAATTTTTTTTCAATTTTAGTTTTCATATATATTAAAATTAATTTCAACACAGTTTTCCTAAAATAAATAATTTAATTTTGATTTTTAATTTTGAGTTACTGATTTTAAAAAAAAGTTAAATGTTTCAACAAAATAATAAAATGGAAATTAAAGATGAAATTGAAATTGCAAAGAGAGGAAATTAATTTGAAAAACTGTTATTTCAAAAATTTCGAAATGTACCTTTTGGTGATAAAAAGTTATAGCGTGACTTAAATTTTAAATGGCTGTCAGATTAAAATTTGTGTCGTTTCATTTTTTGAAAGGTGTGCACAGTGAATTTAAATGAAAAATCATTCACGTTGGAAAGTGGCCAAGATATAAAACTTCTTTTGGAAAATGTAAAGAATAATAAAAAGTTGAGATTTTAAAATTCAATAAATTATCATTTTTTAATTCCCCCTTTTTTTTTTGTTCTGTTATTGATTTTTGTGTTTTGTAAAAATTTTTTCAGGAAACTTGACTATGACGAAGATGATGATTTTTTGGCGCTCAATCTCGAAGATGAATTAGATGACAATGAAACATTGAGTAATCCGGAAAAAGTGAATAAACCAATAGAAAAATTTCATCGTCCACGTAAAAAACGGAAACGACGTATAAAGAAAATTGAACCGGAAATTGTGATAGAAACAGATCCCGATGAATTGCCGCCAAGAGCTCGAATGACCATCGTTGCTACAGCCTGCCTTTTGCTTGCCATGTCATTGCTACTGGTGGGAATTACACTTCGAATGGGACCGATTATTGATGAAATGGGTGAGTTAATGAAAAAAAAAAGGAAATTATTTTCAAAATTATAAATTTAATATTCTTCTGCTTCTTTTCCTCGTATAAGCTTTTGCGCCTTTCTAGATTTCATTTTTGAGCTTTTTGCAGAATTTCTTTTTTTTCGACAATCTAAGGAATGCATTTATTATTTCGGTTAGCAAAAATTTGTTCGGAATGTTTTTTTTTTGAAAATTAGGGCAAGTCTCGGGAGACGTTTACATAATTAAAAAACTTGGTATACTATCTACTCATGAAAAATTCAGGTCGTACTAAATCGACTTTCCTCTATCATTCCTGTATCAGTGTATACATATAGATATATATACAAAATTTACATTTTCAACTATATATATGCATATATATATAGATGAAAAGCCTTTAGTGTAATAGGATCAAAGTTTCCATATACCTAAATGGCTGTGACCATAAAAAAATTCTTTATACCTCTATCTTATTTTTTTTTGCAAATTTGATCAAATAAAAAAAATACCAATATTCTGTTTTGTTTTCGAAACCTTTGAAATTAATTTTGTAATTAATTGTTAATTATTAATATGAATTGTATAATTATTTATTATTTACAATTGCAATTTGAAGAATATACGGTAGGGGTTTGAAATTATAATTTTTTTCTAGAATTTTATAAAACAATTTTGCGTTTCTCGAGGTGTACTATTTTTTTCCCTCTATATTTTGCTATTTTTTTTGGGGCTTTGAGACAATCGATTTGACCCGAACTGTCAACCTTTCGTGGCTTTTACTTAAAACTAGGAAAAAAAAAGTCGGAGCCTTTTAGAAACTCCTCTCACCTCGGCACATATACTTTTCTTTTTTTTTTTTTTTTCTTAGCCAATTACACGTAACACACCATCTCGGGGTTTGCCCTCTCAGGGTGTTGTATACACCTGTATATTACAGTTTTGGACTTTGTATTTTCTGCACATACGTGTGAGCATATATATAGTATATAGCATGTTGATGCGAGGTCGAGGGCGTTTCTGTGGTGCCTCTAAATTAAAGGCGCACGATTGTGAGTCTTCAGTCATTCGGTAGATTTCCGTGGTAAAACTTCTTTTTTTCTTTTCTTTTTCCTTTATTATACCGGATTAAGTTTTTTGTAGTCGCATATATGTATATGTATATATGCAACTGTAAGAAGCCGCGAACTACTTGAGACAAGAAGTTCTCACGCCGGTTGAAAGACTCCAAAGACGAACCAGAAAAGTCGATAAAGAATTTGTAATTTCAGTTGAGGAATTTTTTTCCATCTCTTTGTGCTTTAAAATATTTAAAAATAAATAAATCGTGCACTGTGGAATTTATAAATAAAATTGTCGGCTATTTCAAGAAAAAATTTTTTTAATTGACTTTTTGCTTTTAGAGAATCGCTTTTTATTGCGAAAAAATTGGGAGAGAGATATTAAATTTATTTTAATATTCTTGAATTATTTAAATTTAATCATTATTATTGCTATTATTATTTTTGTTTTTTATAATTCGCGAGTAGATTAGAGTAATTCAGGTGTGCAATGAGTATAAACTGAGAAATTCGATCAGAAATCGTAATAGCTCATTCCTCATCGATTTTTATTGGCATGTACATTTTCGTTCAAGTAAAATATTGAATTTAGAATTTATTATCGTATATTTTCGTAGATTTATTTGAAAATTGAATGTCAAACTTTTTTTAAATTTGCTTTCAAAATTTTGTTTACTACTTAACTTGAAAATAATTTTATAGTTAAATTAAAATATTTTAATAATTTATTTTTATCTTCAATTTAATTTTAATATTTATTGTTAGGTTTTTTTAGATTTTTAGACTTTTGACTAAAAATTCCTTTTAATATTTACTCGAAAAATCGTTTACAATTTACTTCACAATGCAGTTTGCAATTTACTTGAAGATTCTTTTAAAATGAACTTTTAAATTAAGGTTTACATTGACTTTCAAATCAACGTTAATATTTACATTCCCTTTTTAAGTGGATTTTTAAATGAATTGCAATTTCATTTAAAGGAAAAATGAAAGCAAAAAATGAGAAATAAAAAAATTAATGAATTATTTGTTAGTAACTGTTGACAATATAACATTTATTAAAAATCAATTCAAGCTATTAAAAATTGAAAAAAAAGTCAATAGTGAAAAAAAAAATGATAAAGTAAATATAAATGGTGAAATAGTAGAAATGAGAAAAAAATAGAGAAGAGTTGAAGAGAGAATAGTACTTGTACATTGATTTTTGATAAGTAGAATGTTCTCTGACCCGTTTTTAGACTGTCGATGATCCTTGAGAATTAGCACATATTTTTTGCTTTTTGAAAATGAAAAAAATAATGGTACAAAACTTTTTAAAGTACAAAGAGTTAATTGAATTTTGATATTTATGATCCCCTATATATAAATGAATTCAGAGATAAAATCACACTGGCTATATGCACACGAAATTCATGAAACTGTCTAGCAAATGACAATATATTATCCCCAAACTCATTTTACGCGAAATAATAAATCAAAAAAAAAAAAGTGTTTTGTTCTCGGAAAACCTCTCTTTGCAAAAATTTAATTTGTTTATTTATTTTCTCTCAATCTCGTTTATTTATTATTTTTCATTCGTTTGAAGAAAAAGAAAAAAAAATTTGAGAAGCGCGCGCGAGAAAAAAAAGAGAATAAAAATTATTGAGTAAGCTACTTTCTGTATACGTGAAAGCTTTAAAACCTATTTTTGGGACGAGAGAAGAGTATAAAGTTGAGAATCTTTCATATATACATGAGACAGGGCCAAGACAAAAGCAAGTTTGAAAACTCATTTTCTTTAAAGAAAGTTTTTTTCGCGGAAGATATGTTAATTTTGTTTGTCCAAATTGCTAGACAAGTTTTCTTTCTTTTTTTTTTTCATTAAAAAAGAAAAAAAAATAGCATTGTTTTGCCAATTTTATTCACCGCTCGCTTTTTCTTTTTTTTTTGGGTGTGGGAATTTTTTTCTATTGATTTGAATAGTTTTTTATACAGCGATTAGTTATATATTAAGCTTTTTTTTAAATGAATATTTTGCTATAAAAGTTGAAAGCTTCAGTTTTTATTCCGTCTTGCGAAAATTAGAACATACCTATATACAATATTTATTATACCTTTCGTTCTTGAAAGTTTCCAATTGTCTTGAGTTTAAGTAGCTCTTGATGTTAAAGCATGTTGGAATGGTTCCAAAATTTTCCAAAATTTTTTTGTTTTTATAAGAAATTTTCCAAATTTTAACATCCCTATATAGAATTATTATATTCTGCTTTCATAAATATTTAGAGCGCTTTTTTTAAAATAAATATTTACCGTTTATAGACATTTATAGTTTGTAAATATTTGAAAATTTTTAGTTTAGAAATATTTTTGATATTTTTATTTTTATAAATAATTTTTTATTTTTTAATTTTTCTATTATAAAATTCTCTCATTTAATTTTTTCAAAAAAATTATTTTCTGTTTATAAATATTTTTAGTTTGTAAATATTTTTCAGTTTACAAATTATATTTTAGTTTATAAATTATTATTGTAGTTTATGAAAAATTTGTATCTTTTTTTACGTAAGAAAGGAAAATTTCAATTCCCTTAGTTGAAAATTAAATTGCAAATCGAATAGGTAAGTGAATATAGTGAAATTATAAGATTCATTCGTTGCAGTTTTCCACGCGAATTGTATATTGGAGAATAAAGCCCCGCGGATCGTAAATCTGGATGGTTGTTCCGAAACGAAATTCATTCAATCTATATATTCGATGCATTGTATATATATATATGTATGTACAATGTACAAACACATAAACTCTCGGAAGTTGCTTTTAAAAATGTATTGGTCCATTTTTGTATCATCTGAAATCCATATTCTTGTCCATAATATTATGTTACTGTGTGCATTCAAAATGTGAGGATGGTCCATTAAATCTTCTTCGATTCGATTCGATTTGTCATGAAAAGAAAAACGGTTTTACTGTTGTTATATACTTTTAGAAAAGCTCTCGTAAAACTCGATAAATCGTCTGATAAAATCCCGTATAATCTTTCTTTTTACAACTGTTGTGAAAAATAATTGAATAAAATCAATGATAATCGTATTTTGTTATTTTACAATTTTAAAAAAGTTTTTTTGTTTTTCTGTTACTAATCCTAGAATTAAAATTTTATCTATCTCTTTTTTTTAATCAAAAATATTTCATTGCCTTCGTTTTATTGTATAAAAATAAAAAAAAATCAGATTTATTTTTACGATAAAAGTACTGGAATTGTAGAAACAGTTTTTATTATTTCCATACATTTCGCGTAACAAACAATGCTGAAATTATTAATTTACAGGGGCCTTTAATTACCTGCTGACTAGAGCACTCTTGTGGATTATTAAACCACAAGTCACTGAGCCAACTAAAATCTTTTGATTTAAATTTCGGCTTTTAAAACTATTTTATGGAACACGCGATTTTTTTTTTAATTACAAAGACGAAAGATTAAAATTTGAAATTTGTCAAAAATAATGCTAATATTTTTTTGTCTCGCTATATATTTATCATTTTTAATACCCAATCGAAGGGCTTTGCCAAGAGGTACTTAGCAGCTCATTTCCGGATTTTAAACATCCATACGGTTTATTGCGCCCCGTGAGAAAAGCTTTTTTGCTGATAGCTTTCATATATGAAGTGAAATATTTGGAAAAAAAAAGTTTAAATATAACTCGTGTGAAAATTGTTTTAAAATATCAATATTTATTTGAAATGGAAAATTTGATTTATTTATATTAGTAAAATATTAATTTTACACCTGAAAAAATTCATTAAAAAATTCTATTAAATTATCCTTAAAATCGTATATTTAAATTAAAAGAAATTATGAAGAGCAATTTTTAGAGGCGAAAATAATTTATAACTGAGTTTGAATGTTAAGAGTATATATATATATATATATATATCACTTTTGTTTGAAAGAATAATCTATTTTTGCCTCAATTTTTTTTACTAAACACTAAATTCAACGACTCATCATTAATTTGAATTTATATAATTAATGTCACATTTAATTAGAGATTTTATTTCCCACATTTGAAACTCGATTTTATGTCTTGTTATTTTAATTAATATGTTATTAATTAAAATGCAGTGAATTAAAATTTTATAAATTAAAATACTTTATTTAATTAATATATTACGTATACAATTGTATATGTAACACTTTTCTGTCAATTTTAATGAAAAATTTTAAATATAAAAAAAATTCTATTATATTTGGAGCTCATTGGATTTGAAATGTCCCATTAAAATAGTAATTTGAACTTTACTAACAGTTTGTTGAATGTGATCATAATTTGTAATCATAAAGAGTAGTACTCTGCGCGAGTAGTTAAAGGGAAGATATTTGCTTCCTAATTAGACTGTAAAGTATAATGTTCATCCTCAGAAAAATAGTTTTTTTTCTACTATTTATTTGTTTTTGGAAAATAAACAATAAAAATTATTTTTGAAAAGTAATATAAAAAAAAAGAAATGAAATATTTAGAAAGTATAATATAATTTTTATTTGAAAATATCATAATACATTTTCTCGATTTTAGAGCGAATTTCTGTCAGTGATAAATAAAATTTACTGTTCATATCAACGTGCGTGTATTTAAATGTTATCATGCAAATTGGTTTTGATAGGATTTCACTAAATACTAATAATAATAAAACAGTTATCGATATTTATGCAAATTATGTTTACAATCAAATTTCCGACAATTTAATAATCTAATCTAAAAATTAATAATCCTTTAAAGTAATTTAAAAAATTAATTAATAATTTCGTTATTATAATTTTAAATTAAATATATTATTTTACATTGAAATTAATAGTAATAATAATTTTTAATAATTGTTATTGTTGAATTTGAATTTAATGAAAATGTTAATAATTAGAATTATTGTTTTTCACAGAGACATAAAGACAAAAAAGAAGGAATTCGTCAATTATTTTGTTAAATAAATTTATCAATATATGGAAATGAAATTTCACACATGGGAAATATTTGTTAGGTCGCAATGTCAGAATACTGTGCAACCAGTTGTAAAAAGCGGATCGGTGGCCTGCTAGAACCCATATTTCTAAAAATAATCGCAATAAACTCAAGGGTACCTTATTCCATATCGTTGCAGGTAGTTTTATATTAAAAAAATGTTTATCTTTTCAGTTAAACAATTTTGTTTTTTTCTAAATTTAAAATAGAATTTTCAAAAACACTGTCCCGAAGCCTTTTGAATTTGAAGCTTAATAATTTTTAAATTCCCAACATTTCACAGACAGATTACTTCTTTAAAAACATAATTTTTATTCGATACTCATAATAGGCCCTTTTATATGTTTAACGATTTATAATCAATTTATAATTATTATGTAAAATATATTTTTCTTTTTCTTAGATCTTTTTTTTTATTGAAAAAAGTGTGATGAGAGAAAACTTCAACCTATATAGTGGAACAAATTACAAAAGGAAAATAAATTACAAAATAAGGAAGAAATAAAGAAAAAAAAATGATTAAAGAAAAAAGTAAATAAGGAGAAAAAAAAGGTTTAAAAGAGAAAGAAGTAAAAAATAAAATAAAATTTGATAAAGTATTTAAAAATAGAACTGAACTGGTCACGAAGGTTGATAAAAAATTCTTTTTGGAAATTTTTGAGTTGTTGAATTTTTTAGAGAATTTTCTAATTGTAAGTGAATTCTGAGGTGAACAAATATTTTTTTTCGAATTTATGTAATTTGTAAATTTAATAGACGTAATATTTAAAATTATTATTTGAATATTATTTTTCTCGGTGTTTTTTTTTAATTGACTTCTGCATCTCTATTGGAAAAATAGTTTTTTTTTAAATTTTTGATCTGATACAATAGTGAAATTTAATTAATATTCTCTACTCGATCGAGAAAATGAAAACTTTTTTAAAAATTTTTTATTCAATATAGAAAAACTTTTAAATAACATTATTCAGAACTATTTGAAATTTTTAAAAATATACCAAACGGTTCATTTAAATGACTTTTCCTTTTCTCTTCCGCTTTATATACGCTATATATATATACATGTCGGAAAATATAACACATGAATCTAAATTTAAATGTCACACCAGAGGAAGTATTTACCACGGCTATAAAATAAAATCAAGATTTTTTTGTTAAAAAGGTTTTACGAGGAACTTTTATCTTATTTTCGAAATTAATTTTGATTTTAATTAAAAGAATAATAAAATAAATAAATTAATGCTAAGTTAAATTTAGCTCTTTAAATTTCTTTTAAATAAGGGAAAATTATATTTATTAACAACAAAAATATTCAATTATTAAATAAATCTGAGCTAATTTATCATTTTCTCTTTTCGTCTCCTTTCTGGTGTTCGTGTCTTCTCTATTTCTCGTTCTTCTTTCAAAAATTTCGCATCTACTTGGCAATCTCTTTCTCTATCTCTTTCGCAATTTAATTGTTATTCGTTTTTTTCTTTTAATAATAATTATATAAAGTGTCAAAATTTTTTTCAATTCCAATTTATAGGAAATTCAAGACACTTTATATATTTACGATTAAAAAAAATATATAAATGGAATAATGAAAATTGATGAAATAATTCTTAATACCTAGTTTAAATTCAATCTTCAATTTAAAAGAAATAATAATAAATAAAAAAGTGAATGTCAGTATTGTGCGATTAAATAAATGTTAATTAATGCCAATTAATCAAATCAATAATAATATCAAATATTTCAAATAAATTTTCAGTATCATCAAAGACAGAGCCAGAAAGTTCTCTCGAAGATGGAGATTTGATAAAAGCCTCATTGGGAAACGATCAATAGCGTAATCTAGGTCTCTTTTTCGAGGAGAATATAATGAACTTGCAGTGACAAGGGAGAAGTTAACGAAGTATCCATATTGTGAAAGGAGTCAGCTAACATCGATGTCATTATTAACCATAAACAAGAGTATCATGTTTGCTGGTATTATTGTTGAATTGACAATGAACCAAGAAATGAAGAATTTATTCTAAAAACGAACGAACAATTTATCTTCGTACTCCTGATATATTCATATTTTGTGCTCGTCACAAATAAAAAATATGTTCATAAATATTTCATTTATCAAATTTTCCCCTGATGAATGAAATTTTTAAATAAGAAGAGAATTAAATAAAAAGGAAAAATTATGAGCCAAAGAGATTTTGGCAGACGTCATTCAAATTCATGGGAAGATAGAATTGCTTTTTGTATTGATGAAATGTCAGCGGAACGTTTCATTGATACTTCATCAGAATTTCAACATCACCCGAATTGTTATAGTCTTTATCCAATTAGTCCTGATGAAGATTTTCGTCGAGCAATGTCTATTTGCTCGCAATCCGAGAGACCAAGAAGAGCGTCCAGACAAGGCTCGGACGCTCATATTCTGCCGAGTCGAAGATGTAGTGTTCATTCTTCCAGTCACTCAAGGGCAAGAGCTAATAGCAGAGTCACACCATTAGGTAGGGGAAAAATTCATTTTAAAAAGCTGCGGGATGAAGAGAATTATTTTCATTATTACAAAGCGAATATTTGCGTGTAATGATGATAAAGCGACAGAATAATAATTATTTCAAAATTTTCGAAGATTAGAACTAATGATGAGATAATATTTTCGAGAAGGATTTTTAAATTTTCATAATTTTTTTACAAATATTTTATTTTTATTTTCCAAGTTTTATTTTAAGTTTTTATAAGTTTCACTAAATTGTGATATAGATACATTTAATTGAAGATGTGAAAAGTTTTCCCAAGAAATTATTATTAACTTTCTTATAAGGTTTCTTAGACATTTATTTTTTCATTAAAAGTCGTTCAAAAGTTTTTTTTTTCCCCCACACAAATATGAAAGAATTTTCTAAGTTTCTTGTGAATCTTTTTTACACTTTGAACAAAGAGTCGAGAGTTTTTTTTTATTTCTCATTAATTGAAAAAAATTTAATTTAATTAATTATTATTAATGATAATTAAATAATTATTGAAACACCAGAATAGAAAATTGATCTTTCTCCAAAAAAAAAATCTTCGGTACAATTTTAATCTTCAGAATTTTTGAAAGCTTTTGTAAACTAAATATTTCACAATAGTTTGCACTTTTCTTGTAAATACAATAAATGTTTTTAAAAAAAAATAATTAAGAAAACCAAAAAAATCAAGAAACATAACATTGCGCAGGCAATGGAAGAAGAGCGAGTGTCTGCAAAAGAGGTAATGGACGAAGAGCCAGTTCGGCACATAGACGAGATTCAGTGCGTCCTAGCAGAGATGAAATCAAAGTACCGCCAATTGAATTAAAAACACCTGAGGAAATTCAACAAGCCAGAAGGCATCGAAGGATTGCCATGATTGTTGTTGCAACATTTATGTTTTTACTCATTGCATCCGTCCTTGCAGTTGTGGTCACATTGACCCATAGTTCTTTCTACATACCTCCCTTGGCACCTAAAGAATTAAACAAACTTCGAGATCACGAAAGTAATTTTTTCCATCATTTTTTAAAATTCTAGAAATAAACAATTTTATCGATTAATATTCACAATTAGATTCAATAATATTAACGAAGAGTTTCTTTCATTTTTATGTTATGTCATTTAAAATTTATTATTTTATTTTTTCACCAAAAACATTTGATTTTTTTTTTAGTTGAGGCAAACAAAAATTTTTATTGAAGCTAGTTTGATTGATCAATTAAATTTTTTGTTGTCAAAGCCAAATATTTTTCTCTGTTTATATAATTTATTGATTATTATCAATAAAATATATAAATAAATAGATAAAAAAATGTCATTTTTCAATTTTTTTGTTATATTCGATTTCTATTTTAATTTTACAAATCTCTTCGATCAGAATCATTTATAATTCTATATAGCTATTCTTGTGCTCTATTTTTCAGCAGATTTCTTATTGAGTTTCATTTTCTCCGTGAAAGTTGGAAAGTTTTCTTCTTTTCTGAAATCCAATTTGTCAAAAGGTTTTTCTGTACCTTTTTTTTCGCAAACATTTCAAATCCGGAAATTTGTTTTTAAATGATCGATTTTCAAATGAAATCTTGAGAATAAGAAGAAGAAGACGGATATGAATCGATGTCATAGGTCAAGAAATTTCGATTAAAAAAAAAAAATCTCAAGATTTCTCCTTTCTAGAAAAAAATCTTTTTTTTCGTTACACTTTCATCTCATGTACATAACATTTATCATATAGATATATATTAAAATACATATAATAAAAATGATAAATTTATTCATAAATTTATTTTCAATATTTTATAAATTTATTTATAAATTGATATTCGATTAATTATTATTTTTTTTTATAAATTATAAAGTTAGTAATAAGAAAGTGTTTTGCATTGTATGTGTAATGGTTCTAGATCAGAGAATATTCCTTGGAAACAATTTCTTCTTTTAATATTTGTTTTAATATTTGTTACAGTACGAAAAGAGAATGAGGCTCTGATGAATTCTTTGAATCATGATTCATCGGTTCAAGAAAACTCGACAACGTCGCCCTAAGGACCATAATTTTTTTGAAAAAAAAAAAAAAGATGAAAAAAGGACGTTCGGTGTGTGTGCGTGCTTCCCGGTTGCTCGAATTTCAAACTCATCATTTCTCACACGTTCTCAATGAGAATCATTATCTAAGGTCAGATGGTTGATTTCTAAATAATTAAGTACACCTATAACTAAAAATTTCAAAACACCCGGAAAATTTCGACCGGGAAATTGAAAGAAGCTGCAACGAAATATTTTCTTGTTAAATTCGAGAATCTTTTTTTGTTTCAGTAAATTTTTTTTCCATCGATTAATTTCGCGAATTACAACTTGTTTGATAATATGAAATTTTTTTGGCTTCGTATTTTAAATGACGTTCAATTTATAATATTATTTAATGAAAATTGTTGAAATTTGTTCTGTGAATAGATTCTCTGTGTAAATATTTCGTTTTAGTCGATAATTTTTTGCATGATGGCGTTTTAAAAGAGAGATCGATTTTGATGATAGATTTATTATGTACTGACAACATCTATGCAAGGTTGTCGTTGATAATTTTGAAACTGTTGCTAAATATTATATCCGCGATTTGCGTCATAAAGTCAGCAAAAAATTTCTCTGTAACGTGTGTTCATTGGTATCGGCTCAAAAATGAGCTTCGAAATACGACGTTGTGTTAGAAAAAAAGAAAAGAAAATTCTATAAAAAGAATAGAATATAGTTGACGTGCCAAAATAATATTTCTGCGAAAAAGTTGATACTATATAGACCAAAACGGAGAAAACATCTTTATCTAAATTAATATAAAAGAATTTTTCTTTTAATATTCAAAGCTGTTTACATAACAAGTCTTTGAATGAAAATATTGCAAAAAAAAAAGTGAAAAGATTTTTAAAAACTTTTTCATTTAAATTTAAGTATTTCTTTTTTAATTTTAATTTAATTAATTTTTTTTTAATTAAAATTTTAATAATTTGCTACTGTTTTATTTATTTAGTAAATAAAAAGTTGTAATGTAAATAAATTTAATTTGATGTTATTTATGAAATGTAAACTTTCTTAGAACTTTTGATAAAAATTTATAGCGTTTTTTTTTAATTTTTTCAATTTTTTATCAGTTATTTTCGTCAAAGACTGCGTAAAAGTTAAACTACTTGACGTATGATTGAAGAATTAAAAAAAAATGTTGATAACATATTTGTTGGGAATAGAGCTAAGTGTACCAAAAGTTTATACGACAACGAATAATTTGTTTAAGAATTAAAAAACCAATTTAAACTTACATTCATAAATTTGATATATGACTTTTTTTTTATTTGAAAATATTGTGTAAATTCACTTACTCGGAGCACATTTTTCTATTTCATAAAGCTTCTTGAACTGTGAGATTCAATTTATTACAGTATTTATTACTATTAATTTTATCTTTATTATTTTATTTAAGTTTTTCTAATTACATAAAAATTTAAAGAGAAACATTTCAATTGATAATTTTTTCTATTATTTGTGAAGGAAAAGTATTGTTGTAGCCTTAAAAAAGTATCAAGCGAAGGTGGTCTTTTAAATAAGTGTCATCGTTAAAAAAAAAAAAATAAGTAGTATTTAGAAATCTTAAATATAGAAACGTATCGAGATAACAGTAATGATCGCAAAAAGCGAATTGTTGTTGTCAATTGTTAATATAAAACATAATCCTAAAATTGTAATAATTTATTACAATTTTATTATCAAAGATGATACTATTTTAATGAAACCTGCGAATAGGATTCAAATATTATATTACATTTTGCTTCAAATATTGTTCAATATATATTATATATGTATATGGTTATATTTATGTAATATATAATATATATCAATAATTTTAATTTTTTTACTCCTGACGAAAGTGATGATAAAGTAATATGATATTTTTGAATAGATAACAAAGAATAATTTCAAAAATTTTATTTTTCGACATAGCTTTCGTCGTATTTCAAAATTTTTATCCAAGTCATTTTTAAAATATTCTTAACTGCCAGATTTTTTTGGAAAATCATTTTTTTATTCTGTTTATTAAGAGGAAGAAGAATTGCAAAAGAATAAAATTTAAAAAAATTTGTGAAATTGTAATTTTAAAAAAGGAATTCCCTTCAGAAAATTGTTTCGAAACAATTTTAAAAAAATCTTTTTTAAAAAAATATTCCTTATAAAAGAAACTTCTTTTTTTCTTTATAGGAAGAGAATTTTTACAATTTGGCCTAATAGGAAAAGCTTCGCTTTTGTAGCAATTTCCTGTAAATATATATAATATAACAAAAAAAAAAAATAGTAAATCATATTTCAAAAGAAATTTTAAATTCCGCGGACAATAAAGCAAAATTTGTTTATATACGTATATATTCTTCCCTCTAAATATTTAATAAACAGACAAACACATTATAATGATAATAATAATAATTAAATAATTTTTTCCAATTTTAAATTTTATTCAATATAATAATATTTGAAAAAAAATTTGCTTGAAAATATTTCTCTAACATTTTTATCCTCTTAAATGAAACTTGAACTGAATATTTTCGAATAATGTAAAGGAAGAAATGATAAATAACGAACAAAAGAAAATCATTCTGTAAAAGTGCAATTGCGATGCACAATCATCAAAAATTATATTCTTCGCAAAATTAATTAAGTAGAATATTATATCAGCTTTGTACTGAATTAATATTATTGTCAATTCACTTTTTTTTGAAAAAAAAGGCCGCAAATATTTTAATTGTTCTCCTTTCCATAATAAAATTATAAAATCGCTCAAGGCCTATGGGAGGAAAACTGGAATTGTTCATAATAATTATTCGTAATATATAATATTAAAAACATGACAAAAAATTGAATTCTACTTTGACTTAATTTTTTCATTATATATATATATATCTTTCAAGCAAATTAGAATTCAATTCGATATTATAGCCTCTTAAGTCAAATTCAAACTAGTAATAAAAAAAATATGTATAGAAAAAAGGTCAAAAACGAAGAAGTTTATAATGTGAAATTGTGAATTTTTTCTTTTTTTAATTAAAAAATAATAATTATAATTGTAATTATATTTATTATTTTTTGAAAATTTAAAAAAATTTCATTCATAGGGCATTTTTAATTGTTTCTTGATTTTAAAGAACTTAATATTGAAATGTGTAAATAGTCTTATCTTAAAATCAGCACAATTGTGCAAATATTATAAACATGTTAATGGATGAAATATTAAGATTTATGTTTATATATTGTAATAATATTTATTGTAAAACGGTTATTACCATGGAAAATATACACATTAGTTGTCCAGTTCTGAGTTTTTTTTAATAACTTAATTTTTTTTTAGTACAGTTAAAAATTTTTATAATTTTACTTTTTTTATAGATAAGATAAAATATCAATATTATTTTCTATTACCCCATTTTGTTTACTTTTCTGATTTTTATTCTTTTTTAATTTAAATAAATTTTCAATTATTCATACAATAATTATTTAATTAAAAATTATTATTAATTACAAAAAAGCTATGGAATTGAAATGTAATACAATGACATGATATTATTTAATATGCATTACAAATTTTAATTACAAATCATAGAATGTCAGTTATTTATATTATGAGTGAAATATTATTTATTTTCATCAATTGGAGAGTCGAACAATTTAAAAAAAAAATTTTACTAAGACCTTGTTATCGTTTTTTAACACATTTTTTTCTTATAATTTATTGTCACTATTGTTTGAAAACAAAGACTCTCTGATAAGGTTGAAAAAAAATATTATGATGCTTAATTTCCTTTTATATTATACGTTGAACATAATGAGATTTTTAAAATTTACATTTTTCTCTACGTAATACAAAAATGACGTTTAGAGAATCTTTTTTTATACGTATGCGTAAACATTATTTTATCGTTATTACGTGGGTAAAATCAGTCATTTATTTTCAAAAGAGAACACAAAACGTGTAAATATAATAGTAATAATAATGTTTACATTATTATTCGTAGTGAGATTATTTTTTTAAATTAATTGAAATACATTTTCATTATTGGGGAATTTTACAATTTTCATTTCTCATTTTCTTTTTATTTTTGTTCTTTACTGTTTTTTAATGATACATTTTTAATTAACTTCAAACATGATAACAATTTGAAAATTCATAACTTTTGGCATTTCACTACAAAAAAAAAAAAAATGAAGAAAATACTTCATGATTCAAATAAATATCAGTCTCAATGATTTTTTTTAATACCCTGCCAAAAGTATATTTTAAATTTTACTCGGATCTTTTAATTATGAATTAAAATTATTTAATTTATATTAATACTATTTCTCTTTTTTTTGCAGTTTAAAAATGAAATGGAAAGACGTTTTGGATTCACAGGATATGAGATATTATGATTATCATCATATTTGGCAGTTTGCTATTCATTTAAACAAAAGCGTAATATAGTTTGTTAATTAAAATTTCATTTTCCTATTTATTACCTGAATGAAGATTTTAATTGAAAACTATTGGACATTTCATTTCTACTATAGTGTTGCGTGTCGTCATGAAATTTAAATCAATCTCGTCTATTCAGACGAGAACATGCGCACTGGCAGTTAATCTAATAAATTTAGATAAGGTATTATTTATTTTTTGCATTTCTTCTTTTTTCAATCTTATTTTCAACGAAGAATATTATTTCTCGTCTCATTAAAATACAAAAAAAAAAAGAAAAAAAAAATTGTCATTTCATTGAAATGGAACAATTTTCCATTCAATTTCGTTTCATCGTTAAAATGTGCAAAAAAAAAATTTCCGTTCTATTTCATTGAAATGAAAAAATTTGTCCAATATTTTAACTTGTATTTTTCAGTTCATTGGAGGAATGAAGAAAAAAAAATTGGTGTTGTGGGATCCATTCACAGTAAAACAAAAATGCAAGGGGATTTTCTTTTTGTTCAGATCAAAGGGTGTCTTTGACAATAGTTTAACTCTTAATTTTTGGTGAGAACAAAGATTTGAGTCTCTTTTTTTTCAAGTATTCCCATCAAGAGTTAAGCTATTGTACTTACATTCATCGTTTCTTCCATTTTCTTCCTTCTTCTACGACCGCAATGAAGTTCTTCTTGTATCTCCATAAGACTTTTTCCCTTTGTTTCAGGTACGCAAAGGGCAATAAATACTAATCCGAAGAAACAAGACGTGGCAAACCAGGCAAAGGAGGCATAAATTCCACAAGTATCAGCCACAACTTGATAGAGTTTCGATACAAGAAATGCCAAAAGAGAACCCCATACATTTGCCAACGACACAGCAAAACCTTTGACACTTGTTGAAAATAATTCACCGAGCATCATATAAGGAAGAGGATTTAATCCAAGAGCGATAATTAATTCATAAAATATAACAAAAGCCACGAGAATTGTTCCCAATCCGGACATATCAATTTTAATTTGAAATTTGAGAAAATAAAAAATTGAACTCAACGCCAATGATAAGCCACCGAGAAATGTTGTTGTCATCAATAAAGGTATACGTCCAATTTTATCAACCAATCCAGCGGCCGCTAAACCAGCCAATAATTGTAATAAACTCAAAAGAATCACTGCCTGCGCTGCCGAGAATTCCGAGCCACTTTGATCAAATATTTCCTGTGTATAACTTTCAATAGCAGCAATTCCACTAAATTGAAGTACAAATTGAAGTCCAAATGAAACGAGTACTGCTTTTCTATTTCCCTTTGTATCAAAAAGATCCCAAAAATGACCTTTATTCATTAAATCTTTAATTACTGTTTTTTGCATTTGATCAGCTTCCTCCTTAAGGTCCTCCTCATTTTTATATCTTCTTAACCAAGCGAGACTTTTCTCAGCTTTTGATCGTTGATTTTTCATTAATAGATAATACGGTGATTCTGGCATAAAACTGAACGTGAGAAAGAAAATAATCGGTAGAATTATTGAGGCATAGGCAAAAACGCCATACGATACAAATGGACCAATTGCATGACCATAGAGTTCACCAAATGTCACCATCAATTTAATAAATGATCCCAATGAACCACGGATATTTTTGTCAGCAATCTCACCAATATACATGGGACAAATTACATAAACAATTCCCTGACCAATGCCACTGATGAAACGCGATGCAAATAGGATATATGGATTCCAAGCAATGAGAATGAGAATCCATCCAAATGTAAGAGGTATGCCAGCTACTATTAAACTTGCTTTTCTACCGAGCAAATCGACAATAAAACCTGCAATTATATTGCCGGGAATTGATCCCAAAAGATAAAATGATGCGATCCATGAGGCATCATCAGAATTGATTTGTAGATGTGAATTTGGACTTTTTAAATTCGGTAAAGTTGGCGATGTCCAACCAATATGCGAACCCGATATTGCCATTGAAAGAGTCGCTGAAAAAGAGAGAAAATATTTTATTTCAAAAAAAAAAAATAATTATTTTTCGAGAAAAAAAGAGAGACAGTTTCAAGAGATTATTTTAAATCAAAAATAAAGTAAATTCGGTTTACTATAAATTATCTACTTTAAAAAATTCGGTTAAATATAGAAATTTCCTAACATTTGAAATTAAAATGATATTTTTTAGAAAATATTTTCATTTTACGAATTTTAATCTATCAATTCATAATTTTTTGACGATAAAACAAAAAAACCGAAACAATTCATTGAATTTAACGATTAATTTTCACATTACAAAGATTTTATTTCCTTTTTCTTAATTTTAATATTCAATTACAAATTTATTTGTAAATTTTTGACTATACAGTTTAAAGGAAAAGTATTTAAAAAAAATGTCAATAAACAAAAATAAAATAAAATTATTAAGAATTTATATAACAAATCAATGAAGCTAAACAAATATTTTTCTCTTTAAGTCAATAATGATAACTTATTTTTAACTAATTAATCTACTTGTAAATACCTGTGATTGCTGCAAGATATTGTGGCCATTCTTTAGAATATGATTTTTCCATTTTCCTTTAATTTCTTTCAAATCTAATGAATTAAAATTTAAGGATTACATTTACATTAATTTTTTTCAACATGTGAAAATAGTGAAATAAGTTTCGAAAAAGAACGTTTTTTTTTTACTTCGTTACTTTTTTTTAATAGTTTATCGAATGATCATTTTTATATAACTAAAAAAAAATTTAATAATCAAAAAAACTTAATTCGATTTCTTATCGACAATCTCCGTTTGCTTTCAAACGTTAATTAAATAAAATTCATTTTGGCACTTGTGTAAATAATACGAGGAATAATAATTTCCACTTTTGACGTTATTTATTTGAAGGCTGATAGAATTAGACAAAAAAAAAAATTGTGTTAATAATTTCGCGAATATCGAATTTTGCCATTTGGGATAAAATTAAATTTATTTTAAAATAATTTAATTCGATAATCAATAATAATAATTACTTTACCAATTGGTAAATTCCGCCGAATCGTTTTCATTCCTAATTAAGTTAATTTTAACTTACTTCGATGTTTCATTTAATATTTTATTATTCAAGTTTTAAGTTTTTCGCAAAATTCAATAAAAATAATTAATTTGCATTGAATTAAATTATGTATATGCAATAATTAAATTAATTAAATATGTAATTTTTCTTAATTTTTTTTTGACAAATTTGTTTGAATCACAATTTGATAAAAGTTTTAATTTATAAATATATATTTTTTTTTTGACTATTGTTACATTGCAACTAACAATAAGATGAAAATAAATTTCACATCATGTAGATTTTATATGACTATTTATCAGTGTTGCTTATCAGTTACTTTTCTCCCCTTCTAAACTTCTATTAAAACCTTGGATTGATAATTTTATTCACTATTTTTAAAATAATTTGTCGATTTTCGGTAAAAATTTCATCATTTTAGTTTTATGTTTCAATCTACGTTTTGAATTAATTTCATTAAGTGTGTACGTGCTTTTTCTATTATCGTCTAAAAATTTTTGAAAACGACCGTGAAAATTATTTATTTATGTTTTTTTTTTTCTTCAGTATTGTTCAACAAGCAATTTCCGTATTTAGCGAATTATTACACAACAATTATTATATCTCTTACGATGTGAAAATGAAAATAGCATATCTTTACTGAGAAGATACTAAACAGATATTCCATAAATCGTGTACAATACAGTAGTGCGTTAAATAATTCTTATGTACATCATTAATTCATAATTATACCTTCATAATTCCTTCTAATTTCTATTTAAAATTGTCTATCAATTTCTCAACTGGCGCCAACTAATATAATTATTTATTTATTCTATATGAACAGGTGTTAAAAATTTCATAATTTAATTTTTTTTCCTCTTTAATTGACAATAATGATAACTTAATTATTTTATATTGATTCGCAACTCTGACGTTGGAATAATTTATTTTTAATTTACAATATTCGATATTGGATTTTTATTTACTGAATTATTTAAAGTTTTTTTTTTAAATTATTTTTTAGTTAATTATCTAGATTAATTACAAATTTTTATAATTAATTAATTATAATATAATTTTTTATTAATTATCAATTTATTTAAATTTACAACTGTCGTCATCAAATTTTTTTTTCCTTGCTAAATATAGAATTAAAAATGAGTAAATAATCGTAATCAAGCTTGTGTGATGTTATAAATTGTGTGGAAAGATTTTTGTTGATAATGAAAAATGACAATGAAAATTAGATAAGAAATGAGGCAACGAAATTTACACATAATTAGTAGTACATTCCGTTAATAAAGACGTAAAATTGTTATTACAGTTTGAGGTAAAACATTTTTTTTTTTTCCCCTAAAGAGAAAAAACAATTTTCCCGCAAATTTGACCGTTTTGAAATTTAAATTTAAAAAAATATTTCCCGCGCGGAATATCGAATCTCGAATCATATCGATCGCTGTCACTCGTCGTTCTGTCAGTGTCACTTTGTGGTCTGCTTCTGCTCACAAATGAAATATTGAGAAATACAGATGTTTTATTAGTTTTAGAAGATTGTGACGACGTAATCCTCTTAAGTTATTTATTTTAAAGACGAAATACATTTGCGAGTGAATTGTGTGTAAATTAAAATAGTGTATATTGAACAGGATATTAAAGATGTGTGGTGGTTTTACTTGCTCGAAAAATGCATTAACAGCACTTAACGTTTTATATATTGTAAGATTTATTTATTTTTATTTAAATAATGTGAATAATATTGTTTAGTTTATAATTAATTTTACAATGAAGAAATTAATATTTTATTTGTTAAAAATTTGTCAACTCTAGGTGATTGCTTTCGTTTTGATTGGAGTCGCCGTTTATGGAAGAGCATCAGCTTTGATAACAGACCTTCCAATTATCGGTGGTATTTTAGCATGTGGGGTAATGTTAATTTTAATTTCAATCCTCGGATTGATTGGTGCTGTGAAACATCATCAAGTACTGCTATTTTTCGTATCCTTTTTATGTCATTAAATAACCACCAAGTTTTATCAGAATAAAGTGTTTCCGTTGCTTATAACATTACTTTGACCTTTAGACAGCGTCAATCTTCTAAGAACGTGATATTTGTTCTCTTTTTTTTTTAGTTTACTCAGATTCAACAGAGATAATGGGTATTAAATTTTAAATATTTTCATTATGATTGATTTTTAATTTTTTGTTCGTTTTTATTTTTTCAAAATTTTTTAAAAATATTAATAAATTAAATTATATTATAATTTTTATAAATTATCGATTTTTTAAAAATAAATTAGAAATATTTTTCATTATCTTGGTGATAATTATTTTTAATAATTATCAAAATGTTCTAATAAGTAATTATTTGCAGGAGAGGAATTGATTTTTATAGAATTTGATTATTCCTTAACAATTTGTTTCACAGTATATGCTGATACTTTTCTTATTGTTCCTCGTTCAATTTAGCATTGCATGCGCATGTCTTGCTGTCAATACAAAACAACAAGAGGAACTTGCCGAACAGGTGAGAAAAATTTATTATTTTCGATAAAAGAAAATTGCAATTTTTAACTTTGTCTCTTTTTTTCTTACAGGGATGGAGAAATGTTGGACCAGATCTCAAACAAAAAGTTCAGGAAACATTTAGTTGTTGTGGTTTCAATGATACTCTAAGTAGTGTACATTGTCCCGAGGTAATAAATTTAATATTCTACGCATTTAATTCAATTGAATTTCATCGTAAATTAAGAATTTCGATTTTTTTTTAGATCTGCACTCAAAAGGGATGTCCACCATGTATGCAAAAATTACAATCAACTATTGATTATGCATTTAAATTATGTGGAAGTATAGGACTTTTCTTTAGTTTTACTGAGGTAAGTTCAGAAAATATTGATAGTTTAGAAAATAATCAAAACTTCTTTGAAAAGAAGTATTTTAATATTCGGGGAAATTAATCACTGTGAGCACAATTGTAAATACACTTATCACTTACTAACTGTTTAATAATTTAACGGTAATTAATAATATACTGAAAACATTCAGTAATATTCTTAACAAATTGAAAATAATATTTATTAAATCCTTGCATAAGAAATAAATAAAATTAATTCGTAAATCGTTTCGATGGTATTGAGAATATTTTCATTTATCACTGGGAATAGTAGAAAAATTTTATTTTAAAAAAATACTGTTGATTAATTTTTTCGAATATAAATTATGAATCCAACACGTCAATTGAAAGCACAATTGTATAAAAAATATCAATTGCAGTTTGTTGGTGTTTTGTTGACTGTGCGGTACAGGAACCAAAAAGATCCTCGAGCTAATCCTAGTGCATTTCTCTAGTGCATTTTTTCGCATGATCATCCTAACAGATGGTGGGTGTTTTTTTTTCACGCAACTGGTTATGGCCATTTTTCAATTTTTAACATTTTTAATAGAAAAAAAAAATTTGTTCATTTTGTTTTCTTTTTTTTTAGAATGGTTTTAAAGTGACTTTTTATCAATTCGTATTCTATTGTAGGTGATTGCTGCTTTCTTGGCCAGACGATATAGAAATCAATATGATCCAGAATTAAAAGCTGCCAGAGCTATTTTCCCACGAGAAGATTATTTATACTGACAGAAACTTCTTTTTTGTTTGAACAATGGGGTTTGTTTATAAATCCATTGACTTGAAAAAAAAAAACAAAAATACTCTCGATTAACATTAATTTTTAAATTTTTCAAATAAGATCACAAAGAAGTAATACTATACTTTTATATTAATATCGAAGAACACGAAATTTAAATTATTAACTTCCAAGAAACACTCAATTTTAAATTAACTGACAATAGTGATATTTAAATTTACTTGCAGATTCTTTTATCTATTTGAGACAGAAGCTCATTTTTATTTTTAAGCCAAAGATTATATTTTTTATTTAGATAGTAGATAAAAAAAATGTTCATTTGTTTTTTTTTGTTTTATTTTTTTTTGTATTTAGTTTTTTCAATATCATTACTAGTATTTAAGAGTAGAGCTTATCGCTTTATATTTTATGGATCTCAGATAAAACACAAAACGATAGCAATCATAAAATAATATAAATCATAAATAAACAATCATTCCAATTTTGCATGTGATACTTCATCTTACGGTCTAAGAAATCTGAAATTGTTTATATTATATATATAGATCAATATAATCGGAAATTCTGAAATTACTGAAAAATTATTTTTCTGCATAATAATATTTATTTTGCATACTATATATTTTTCCATAATAATATTTTTACTCCAAATATCTTTTATTTAGATATTTTCTTAGTTTAAATAGTCTTTTATTTTTTGTGGGTGATATTTTTATTCTACACAATAATTTTTCTTATATACATTTTTAACGTGAGTTTATATTATTTCAAAAATAGGATCTGAATAAAAATTTAGGTTTAAAAGTTTCGTAGTTCTGTCACAAAAGTTTCATATAAAGAATGATAGAATTTTAAATTAAATTATCATTATTGTATTTTACAATTAAAATAATGTAATCGAGGAATTTTCGTTACTGTAAATTGTAAATCTCCATAATATGAAACATAAATATACATACATATAATAGATACGTACAATTTAATTTTTAAGACGATTAGAGAACAATATAGTTGACACCGAGTAAACAATAAAAAAAATTTAGAAGAGCAGTATTAACTATTTCAAAGCTGATGAGCTTTCTTTTTTGCTTTCATTTTGTTTAATATTATACAAATATGCCGATAAATGAGTGCAACAATTTCTCCCAAAAATTAATCACAATTTTGATGACTACTCGTTTTAATACTGATCATTTTTTACATTTTAATAATTACATTATTCTCTTCTATTATTAATAATAGAGTTTTAATTTTTCAAAAATGTTTCTTATCTGTTATTAATTATTATTGGTAGAAAATGTTGCCTAGAGGTAAACTATAAGTAGTTTAACCAAAATGGTATTTAGAACTTTATTTCGAGACTTGTAAAAAAGTGAGAGTTTAAAAATGAAGATTATATCAAATGAATTTTCAGCTTTAAGTACATATCTGTCTTCGCCTTTAGTAAAAATCCATATTTTCTAAAAAAAAATCTAAAAACGCTATTCTGTATTTACTAAACTATATATATATATACATATAATCCAAATGAGATTATTGTTACTTGAAAAGAAAAACTGTACAAGTACGAAAATAAAAAAAAAACCTACTAAAATGCAAAATTGCGTTTTCAATCATTTAACTTTTGATATTTACAGTTTCTTCTTTATTCAATTATTATATATTCAATTCATGTTGAATATCGGAAAATGTTTTACCTCTTGTTTCGGGAACATAGTAAACAATAAAGACAACTCCAATAAAACAGGAAATGGCGAACCATGTAAATGAAATTTCAATACCCGAGGAATCTGTTATAACTTGAAATAATTTTGTCACACTAAAAGCTAAAAGACTCGTCCAAATATTTGTTGAACATACGGCAAAGCCTTTAATATTGGTTGAAAATAATTCACCCAACATCATATAAGCAATTGGATTTAAACCAAGGGAAATTATTAGTTCATAAAATATTATTGATATTATTAAAATATATCCATATGGTTTCATATCGAATTTTAATTGATTTTTCAGATAACAAAATATACCACTAATTAGTAAGGCACATCCAGCGAAAAATGTCGTATTTATTAAAAGTGGTCGTCTACCAATTTTATCGACAAGAGTCGCTGCAATAATACCTGCTGCTGTTTGAAAAATATTTAAAATTATCACTGCCATCGATGCTGGTAATTTTGTCTCTCCTTCGGACATTATTTTCTGTCAACATTTTTTTTGTTTTAAACGTATCTTGGATTTTTTAATTTATTAGTATATTATATTAAACAAACCTGAGTATAAGATTCAATTGCCGCCAATCCACTGAATTGAAGAATCAACTGAAGACCAAAGCAAATGACAACAGCTTTCTTATTACCAGACGTGCGAAAAAGATCCCAAAATTGACCTTTATTTGACATATCCTTGATGACAGTTTCATTTATATGCTCGAGCTCTTTAAATAATTTATCATCATCATCATCATTATCATAATTCCTCAATTTTCTCAAACTCTTGATGGCATCATTTTTTCTATTTTTCAAAAGAAGATAATATGGCGATTCAGGCATCCAAATAAAAGTGATGAAAAATATTATTGGTAACGCAGCACAACAATAAGCCATTATTGTATACGACACATATGGACCAATTGCGTGACTATAAAATTCACCGAAATTCATCATTAATTTTAAAAATGTACCTAAAGTTCCACGAATATTTTTATCGGCAATTTCACCAATATAAATTGGACATAATGTATAGACACAGCCCATTCCAATTCCACTGATGAAACGTGCAATGAAAATTATGCTACGTGATCTCGTCCTCTAGATCAATTGTAGTAACGCTAGTTGCTAGATCCAATTCACAGTTTTTTAAATATTCGCGCTAAAATTCCGAGTGTCTCCACCTGATGGCCTCTCTCAGCTATCCCGCGTCTCTCACTTATTCAGCCATTACGCTTTTCTGTGCGATCCTTTACACACGCTCGCGAGTGCAATCAGAAAATTAATATAAAGTTTCGATATGGGTCGTGATAGGAAAAAGTCTAAGAAGTCCAAAAAGTCTCGCAAGAGGAAGAGGGACAAGAAATTAGAGAGAATTTTCGAAGAATTACAACATCTACGTAATAGGAGGAACGAAAGATCACCTTCAAGGTCGAGTAACACGAGGCGTTCGAACGACAACGTTGACGGCGAGCAGAACCCGAGAGGTCTGTCACGTCACAGTCGGGACCGATCACGGTCAATTTCGATCAACAGGGGAACCCAAAATGAATTGTATAAAAAACCAAAAGACAACAGAATTGACGGTGAGCGTGACCCGAGAGGCACGTCACGTCATAGTCGTCGCAGGCGTCGTTCTCCGTCTTCATCCCCATCTTCATCCTCGTCTAGCACCTCCAGATCATCTTCATCGGATTCATCATCAAGCGGCTCGAGCTCTAACGCTTCGACCGATCCAGTAAAAGCCTCACGAAAGCGGCGTAGGTTGCGTTCACGCGAAAGAACGAACTCTCCCGAACATTTACGACAACAGCCGGAAATCGAAAACCCGACCATTGACGCCGAAACACTTAACCTATTGGGTAGTGTGAACGAAAATATTAAATTCGGCCCAGAATTAAATAAAAAATTAGTCGATGTATGGGAAAATATATTAAAAGCAGGGCTTTCCAAGGATATAAGGAAAGAGCTTATTGAAAAGTACCCAACTGCTATCAATTGCAAAATATTGCAATCTCCAAAACTCAACCCAGAAATAAAATCTGTCATAGGACAATTGTCTCTAAAAAAGGACAGCTTTCAGGTCCTCAACCAAAACCAGCTAAGCGCTGGAGTAATAGCCTTGGGAACGTGCTTGTCAGAACTTCTGTCAAAACCACAAGCCGAAATAAATGTTTCCCAGCTAATAGTCTTATTAGCAGACGCAGGGAGAATTTTAACCGATTTACACCACAGGATCTCGTTAACCCGTCGATCTTTTATCACGCCGGGATTAAATCAACTCGTTAAAAACGTCGCCGAAGATTGTGACGTAGATACTTTGCTCTACGGAGAAAAATTCACTGAAAAACTGAGTGCGGCCAAAAGTGCCGAAAAATCCGGCAAGGATATCGCAAAGCCGTCAACAAAAACACCAATCGAAAAGAAAAGAGTATACCCGAAGGAAGCATATCCTCGTCCTTTAAACTACCGAGGTCCCCCCAAAAGGAGCTTCAAGGAAACTCGCCAGGGAGGACATCAGAAGGAACAGCGGAATCGCCTTTACGAGAAACCTCGTCGTTAGAACAAGTAAGTGAAAATATTATTGCAGGGAGACTAAGACTGTTTGCCCATAACTGGGAAAAATTGACAACCGATCCCTTGATTCGCCAATACGTTACTGCATACGAAATTCCCTTCAAATCTAAACCATGGCAAGCCGAAGCTCCCAAGGAGCCTAACATACCGGCACAAGAGGAAATCGAGTATAACGTGGCGATCAAAAAATTAATTAAAAAAGGGGCGTTGTCAATGTGTTCACCAGTCGAAGGTCAATTTTTATCCACCTATTTTCTTGCTGATAAGTCCAATGGACAAAAAAGATTTATTTTAAATCTTAAAAAGTTAAATGTTTTTCTTGATCCCCTCCACTTTAAGCTCGAGGACAGAAAAACGGTTGCTAGAATCCTATTTAAAGGGGCATTTCTAGCAACTCTTGACCTTACAGACGCTTTTCTTTTAATTCCGGTAGCTGCCCCGTTTAGAAAATATTTGAGATTTATGTTTAGAGGCATTTATTACGAATTCAATTGTGTTCCATTTGGCTTATGCACAGCCCCATATGTTTTCACGAAACTCATGAAACCGGTCGTCGAGAACTTGAGATCGCGATTATTTTTATCTGTAGTTTATTTAGATGATTTTTTGATAATTGGCAAAACAAAAACAGAGTGCCTCGAAAATATTCGAGCAACACAAATTTTACTAAAGAACTTGGGTTTTATCGTGAACTTAGAAAAATCTAACATCGTACCATCAAAAAGTGCCAAGTATCTTGGGTTCATATGGAATACGCAAAAAATGTCAATAGAATTAACAGACGATAAAAAGAAAACAATTTATACGAAAGCAAAAGAATTTTATGTAAAGAAAACTTGCAAAATTCGAGAACTAGCACAATTTCTAGGTTTATTAATAGCTTCGTGTCCAGCCATACAATACGGTACCTTGTATACAAAAAATTTAGAAAGGGAAAAATATTTATCACTAGTTAAGGAAAACGGTAATTACGAGAGCCGAATGAACCTTCCGAAAAAATTGTTGCCCGATTTAAAATGGTGGATCGACAATATCCTAGTAGCCACCAACCCCATTCGAACATCGGAGTTTACCCTCGAGATTTTTACAGACGCCTCATTAACTGGTTGGGGAGCGGTTACCGGAAACAATCGTACTCACGGTTGGTGGAGCGCGGACCAACGCGATGATCATATTAATTACCTCGAACTCCTGGCAGCATTTTACGGATTAAAATGCTTTGCCAAAAACCTACGTTCACAAAATCTCTTACTACGCATTGACAACACAACTGCGATCTCTTATATAAACAAAATGGGCAGTGTACAGTACCCAAAACTCAGTAGTTTATGTAAGCAGATATGGCAGTGGTGCGAAGAACGCAAGTTATGGATTTTCGCGTCATACATCGCATCACGTGAAAATTCCATAGCCGATAGAGAATCTCGATTATTACCTAAAGAAACCGAATGGGAGTTAGCTCCTTACGCGTTTACAAAACTCGAAAACATCTTCGGCAAATTCGAAATAGACTTATTTGCATCTAGCTCGAACAATAAATGCAAGAAATTTATTTCTTGGAAGCAGGACCCGAACTCTTGTGCAGTAGATGCATTTACCGTGAAATGGGATCAATATAAATTTTACGCTTTTCCCCCATTCTCACTCATTCTTCGAACTTTGCAAAAAATAATCACCGATAAATCTGAAGGCGTACTTGTCGTACCATACTGGCCAACTCAGTCTTGGTTTCCCTTATATAACTCAATGTTAATAAGCGATCTCGAACATTTTAAACCGGATAATAATTTACTTTTTTCTTCGTTTAGGGAGACGCATCCACTGGCGAACAAGCTTACCCTGGTAGCAGGTCTTTTATCAGGGAAGCTTTTTTAGCACAAGGAATTCCGGAGGCTTCAATTCCACTCACACTTCAATCATTATCAACCAGTACCATCCAGCAGTACAACAAACCCTTGAGGTTGTGGTGGAACCACTGTAAAACGAAGGGAATATCAATGTTCGAAGCCCCGGTCCAGGATGTCTTAAATTTTTTAACGTCATTATCCGAATCAATAAAAACATACGGCACTCTAAACAGTTACCGCTCCGCCGTATCTCTTGTTTTAAAGTACGACCTTGGAAGTAACCCCTTGGTCAAAAGATATTGTAAAGGTTTTTCAATCGCCAAACCTTCACGTGCAAAATATAAAGACATATGGGACCCCGACATCGTCTTGCGGTACCTAGAGGAACTCGGTCCTAACGAAGAATTAAATTTAGAAACTATAACTAAAAAATTGTTAACTCTCCTTGCGTTGTCTACCGCTCAGCGGTTACAGACTCTGGTAAAAATAGATATTCATAATATTAAAATTCATAATAATGAAATAAAAATTTACATTCCGGATAGGATTAAAACGTCCAAGATAGGGAAAGAGCAACCTTTGTTGCGCTTTCCCTACCTTCTAGAACAGCCGAATCTCTGCGTCGCAACCTTAATTAAAGTATATTTAGAAAAAACAAAAACAATTAGAGAAACAGGAGTGAACTCCTTACTATTAACTTTTAAAAAGCCACATCATCCAGCAACCGCACAAACAGCCAGTCGTTGGCTTAAAGATATTATGAACGAAAGCGGTATTGATGTCACCACGTTCGCAGGCTACAGCTCAAAACACGCCGCCGTTTCGGCAGCCCAACGCAAGGGATTAGATATTGAGAGCATTAGGCTTGCAGCAGGCTGGTCTAAAAATTCTAATGTATTTGGAAAGTTTTATAATCGTCCCCTACGAGAAAAATGTAATTTTGCGAAGACAGTACTTGAATGTAAGAAATAAAATTTGTTCTTCAAATCGATATCTTTTCCTTCTTTAAACAACTACAATTGATCTAGAGGACGAGATCACGTAGCATAATTGTACGATTAAATGAACTTACCTGAAGTGAAGTTCAATCGTAATTATGCAAGTAGATCTCGTCCGAATAGATCACTCCCACCCAACCCTAATGAACCCATATCGATTTGAATTAATCCAACATAAAAGCATAATGGCTGAATAAGTGAGAGACGCGGGATAGCTGAGAGAGGCCATCAGGTGGAGACACTCGGAATTTTAGCGCGAATATTTAAAAAACTGTGAATTGGATCTAGCAACTAGCGTTACTACAATTGATCTATTCGGACGAGATCTACTTGCATAATTACGATTGAACTTCACTTCAGGTAAGTTCATTTAATCGTACAAGTATATATGGTTCACGGGCAATTATAATTAAAATCCATCCAATTAAAAGGGGAATATTTGCAAGAAGTAAACTTGATTTTCGACCAATTCGATCGACAATTAATGCAGCGATAATACATCCTGGTAATGAGCCCAACATTAGAAGGGAAGTAATCCATGAACCATTGTCCGATGTTATTTGCAGTGAATTTGATGAATTTAATAATTGTGGAATTGTGGGCGATGTCCATCCAATATTTGTGCCAAGTATCATCATTGAAATTGTCGCTAATATGAGGGGTAAAATGACATTTTTACTTTTCTTTTATTAAAAAAAATATTATTACACTAAAGTTTTGAAATTTGGATCAAAAAGGGTTTAAAAATTTATCAAATTGGTTTTTAGAACATTTTTTATCCAATTTTGTTTTTTTCTTAAGAAATCTTACCTGTTAATCCAACTAAAATTTGAGACCAACCTTGGAAATTTTTACAAAATATTCTTGAAAACATTTTTCTTAATTTTGTTTGCTTTTTAGGTTTTCTTTTCAACATAATTTTTAGTTTTTATTTTGTTTCACTTATCTAGATATTTATTATTCGATTTTTTTGGAAATTTTCTTTATATTTTATTTTTTTTTGACAATTTAATTGGCATTTATTTTTTTTTTGAAATTCTAATTTTATACTCTTTTAAATTTAATATTTAATTTTGGGCTTATATTTTTTTGTCCTAAATTTTATATTTAATTTGAAATTAATATTGTTGCACTTTAACTTTTTAATATTAAATTTTAGAATCAATTTTTCTTTATGCTATCAAAATAATTGATTTAATTATTATTATTTTGTTTAAGTTTATTTGTTTCCACACTTACACTAACTAGACTAAATGTTTAAAAAGTAATATATTATTTCAGTGTTTTCCTTGTATTTATTCCCACTCTTTTTTAAAGATATTAAAAAAGAAATTCTGAAAAATATGAAGTAAGTAGTAAATTGTTTAATTCTAAATTTTTCCAATATTTTTTTTTCACTTAAATGCAACTAATATTTAAACGAAGTTTAAAAATAATAATAGTAGTTATCGATAATGATAAATATTTAATCTACACAAAATTTTTTGCCTTTATTTTTAACTTATCTGTAGAATATACCTATGTAAATATTTAAAACTAAATGTATATATTTTTTAAAGGCTGAAAGATAATAGGAAATAATAAGTTTAATTATAATCAATTATTTAATAAAAATGTGACATAATATTATTGTGTTTTAAAAACAAAATTAGTAATAAATAATATATTGTTTTATAGTACAAATATTTATTAATATTTGGATGGGGGGCCTCAAAAATGTGAGGCGGATAATGACCTAATTTCAGTAAATTTTAAAAAATTGTAATGACTTCTTTAGAGATTTTATTATAACAATTAACAGTCTCCAATTATTGTATAAATGTATATATATACTTTTACATTAATATATATATATTATTTTCCATTAATTCTAACATCATAAAATAGCTACAAATTTTCGTTGCTAACAATTTTTGTAAAAATCTCTAAATAATAATTAATCACAGGGGTGTTTTTCTTCACTATAGGATCGACTTTTCTATTATTTATTAAATTACTCAATTACTTAGCAATCGTTATTTAATAAACAAAGTATTTATTTATCAATTAAATAACAATTATCAATTAATTAATTAATTTCTTTTGCGAGAAATTCACCATTCATTATTTGACAATTGGACGAAAAAGTTTTCTCATCACTCTCTAAATATAAACATTTTTTTTAAACATAACTTCAGATAAACTCTGTTTTTTCATTAAACTTTATTTTTAAATCAAACTTTAGTATTTAATTTTATTTTAATTTCAAAAAAGGTATTATTAATTTAAAATTTATTGTGAAATTAAAGAAAAAAGTAACTAATTTTTAGCTCGCATTCGTTATTTGAAAAATTAAGACAATTAAATGTTCTTAAAATAAAAATTTATATTAATCAGAAGTTATTGCATTAAATTCCAGACTAAAGTTTGCATAAAATTTTATCTATTCTTCGGCTACCACCATATGATAAAACTTAACTCAATTATGTTAATTATAATGAATTACCGTTTATTGTAGATGATTTTCAAAATAAAAAGTGTGGAACGTTGGCAATTATATCAAGGTGTCTTCATCCTGAGCCGTTTTTTCACCACCAATGCCATTGATAGAACAATCGGTGTAATTAGTTGCAGTGCTACTGGTTGATGGTACGGGTGATGCTAATGGTCCTTGTACGAGCGAAACAATACTGTACGATTCACGATAGCCGGATGTACTCGAAGTATCCTCGTCAAACGAGACATCAGATTGAGGACGAAGATGATGATGATGATGATGAGAGGAAGATGAAGAAAGAAGATTCTGTTGTTGACTACCACTGTGCTCAGATTTACTCGCAGATGGAGATGATACGACAGGTGATGTTTCCTGTTCGATTTTCGTTTGAATAATCTAAAAATTTCAATTTTTTATATCTTAACTGAAAAATGTTTAATGGACAATTTCTATTCTATTAATAAAAATTTTTTTTAAATAAAAATAAGTATAGTTTCTTTTTTTAAGTAAAAAAAATTTTTTTTTAAAAAAGCCTACTTGAAAGTCAGGTGGTAGATGAAAATTTGTGTCCAGACTGTGATGAGAATGAGGAGGGAAACTGTGTTCTCTAGTGACCTAAAGAAGAATTATGAGTAGTAAGAAAAGAAGAAGAAGAATATAAAAAAGAAAAATAGTTTAACACAGAGATAAATTACTTTACCTCAATGTGAGCTCTTCGACTCTTCTTCAGACGAAATGTCCTCTTGCTTTGTCCCATTGATCTGTGTAATCGTGGTTTGTCTGGACTCAATTGACCCGTCATAGTTTCGCCTGTGAATTAAATTTATTTTTTCACGCTATTTTCCATTTTCATAAAAATAAGAATAATCTTCTTCTCCTATTCTATGACATTATTTTAATCATGCAAAGATTAATAAATCCCATCAAGAGAATAAGGAAGGAGAGAAAATAAATTCTATATTAATTTTATCTAGTCAAAATTCTATTTTAGTATACTAAATCAATTTTTTCGAAACCTATTTTTAAATTATTTTTATTATTATTACTTTTAGTTTAAATTTCTAATTATCAAAAAAAAAAAAAAAACTATTTAATATTAACATAAAGGAAAAAGTAAAACAATTTTAACATTTAATTTGAATCCATTTAAGCAATAAAAATTTAATTTAGTTTATAAATATAAAAGCGAAGAAATCGTTGCCAATGGGAAACTGATCTTCTATAATAAATCATAACGATCAAAAATGATCTATAAAAAAAACATGCAATGTTCACTTAGTGTATTTTATGGAACATTATGTAATGATCGCTATACAAATGACTATATTTTAAGTTATTTTCTTTTTTTAATTTGATAAAAGGAAATTTTTTTTCAGGATTTAGTATCATTTGAAGGGATATGAATTTTTGTTTAGGGGGATGAATTGAAAATTACCTGATGAGTTTCTATACTCTACAGAAGAGACAAAGCGCAGTTTTGGCTTACCTTCAAAACAAAAAAAGAAGATGAAACATGAAAATAATTTAAAACAATGAGGAGGCCATTTTTAAAATAATTACTCAATATATTCAAAATATTTGAAAATTATTATTTTCAATATCTAAAGTATTTGGAGAAAAATTATTTTCAATAAAAAAAAAAAAATTTTAAATAATGTTTATTAATTAAACATACTTGTAAATGTTAGTTTTGAAAAAAATAGACGACACAAGTGTTAATGAATGTTGTTTGTTTTTCTTTTGAAATGGTAAAAATATATAAGCACAGAAAAGTCGAAGCAACTATAAGAGCACTAAAAGATGAAATTAGGGTACCAACTGTTGGAAATTACCATTGTCTAATATACTGCTATATAGTTTAGAGTAATTATGTAACGGGTGTTACGGGCGGGGGGGGGGGGGGGTACGACAGTGAATTTACAGACCTTTTAACGTATACAGGGTTCAAAGGGTCACTTGAGGAAGTGTTTATAGGTAATTGGGCCTTACGGTTAAAAAGAAAAAAGGTTTTAAAAAAGCATGGGGTACACAGCAGGACATAATTATAATAAAATATTTATCAGGGTTCGGAATTTCAGATGAAAATTTAATTTATAAATTTTTTTATTTTATAAAAAATTGTAAGAAATAAACTATATGATAAGAATTTTAAATATTAAATAAATTTCATTTCATTTCAACATTGTCAAATATTTAAAAAAAAAAGGAAATAAAATACTTAAAAATGATTTTTTTCAAAAATGAAAATCATTCCGAATCCTGTATGATGAAAAAGTAAAATTTCGTTGAGATTCAATCTTACCTTTGCTCCCTAGCTGGCAATAGAAGTCACTCATTGATCAATTTTGTCAAGAATGAATTTTTCTCTAATCTAGACATTATTTTTTTTCCAATTAAATTCGTAATACTTATTGTCATAATTTTATGATTTAAAATATAGAAAACAAATTTTTACAGCGTCCGATAGACAATGGCTCGATCCAACTGTGGTTGAAAAGCAAAATTCAAAATGCGACACTGTATACAATCAACAGCGCTGCTTCGAAACAACTCTGAATTAAATAGCAAAAAAAAACACTGCGGCGCATTAAATTATTATACTTCGAAAATTAAAGTAATCAATTAATCAATTTGAATACAATCAAATCGTTATGAAAACAAAATTATAAATCTTTTTAACTCACCCCCAAAAAAAAGATAGTTTATAATTAATATTTACCAAAAAAAAAAAAATTTTTTTCAACATTTTTACTAAAGAGGCAAAAAATATTTTTCTAACGTTCAAAACAGTTTTTTTAATTTGATTAAAAACAGAAAATACTTGTTTAAAATGAAAATTGAAATCCATAGGATTTTTAATTTAGAAATTATCTTGAAAAATTATTCACAGAAAATAAAATACCTGTTCCAGGTGTTGAATCAGATTGTCCTTCGCCAGATGGAACAATATCGTTTCCATCACGTAGAATCGTTGATCCAGCACTGACACTTGAAATCGATTCTAAAAAGGAATTTTTAATATAGAATTTAAATAAATTATATTTAATTTATTCAAAAAAAAAAAAATAGATTTACAAATTTCGTGTATTACTTCTAAAAAATACTTGTATTTTCTCACCTCGTTTAGTTGCTCCATTAAATGTTGATTGACCGGCTAAAGTAGTTTTTGTCGTACTACTCGAATTTGTGGAATGATGAGATGAATGTCCAGCTGTGTGCGGTCCAGTCGATTGCGAAACTGGAGTTTCTGCTGGTGTTCGATTTGATCTAGAGCCAAGATCACCAGTAAGAAGATCAATCAATAAAGACGGTCTCTGTGTTCTCGGTCCACCTTCATTTGTAATATGCATTTCCGCTACACTTCTCTTTGGTTCCGGTTGCATTTCATCTGGAAAAAAAATATTTATATTTTTTAAAACTTAAAAAATTTTTTACTCATTTACTATAACTTTTTCACACTTGGCTTCAAGTAGATTTAGGTTTTGTAAAAATGGTGATGAAATCAGGAAGTGGCATGTTATTCCTCTTTATTTAAAGGTTTAAAAAACGTAAAGACCAAAATCTTAGCTGATCCTTTTCTCAAGTTATTGTCAAATTAAAATTTTTTTAACGAAATTTATATAAGATAATAAGAGAATAATTATTGAACATTAGTTTAATTAAAAAATTTAATGTTTTAGTAACAATTAACTATCTTAAAAATAACAACGAAGATATTTTTCTTAATTATTTTAGTTTTAATTAACAAATTTAACACATTGGAATCATCAACAATTTTCTCAAAGGTGTTTTGAAGAGAACTCTGCCGCCCCAACAAGAATAACCGTATCTGCATTTAGGATGAGTCACCTACTTGCCACTGCCACTGCCACCAATAAGTGACTTAACCAAAATGTAGTTACTGCTACTCTTGTTGGGACGGCAGAACTCGATTACTGCTTTTTTGAATCGAATTAAATAGGTAGGATGGTCAATCAAATTAATTTTGTAACGCTCCCAAAACTTTAAAAATTCTCGGTGAATTGATTCACCAGCCTGTTCTGACCACAAACCTAAACCACGATTTCCTAAAAAACTCAAACTTTCTTGAATGTGTGATACTGTGACATGGATTTTTAAAGTTTCGGTAGCTTCCGTACCCGAAGCACACTTGGCTTCAAGTAGATTTAGGTTTTGCAAAAACATCACACATTCAAGAAAGTTTGAGTTTTTTAGGAAATCGTGGTTTAGGTTTGTGGTCAGAACAAGCTGGTGAATCAATTCACCGAGAATTTTTAAAGTTTTGGGAGCGTTACAAAATTAATTTGATTGACCATCCTACCTATTTAATTCGATTCAAAAAAGCAGTAATCGAGTTCTCTTCAAAACGCCTTTGAGAAAATTGTCGATGATTCCAATGTGTTAAATTTGTTAATTAAAACTAAAATAATTAAGAAAAATATCTTCGTTGTTATTTTTAAGATAGTTAATTGTTACTAAAACATTAAATTTTTTAATTAAACTAATGTGCAATAATTATTCTCTTATTATCTTTTATAAATTTCGTTAAAAAAATTTTAATTTGACAATAACTTGAGAAAAGGATCAGCTAAGATTTTGGTCTTTACGTTTTTTAAACCTTTAAATAAAGAGGAATAACATGCCACTTCCCGATTTCGTCACCATTTTTGCAAAACCTAAATCTACTTGAAGCCAAGTGTGTTTTATCTTACCAATTTTTCGACTTTCAATTTGTTCTTTCAATGTTTTTAAATCATGAATAAGATCGACAAGTAAAGTGCCACGTGATTTTGGTACACAGGTCCAGTCACCGTTGATTTTTTCACGAATAATACTCTGCATATTACGCTCGTGTTCGGATATTGGAGCTTGACCAATTTTTTGAACGATAAATGGCATCATTTGAATATAAAGTGGTGTACGATGTGTTACGACAAATTCCAAAAAATCCCATAAATACAATGACGCTTCATTTCGTTTATTCAATAATCTCATTGTTCTTGCAATTTTTGGCCATTCTGTCGTTAATTCTCTCTCGAAGCAAATTGTTATTATTTTCAAAGCTAAAGAACAGTGGAAAATTATAAAATTAAAAAATAATAAAAATATGGAAAAATGATATTTTACCTAAAAATCCAATTTGATACAAGGTGATAGATATTTTCGTAGGAAGTTTAGCATCTCGAGCAGCGAATGTCAAACTTCCGGCTCTCATATCTGGTCCTCCTTTTGAACTTTGATAATGTATCTGTAAAGTTCTTGCTCCCGCTGGCCAGAGAGTATTTAAAACTGCAGTTAAGGCAAAGCCAATGTCCACAGTTCTCAATTGTGGTACATCTAAAAAAAGAAATTAACTTAATTTTTGTTTCGAAATTTAAAAAATAATATTTATACCTTGTCTTCCAGTGCCAACTCGTAAAAATAAGGGAATCAAAAAATTTAATAACATATTTTCCGTTCTCGTGTAATTTGCAAACATTCCATGACTACCGCATGCATTTTCTAAAGAATATCCTTCGCCCAGCGAAATAACATGCAGAGAAATTAATCTCAAAACAGTCGAACAAAAATGTTGTGGAGGAATTTTTGACATTAAAGCAGTGGACGCTGAAGAAGTCATTTCAATTCCCGTTATATCGCCAATTATAATCGCCTGAAAAATATATTAAATTATGTAATTACCATAATAATAATTTGTAATTTAGTTAATTACCTGACAAGTAGACAGGAGAGTTTTCAAATATTGAAAATGAGCGATATAGGGACATTTCAATAAAGTTTCATAGACGCCTTTTAATAAATCACTCGCAGCATCCCAATCAGTATTTCTTCTTATCGATGCTTTTTTATAAATTTTACTAAAAGTTTTATCCAAACGCCGTAGAATTAGTGTTAAAGCAGGTCTTAAATCGTCACTCGACCATTCTGTCGATGGCAAAAGATCATTCATGTATCTTTTCAATCCTTTACAAGCCATTGTTTCTGGATCGTAGGGCGAAATTTTTAAAAGACTATGCGCAATGTCAGCTAATCGCTAGAAAATTAATTTTTATTTTTACTTGCAAATTAATTTTTATTGAAAATTACAAATTTTTAATTTCACTCACCACGTGACATTTCGAGTCAAGAATCTCAATAGTTTTTACATCTTGGGATTTTTTATTGAGATCAACAAGTCGAACAGAGCAACGAGCGGCAAAATCACCGACCATATTCAATAAAGTGTCCCTTGGTCTTCGAAATTCATTTTTATGACAGCTATCAGTGTCGTCAATGTCGCGCTCATAGAGACTTCGATTTTTATTGTGTTCCATGTATTTCACATGAGCTTCATCCTCAAAATCAAAACCCGGTGAATATGGACCTTTACCATAATTCCGTTGACTTGATCCTTTATGCTCTGGGCTCAATTTTTGAGGCCTATTATAATATCTAAAAAAATGTTGTCAACTTTAAGAAACGTTCTTAATAATAATAAAAAAAAACAATTAAATTAAATTACTTTGTCAGTGTTTCGGAATTGTTGACTAGAGTCCTCACACAAATGGACAATTGATTGATAACTTCCTTTTCAGTTCGTCCCTCTCTATTGTAGGTTGGTTGCTGAATTTTTTGCACATAGCAAGGTAGAATAGCTTCTAGGATTGTCTAACGATAAGAAAAAAAAATGTATTCAACTAGCGAATTTATTTTTAATTTAAAGAATTCTTACCAGCATTTGTTGTCCTCTTATCGAATCAGCTGAATATGCGATTACCATCACGCAAAGAGAAATACAATCGAGAACTGTGACATTTTCATCTTCATCATGATAACAAAAATCAATTGCCTTCAGTGGTTTTTCTTCTCTCACTAATTCTCCTATATTCAAAGGATCCGGCGAAGGATCTTCCAAACTGAGAAGTAAATTAAAAAGGCAAGTCGACGGAACTTTATGAGCATCGCCAACAGCGCTTGTGACATCAGTATCGAGAATTGTCGATACACTTCCAAACATTTGAAGAATAAAGGGTTTTCTATTCAAAAGATAAAATTGCTTCACAGCATATTCAACCGTTGTCGTCACAAGTTTATTCGTTTGATGAGTGGAATAAAGTTGCAAAAGTGTTGGCATAATCAATAAATATCCATTGATGGAGAAAATATTTTTAAAATTTGTTGCTGCATTAATGTAAGTCGCAACGACATATCGCAAAATACACGAATCTTGACTATGAAGAATAACCGCACCATTTAGTACATTTAAAAATAAATGAATATCCCCCGAATAGGCAAAATTTCCCGCCATTGCCTCAAACATTCGCGCAATTAATCTCACCCACATAAATTTGTGCATTACATCCAAACCAAGAAGTTCCTGAAAAATTGAATTTTCTCCTCAGTAATACAAAAAAAAAAAATAAAAAAAATTGAATAAAACAATTAACTCACTCTTCCCATTTCTCCACCTTTGTAAAGATCAAGATCAGCTTCCAAAGCTTTTCTCGGGAAAGATGGTAATTTCATGAGTTCTTCGTGTAAAAAAACAACTCTCTGAACAACCATATCGACATTTTTCAATATTGCCCAAGTAAGCATCACTTTTCCTACTTCCACAAATTTATGCAACAATTCTTGACGCTGTAGGGCATTAAAAGCATCCTCCGGTTTCATGTGTACCAATTCCAATTGTGGATATTGTGATCTTTTGAAGAAATAATAGTCCCGAACGTAAGATGAAGGATTGTGAATTTGATCTAATTATGTAATATTTACAATTCAATTATTAAAAATATTTCACGAAAATTCGAAAATAAGAGAAATTTACAAATATTAATTAAAAAAATATTTTCTTACGTGTTTTATAATCAATGAGAAAATATTCCTTATGCTTGATCTCTTCAATTCCAAAGAAATCTAAAGATTCTCGAAGTATTTGACAAAATTGTGTATCCTCCTGAACAGGAAATTGAGAAGGAATTCCTCCAGCATCAGGATCTTGAGGACCATGAACAATAATTTTTTTCGCTGACGGAACATTTGCTGTCAAAAGAATTGATGCATCACATTGTTCTTTTCTGAGAATTTGTTTTAAATCTTTAAACATTATTCCATGAACACTGTGTACCACCTATTTATAAAAAAAAAAAAAATGTTAAATAAATTTAGAATTTCAATAAGTTTTTTCTTGTAAAATTAATTACCATCCACAAAATTGAAAGTGCAGTGCCAATTAATTTTTGTCCTTCTTCATGCGGAGAACGAACGTAAAACATTATATAACCAATTATGTAATTATAAAGGGCAAACGCCGCCTGTTGAGGAAGTTTTGGAATAAATCTAATAAGATGTCTCAATAATTTGAACATTTGTTCCTGTTTCTCTCTTGTCAATCTTTCGAGAATGTAACGAAGAAAAAGCGCACTGTCTTCCACTAGACAATTCCAAATTACATGGTAAGCAACTTCATAAACAGCATTTCCATCAGTTGAAACTGCAGCATCATCCAAAAGTGTGATAATTTGCACAATAGCCGAACACAATGAAGATGGAAACAAAGAAAGAGCTGATTGTCCATGATGAGATAAATTTCTCGGAACTAAATCACCGCCATCCTCATCAACATTTCCTAAATTTAAAATAAAAAAAAATTATTTCATACTCATTTTTATAAATTTTTATTAATTAAAATATCAAATACCTTCGTCGTGATCATCACCAACTGGACTGGGTTCATGAGCAGCTTGAATTGTAATCGGAATTGTTGTGAGAAGAAAATTTTCCCTCTCCTCACGTTTCTTGTCATCTTGCGCTTGCAATGCTCTTTTTATTAATTCAGTTTGTTGCTTTTTCCTCGTTTTCGTAGCTGTTACGAATGATCTCTGTAAATAAAAAAATTAACAACCCACAATATTTCGAGAATTAATTATTTTTTATTAGCAATTATTTTTATAACTCACGTGACGTTCCTGACTGATGGTAACTTCCTCGACTTTTGTCTTCACTTGCGGCATCCAGGGCGGATCAACAACGGGCAATGATTCAATGCCAATTTTCGGTGACGGAAGAGTAAATTCAATACCAGGTGGAGGCACTTTAAACGTAACGTGAGCAGCTTCCTCCATACGGGGCCAAACTTGATAGCGAAGTTTCCACAAAACTTGAAATCTCAAAATAGAATTAATTCGAATCGATGTATTATTATGTTGTAGTCCCTGATGCATTAATTCACTCGCTTGATTTGGAGCACGAACGGCGGCAACAATAAAAACCGATGCTGCCGAGGCACAAACTTCCTGATTTGATTCTAATAAAAGTTCCCATGCAACTGGTAGTACATCGACAAATAAATCGTCAGACATAACAACAGCGCCTTTAACAAGAGTTGCTAATGGTGCATGAAAAGCATTCTTCACTTGTGTTTGAACATATTTTAAAATTGCCGACGGTTCCTTATCCATATCACTATCCTCCTCCTCATCGGGACCAATAATTTTCGAAGTTTCAGCACCGCGCTCCGAATCCTGATCAGCCAAATCTTTCGACGAGTCACGCGTTCCACCTGTCAAACGTCCCGACTGCGATCCTTCTGGATTCTTATCAATTCTAAAAATTAAAAAAAAAAATCAAAAAAGTAGAAAATTTACAAAATAAAATTTTTTTCCAAATACTCACTTATACTTTCGACCAAGACTATCTTTTCTCTTGGGTGAAATTTGACCGCTCGTTTGATCAGAAATTTTACGACTTCTTTTTTCTTTTTTTCCATTTTCTTTTTTCTCCATTTCAGTGTCAAACATATCATTACCATTGAGAATACCAAATTTTTCACCATAAATTTTTCTCACCGATTGAATTAAACGACTGCACGCTCTCATTTGTCGTCGATGACAAAATGGATGACAAAAATATTGATGTGAACAATAAAAATTCATGACATTCATTGTTTGTACCATAACTCTCATCCAGGGAAAATTTTTATTTGTCTCATCGGTATCGTTACTGTCACTTGGACTCTCGGGTGGTTGATCGTCACTTAAAATACCCGGTGATTCCTCACCACTTACTTCACCACCAAGTCCCGGTTCTGAAGTATCACTACGATCTGATAGTGAACTTACTTTTCTCTTCGATTGAATTGAATCGGCTCTTTTCACTACATCTAAATATTTATTTTATATTTATAAATATATTTATAATAAAAATGTTTTTTTTATTCAATAAAAAAGAAATACTTACACGCCTCACATTCTATATCTTTGCCCTCTTTGGTATTTCTTCTCAATTTGAGACTTCTTCTTTTAAATGATCCTGTATTTGCATTACCAGTTGTCCCACGACGTAGAAGAAATGGTCTTCCTTGCGGTGCTTGCATACGTTTATTTTTCTCTTTCTCATTATTTTGTATCTCTTCACCTTGAATTGTCACATTTGATTTACTGCTACCTTCCGATTCATTATCAGGCTCATGTAAAACGAAACTGATTTTTCTTTCTAAAATGAATTTTTAACATTTTTAAATTGCAATTTTTGTGAAAAAAAATTAAATTTTAAACATTAATAAATTACCAGTTTCTCGATCTCCAGCGATGGATTGAAGACTTTGTGCCGAAGTCTGAGAATGACCCATTGAAGATAAAGCCATACTCCATCGACGATTAGCTTCACGACTATACATTTTTTCCCAAGGTGGTGGTCTTTCCTTTGTTGACATTCTATTTGATTTTGGCAAAGTTTGATAAGTTTCACGAAGAAAAGCTGTGATTTCAAGTAATAACATACAGGCAACCATTCTCAATGACACCGGACAGGACGAGCCATAAGTATTTACACTTGCTAAAAATATTTAATTTCAAGTTTAAATATTTATCCAAATATTCGAAAAAAAATATATTAAACTCAATAATTAAAAAATACATACCGTCATCGAGAAAATTTTCTTCTTCATCTTCAATTATTAAATCACGATGTTTCGATTCATCTAAAACAACAGCTGACGCATTCTCCATTACTTTTTTGTCCTCCACGAGAAATTCATCTAAACGTGCTCCAATTGCCTAAACAAAGATTAAAAAAAAGATTCTTATTTTTAAGATGAAAAATTCTCATTATTATTAAAAGAAATGACAAAATTTCTTCTATTCTTACTTCAGCCCATTGATAAAATAATTTTCCAGCTGATCTTTGTAAAAGATGCGTTCGTCTGAGACCAGTTGATGTTGAACGATTATTCAAAGGCATTGAAGGACGAAATAATGGAAAATTCAATTTCATCCACGCTGGCCAATGTCCTTTATTACATTGATGAACAAAATGTGCGCACTCCAAAAACATTGTCGCTCTAGCGACTATTGGCGCGTAAGGCTGAAAATAAATAAAATTATTTTTTGAATCAATTTTACTTTATTTTTGTATTTTTTGCTAAAACGATTTGTTTTCATTTTAAACTAACCAAATCGAGAAGAGCAGCCATTAAATGATGATCAGGAACAGAGCCAGGCTGACACGTATCCAATAAGAAAGAAAATCTCAACATTCCATCAAAAACTGATCCTCGTGGAACTAAACGTCGTTCTTTTAAAATTACATATTCTGAATCTCTTGACGCTTCACCAGTTTCCAAAGAATTTTTCCGACTGAAATCTTATAGAGAGAAAAATATATTTAAAAAAACAATTAAACAAAAATTGTAAAAAAAAAATTAAATTAAAATAAACTTACAACTCCCTGGTGTTTCTTCCATACTTTCTTTTTTCTTCCCCTTAACTAAACCAATTTTACTCAACTGATTTTCCATTCGACGTTTCGCTTTCTGTAAAGTATGGCTTACGCTGAAAAAAAGAATCTCACAATCAGTATAAATAAAACTATTAACAATAAAATTCAATAATATTTTTTTTAATTATTATAAATACCCTCGGGTAGTTCTGGATGTTCCCCGTTGTCTTCCACGACGTCTTAAACTCGGTTGTTTTACAAAACTACTTTCAGTTGGAGATTCGCTACTGTCATGACTATCAGTTGATTCAGTTCGTCCATATTCCTTCCGGAACCAATTTACTAAAATAATTTGTTGAAAATCATAAATTTAAATAATTAATAAAAAAAAAAACATTTGAATATTTACCTATGCCACCAATTTTTTGACGAGTCGTTTTTCTTGATTTCGGTCTTGAAAAAGGTTCGCCCAGTTCCAAATTTCTTTCACTCTGTCGAGGAGTGAGAACGTGATGTTTTTTCCTTACATTTCCTAAAGGACTTTGACTTGTTTTTGGATTCTCATCGCTTCCGTCTGTCTCCACTAAACTCTATGAATCAATAATTTCATATTAGTTATCGCAAAAAAAATTTATTTACAAATAATGTGTGAAACTCTAAGAGAGTTGCTAAGGATGTGTACCTTCCTGATTATAAATCAGGGGTGAAATTTTTTTTTTTCTCATTTTTTTTTTTTAACTTAAAAATTTGTTCGTGCTTTTGTTTTAATTAAATAATAATTTTGTTTCTTTCTCTAATATACATGCTTTGAATTTTCGATATATTTTCATAATTGATAAATAATTTTTAAATTAAAATAAGTGCTTCTCTAGGAGAGGAAAAAAGAAAGTTCAGCTACACATTTAGAAAATTGTTATTAAACTGGAATCTTACCAGCAACTCTCCCTTGTAATTGCGAGTCATATTTACCGCGCAAGTCGAAGAAGCGCTTCTCTTTTTAAAAAGAAACTTGCGCGTGCCCCTATCATCCGCTCCATAGGCCTCTCCTCCTTCTGCATTTTCCTCCAAATCTGCCGGGTGCATGTGTCTAGAGAAAAAAAAATCCCCCATTTCGAAAAAAAATGTTAAATAATGGAAGATAAAAAAAGAAATCGAAAAAATAGTACCTGATAACTCGAGTGGTTTGAATGTAACTATTACAACGTTTATTAGGCAAATCTGATGAGTCTAAAATTCCACTAAGAACAACACGGCGAAATATTCCCCCATGCGCCTCCTTCACGTACGTCATAAATTGTCGTACATCACAATAGAGAGCAATATTATCCTGTGATTTAAGTTTTTTAATATTTTGCACACAAAGTGTGACAAACGGTTTAAACATATAGGCCATTATTTGTCCTTCAATGCTACGAAAACCATGTGCTGGTGCACCGAGACTACTATATGGTGTTGTGCCACCACCACCACCACCACCTGCAGCAGCAGCAGTTGTCCACGTCGAAGAAGCCGCATTTGTCGATGTTCCCGGTGTCGTTGATGCCGCATTTCCTGACGGAGAACTTCCTGGACCCGATGCTCCACATCCTGCACCAAAATTCGTCGCATAACTCCCTTGAGGCACTGAGTCCGGCGATTTACTTGATCCTCTCTTTTGATCTAATTATAATAAATTCGTCAATTAATTAATAAACAAAAAAAAAATCAAAATAACCAAACTCACTGAGAGGAGAAAGAAGTGAACTCGGCTCCAAACAGAATCCAACATAAGAATGAAAAAGATCCAAAAGTTCATTAATTGGTAGCTCGCGAATTAAAACACGTAATAATTTTGCAAATTGTTTGGGACTAGCTTTATGAAGACGAGTAAGAATTGATTGTGCTTGTGAGCGACAGAGATCGGCTTGTGGTCCACGAATACCATCCGAACATCCATGAGGACATCCAAGATGTTTTATTACCCTTATCACGCAATTCATTAGAATATTATGATCAGAGCCTTTACGTATATTTTGTGTCTCTTCCGGATGTCCTGGACCAGGTTCATTTATTATTGAATCCTGTTTCTTGCTCTCCGTGTCGAATTTGTCACCTGAAAAAAAATTAATTTAAATTACTAAATTAAAAAATTATAAAATAAAATAAATAATTACCATTGAAATAATCCATGGATTCTTCGCGAAGGCACTGTTTTAGTACACCGACTTCGATAAGAGCAACAACCAAATTGAGAATTAATTCACATACTCGAAGTGTACAAAATGTTGTTTCTCGAAGAGCAACATTATGAACCGCCTGTAAAAATGTCAATATTTATTTAAAATTGAAATTATGACAAAAATCGTGGAGAAAAATAATAAACTCACTCGTAGAACGACTCGAAAATCTAAATCTCCTTCTTTGGTGATAAATTTTGCAGAACCTGGAGCTTCGGGTATTTCATCGCCTGTATAGGTAATATTTGAATCGGTTTGTGATCTTGTGAGACTTGGTTTTCTATCGCAATCTAATCGAGATCCATGAATTCCAATTGCATCTAATTGACTGTCAATTGAACCCTAGACAAACAAAATTTGTTATTTCTTTAATGGATTATAAATCATTAAATAATAATTTAATTATCACAAAGTAAATTATATTAATATAATTATAATTTTCTTCTAACTCACGTGTGTTTTTGTAAAATCTGGCGATGGCGTTGGTGTATGTTCCGTGACAGTGATTATAGGATTTTGGGCAGAATAAATTGGACTATAGACGTTACTCTGTTTTCTTTCTACCTTCGTATCACCAATGTATCTATAATGAAAAATTATTAAATCAATATCGTTCAAAAATATTTCTCCTTCATTTTTCAATAATTTTCCATGCCAATTTTTTCAATTTTCAAGCAATCAACTCTATATAATACATAGGCAAATTACCATCTACGTTCTTTTCTACTTTTTGACCTATATTATTATGCTTCCATGCTATTATTTTATTTTTTTTATCTTATGTGATTTAAATTTAATTAATTAAGAATAGTTTTTTAATTCAAGAATCAAAACAATTCAATTGTAAAAAATAAATATTGTTTCATAAGGAACCAAAAATAAAAGAAAAAAACTTTGGGAAAGTTATTTTCTGTTCAGAAAAATTGTTAAAAGTAATTTTTAAAACTACAAAAGAATGGCAAAATAATTAAAAAAATAATTTAATTATTTTTAATTGCTAAAATTATTTTTTAAATTTTCTTAGATTACTTTCTTTTAAATTATTTTGTTTTTGCGGAATATTTGAAGCGTAGTAAACTATTAAAAAAAAATCTACGGAATTTTTTTTGAAGCACTGATTTAATAAAAGCTTGATGATTGATGCTTTCGTGCTCGATTGTAGCTATAAAATGGTGTAAAGTTTTATTTTTTATATATATAAAGGTAGAAGGAAAAGCGTGAATACTTATAATAATATTAATAATAATTACAAAAGTGGAGTCTCGTTTTTAGATTTAATTGTTGACTTACCCTCCCGCGGTCAGCTCGTTAATCAAGCAGCTGAGCACGAGTTCGGGGTGAAAAGACGTACGAGAGATAGAAAAAGGCATACAGAGAGAAAGAAATTACGAATAAGAACGAGAAAATATTAGAAGAAGAAAAAAATCATATTCTTTTAAACGCGAATTTATTTCTATCGACTGCGAAGAACTGAAATTAAGATTAAAATTAAGAATTTGAAAATTTAGTTCAATTAATTCTGATTCTCGTTTAATTATCTACTTAATTGTAAAATTAAAAAAAAAACTATTTTAATGATTTCTATCTAAAAAATTCGTTTAAATTGTTTTTCATAATCAAAATTTATTTGTAATAAAATTTCTAGTGTTATTTACAATTCGATTCTTATCTAATCTATAGTTCTAATTATTCGACAATAAAAATTCTAATTAACTTATTAAAAACAATTCTAATTTATTAATAATCATTCTAATTTATTAATATAACCATTCTAATAATTTTTCAATAATTCTAAAATAAAGATTCTAATAACTGAAATATATTTACACGATTCACATTTCTCATGAAGTAGCTAATATGACTATAAGAATCGAAAAAAATATATCGAAACTTCTAAAAATAATTCTTAAATTGCAAGACAAAAAAAATATGTATATATTAACAATATTTATAATTCTAAATAAATAAAAAATATTCTCGCAGTAAGAAAAGTTTTTTTTTGAAAATAAAGACATTTTTTGAAGACAATTAAAAAAAAGAGTACACAGATAATTGGATATTTAAAATTGTCAATAAGAAAAAACAAATTATATTAGAATATAGTAATTTTTTATAAAAAGAATAAAATGTAGATTTAGAAAAAAAATGTTTCTCTTTACCTCAAACTTGGCATGCTTTTCCCCTTAATTAAATTCGTGGGAAAATGAATGTGATCGACATCTTTGGCATCGAAAATTTTCGAATACGTTGAACCTTGTCTGGTCAAATGATCATCTCCCGTGTCTAAACTTCTGTGACATTCCTTTTGAACAATAAAAAAAAATTTAAATTTTCAATTTGGAAAATATATTTTATGCATTAATATTTACTTGTTCTTGAAGAGGTTTCGATTCTTCTTGGCCAATTTTTTCTAAGGCCTTTTCTGATTTTGAAAGAAGTTTCGTTTCCACAAAGGCTTTTAAATCGGCAATTTTCATTCGTTTTTTCGATTTTTCACTGGCTCTTCTCGTATGACTGCTTTCTGTAAATTTAATAAAAGAAATTGTTTTTTTTGCAAACTAATTAGTTAATTATTATTTATATTTTACCGGCAAGAACAGACGTATCTCGTGTATCGGGAATTTCAATAATTTCCTTTCCGTCGTCCTTCTTTTTAATTTCAGGACTTTGATAAATCGAAACCTCAATTTTTGGAATTGGAAGAGAATTACTACGACGTCGTGGCATTTGTTGCACTGAACTTTGTTCATTGATCCTTTTCAACCTAATTCGAAAAAAATTGACATTTTCATTTCAATTTATAATAAAATTAAAAAAAAGCATTTGTTATACCTATTGAGTAAATATTGAAGAGCCCAAAAAATGCCCTCCTCTTGCCATTGGGCTACAAGAAGGCACCTTAAAACAGAAACATCGAGAAAAGTTGCTGCACGCACATCAACATCAACATTTGATCCTTTAGATCCAGATCCATCGCTTGAAAATCGTTGATTTAATGGGGTTTTTTCTCTCATTTCATCATAACCATAGCTCCTTTCGTCTTTCTCTTTATCGAACTCGCTGTGTAAAAATAGAAAATTGTTTTGAAACTAGAAAATATTGAATACTATTTAAAAAAATTATTACCTTTCTTTTTTCGATTTTCCATCGATGTGTTGACAAGTATCCAAACCGGAAATGGCAGTGACTTGCTCTATTGTAACAGTCGATCTTGAACTGGTCCTTCCACCCATTGCAACGTGAAAAATACTCGCATCACCCTAATTACAATAGTAGAAATTTTAATATTTTATTATCAAAATAAAATAATAAAACTAAAAACAAATTTAAAAATTAATTAATTGTTTTCTTTCCACTCACTGCAATTATTGTTGAAACTTCTTTTACCCCGTCAATTATTCTATCAGATTCACTCAATGATGGAAGCCTAAATATGACCTGAAACGATGGTAATTGATTTTTAAGAAAAATATAAATTACATTAGAGAAAAAAAATAAGAAAAAGAAAAAATCTTACAACATGTTCGTCCTCTGTACTCGAACTTTCTTCCGGAATAGTTTCCGGAAATACTGTATCTTTCGGTGATGAAACCCAGGAGCCCTGAAGAGAAAAGAAATTTTAAAAAAATATATTTTTATTTATTAAAAAAATTTGCGATAGGAAATGAAAAAAAAATATTTACTTCATCGTCTTGAAGTTTCGTTGACGGCACCAAACTCGAGTCTGATATACTCGCTGTTTGACTCGGCGGACTGTCTGTGTCTGAAAAAAAAATTAAATAAGAAATATTTTGAAAATTTGATTTTTTAAAAAGAAAATATAAATAAAATAAATAGAAAAATTAATAATAGTTATTTTATAATATAATAAAACAAGCAGGATTCTTACTTCCAAAAAAAACATCATCTTGGACTTGTTGCTTTTTCGTGGTTCTTGTTGATTTGCTCCAAAGTGCTCTTGGTTTTGGACGAACATGAGCCGTAAAACATGAAGCCTCAGGATGACGAAATTCACACATGGCATTCCATATTTTCAAACCATTTTCTAAACGAAGATTTGATTTGAAATCAATGTCCTTTAAATGATTGCACATTGGTGCAAAAAGATAAACAAAAACCTGAAAAAATAATTTTGATTACTAATTAAATCTTTAAAAAATTGAAAATTAAAGTTATGAAATTAAAAAGAAAATACTATTACCGTCATAGTAGGTATTGAAAAGAGATAATAAAATGGATTATTGATGTCACCATCGGAGTCTGCACATTCCTCAGCTGAATCCAACAAAATCCAATGTAAAATATATAACAAAGTTGTTTCCATTGCGCCTAAATTTTGCAGATCTTTCCTAAAAAAAATTATAAAATTTGTAAACTACCAAATTGTTATATTCAATTAAATAATTAAGATAAATGATCATGGAAGAAAGATCAAATTACGATTAAATATAAATTTTAAAATAATAAATCAAAATAAAAAGAATTTTTTTTAACAATTAGAAAAAATTTTTAGGAAAAAACAACTCACTTGCAATTTAAAACGTTTGAAGTGGCATGAAGAACAACAGGAAGAGCTGCTTGAATCAAACGCCACCTCGGGATGCTGGCCAACATTTTTCTTAAAGATGGTGTGAGTTCATTGTGCAGATTTTGGACCAACACCTTCTCCATAGACTTAAAAAAAAGAAAAATAGTTTTATTAAATTATTTGATGAAATTTATTAAATTATCTTCTGATTTAAATAAATTGTAAGTGATTTAAAAAAATATATATTTACCGTGCAAGCTTCTTTCATTTCCTATTTATAAAGCCATTGATATTGCATGAAATAAATTATTATTTTAATAACAATGAATTAAAAATTTACAATGATAAAAACATTGTTTTAAAACAGTACCAAAACATGTGTAGTAATTAGATCACATTTAAATATACTTTACAATTACATGTGAATTACTCAATAATTACAAATAGAATAAAAAAAAATACTAAAATTAAAATAAATCCAAAAAAATATGCAATATTTATAAAGAAAAAAATCAGTCAATTAAATTTATGTTCATTTATTTAAATAAGAAACCGAAACTGATTCTTTTCTTTTAAAAAAAAATTCCTGTAAAATATAAAATTCAACTTACTTTACAAAATGTTAATAAGCAACAATTACAACTATATATTACAAAATGTTATAATGAACAGAAATGTTTATTACAATTATGTAATAATTGAATAAAATATTTGTAAAAAGAAAATTAACTAAATTTGAATCATCGCATTAAATCTAAATAAGTCGAAAAATAACAAAACTTTATTAAACTGTCATTTATGGAAATTTGTCAATGATTCAAATTTAGAAAAATAGTACAATAATATTAATTAATATAGCGATAATTTGTTTAAAATAAAGCTAATACATTTAGTTCTACTGTATATATCAAATGTCGATTGTTCGATGATCTTACGTAGAAGAAACAATTATTTTCTTATACGAATTATTGTATTAAATGGTGTCAGTGATTTGTTAATTATATATTAATATTTGTCATATATAATTTAAGTAATTGGGTATTTTAGAAAATGAATTAAATTGTTTTTTAGTGGTGCCATTCAGAAATATATAAACATTCATATTTAACATGTGTAATTATAAATTGCATACTTTTTAAAAATAATTTGGTGCTTGCAAAACAAAATTGTTTAATCAATAATTTTTTATTATAATAAAATTTTAATTTACTAATATAAAAAATTATTATTTTGTTAAAACAAAATATTTTGTTGTATATATAATAATTAAATAACAAAATGTGTTTGACATATCAAGTTGAAAGTTATTTTAAACACGTGCAACTGTAAAAATTTACATAATATAGGGGGAGTGATGATTGTATTTATATTTAAGAGATGATAGTGAATTGTTGTCACGAGAAAATATAGCGATGTGTTGGAAATTGATCTTGTGGTTATAAATACTGTACGATATCATGCAGCCAGACGGGTTATTATTTTTTTTTTTTTTTTGCAAGCAGGTGGCAAAAGGACAGCGAACTTACATGATGACCGGGCGCGTGTTGACAGAACTGCAGGTGACACGTGGAGACGGCCGCGTGGAGTTTTTTTTTTTTTTGTTAGTGCAGGTCAGGTAGCTCAGGCAGGATAAGGTCATCGGGGTAATTGAGGATTTTTTTTTATAAGGATTTGCTCCATTTACTATATAATATTTCAAGTAGTACGGAATATTTAAAATTAATATTCCGGAAATATTGAAATATCTCACTTTTGTAAAATATTCTAGATTGAAAAATTATTGAAATATTCCAACATTCCAGGATTATTTAAATTTTTTTCTATGCAAATAGATTTTGAGAACAAAATTTATAGAATTTACAGAATAATTGTCTAAATATTATATTATTTCCTTTTTTTAGACACAATGTTTCAATTTGAAACATCTTTCCGATTTTTACAAGAGAACAAAATTTAAATAAACTTTATAATAAATAATTTTGTTAAGTATATTTCCCTTTAAAATTGAAGCATGATTTTGCTAACCTAATTCGATTAATTTATTGATTATCGGATAGATAATAATTTTATTGAGGGTCATCCCAACATCTCAATAAAATTAATTATCAAAGGGAAATTATTATATTGCAATAATTCACGGGTGTAAATGGCTTATCGATATATATATATATATATATACATAGAAAATATATAGCAAATAAACCAGAAAAAATATTCCATTTCTTTAAATTAAATTTTATCTTGTTTGTTATAAATATTTTTTCTGGTTATCAATAAAATATATATTTACAATAGAAATCTTGCAGTGCGAATACATTTCTAAATTACAATTTAACACCAAGTTTTTACGTTATTTTTTTTAAATTTTCATTTAATTTTGTAACAATTTTTTAAAATATTTTTTTGAATATTAATTTTTAAAGGTTATTTCAATATTAATTTTAATAATTGTTTTAATAATTATTTCAAATTGAATTAATATTTATAATAATTAATTCGTAAGTAGAAAAAATAAATTTTAGGGGGGAGGAGAGAATTTAATTTGAAGTTAAAATAATAATATTATGTAAAATAAATCTCACCACACATGAAGCCTCGTGTAGCTTGCCGAGTTTTGAACGAGTGAAAGGCCTGAAAATTACAAATTAATTTTTTCATACATTTTTGTTTTTGAAGAAAATTAATAATTATTGAAAATATTCATCACCCACCGAAGTTGGGACCAAAGATACAATTGAATTGGAATAGGCAGAGGTTGTTCAATAGCATTTGCATCCAAAGATTTTCGTTGCTCCATTTTAAGTTTTTCTAAAAAAAAAAAAAGAAAAAATTAACATTTTCAAAAAAAAAATAAATTAAAAATATTTTATTTTATACATATTTATTAAAATTACAATTGTCAGTTACAATAAATTAAAAAAAAAAAAAAATTTGCTTAAAATAAAAATAAAATAGAAATTTCAAAGAAAAAAATCAAGTGAAATTACTTATTAAAATATGGGTAAAATCAGTGCATAATGAGATGTTTGGATATTGTTAAAAGTCGAGGGGGAGAAAAGTTAAAAAGACGTGGATTCGCGCCAACACTGATAAAATTTATTATTTGCACTAGGAAACAATCACAGATTGTCAATAATGCCATAGTAAAAATATTTATGATTGACATTTCTATATATCTATAATATAGGTGATCACGTGTCACTTTGATCTAGTGATACACTTTCGCCATTTTTGAGTAGGGAAACCTGCTTCTGTTTTTTTTCGCCCCCCTTTTTTCTAAAAGGAAGATCTGTGTCACCTGAGGGTGATTCGTGGACTAAGAGGGATGATATAAGGGATGTACTTTCCGTGAAAAAGTAGAATGGGAATGCGCGCGCGACTCTTTGGAAATCCAATGCGCCGCTGTTCATCGATCAGCTATGAGGAAACTGCTGTATGTCGCTGGACCAACCCAATCTAAACATCCAAGTGCCTTACATTTTCAAGAATTTTCTATTTTAATAAAGATATTTCCCTTCGATTTTAATTTTTTTTTTATTCCATCTAATCGACACTTTTAATATTCATTATTTTTCCTGATTTTCATTCATTCTAAATTTTCTACAATTTTTTCTAATCACAAAGTTTATGTATCTTCTTATTATGAAAGTAAATTTTAGACATTAAAATAAATAATTAAAAAAATGAACTTACGTTATTTTTTTCTCGTGTATTTTTACTGTCCTCATTTTTCTATTATTAATCAGACATGTTCTTAATTTTTTTTCAAAAAAATCCTCAACATCCTTTAATTTCATATCCATCTCGATAGAAATTTCATTTGCATTATTTTTATTTACACTGTCATCTTTTTTTCTTATTTTTGACTTTTTCGAAGATATTGATTTAACTTCAATACAAACTTGAGTTCCTGATACACGTTTCGCTTCATTTTTCACAACATTACACACGTCTTTCCACAATTCACGTTGTGGTGGATGTAATGTTTCCACTAATTGTTGAAAAGTCTCCCAATCCATTCCTTCCTCGCCATTTAAAATTTTTTTGTACAATGAAGATATTTTTAATGTTTCACTCATTTCATTATTTGTTTCAGAAGATATTTTTTCAAAATTCAATTCATTTCCCGAGTGTTTAGAATTAAAATTTTTTAGTTTATTGACACTGGCAGATGCGTTGATTTTTTTGTCATTCTCTTCTTCATTGAATGGTGTTTGAATTTTTTCACGTGGAATATCAATAAGAGAAGTTTGTATTCCAGTCGATTGACAAATTTTAATTTGTTGAGAATTCTTTTTTTCTACTGAAAATATTTGTCCCTGTGAAGATATCTTTTCCTGTGACAATATCTTTTCTTGGCAAGTTTTCTTCTTTTGTTTTCTTCTTATATTTTCGGGCAAAGATTTTTTCCTCTCAAGAGATTCTTTTGACGAAGATTTTTTCTCTTGTAATAATTTTAATTTTTGTAGAGATTTTCTTTTTTGCACCAATTTGTTCCTTTGGGGAGATTTTATTTTTTCTGAAGATTTTCGTTTGCTGTCTAAACAAGGGTTTGACAATTCATCGTTTGAATTTTCTTCTGAAGAATAATTGAAATCTATACTTTCTTCATTTTCTTCTTCTACTTGTGATAATAATTTTTTCTCATCGAGAAAATAATTTTTAGAAATCATTTCTTCTTCATCACCACGATTCAATGATTCATTATCATTAGGAGAAAATTTTGATTTTAAACTATCACCAGGGCTGTCGAGATGCTGATATAATCCCTCAACTTCTGGAAGATGTGAAGAAATATTTTTTGTAAAATCTCCCTTTGCCAAATGTTTTTCCACATTTTCCTCAATTTCTTTCTGATCTCTTTCAATTTCCGTAATAAACAATTGCTCTTCTCCAATTGTTATTTCTTCTTTTTCATCATTTCCTTTTATTTTTGTCATTTTAATAGAACATTTTGAATTGGAATCTTTTTTAAAATTATTATTTTTCAATTCCAGTATTTTTGTTACATCAATTATACTGTCTTGAGAATTTTTTTTATTTATCTTACTAATTGTATCATCATCTTCATTGATATTAATTTTATTTGTCACAATTTCCGATAATTGTTTTTGATTTAATTTACGATTTAAAATAAATTGTGAGAGTTTCATTTTTGATTTGGGAATATTTGACATTTTTCGAGTGGGAATTATGTCAACTTGAATTACCGGTCGATCGGGATATTTAATAATTTTTCGACAATTTAATTTTTCCGGATTTTGTTCATTTGATTCGTCATCATTGTTAATTAGAAAAGAATTCAATTGTCGTTCTGAATTTAAGGTACAGGAATTTGTATTTTGCTTTACATTTGATTCATTTTTGGGGAATTTTTTATATTTTTCATTTACTTGGACAACAGTTGTTGGATTGTGAAAATGATTCTTTTTATTTTCATCTTTTTGAATGGATTTCACTCGTTCTTCATGAAATTTTAAATAACTGTTACTCTTAAAACGTTCAGATGGTGATCTGGAAAATGATTGATTGCTTTTTTTCAAATACAATGTGAACATAATTAATTAAAAGTAAAATAATTAAATAAATTTTTTACCTGGAAGTTAGAAAATTACGAGATCCTTTTTCTAAGGGTTTGCTAATTGTGCGATATTTTCTTTTCTTATTTAAACTAATAACTCCACATTGTTCACATTTTATCAAAGAATTGTCATTTGTCAAAATAGTCTTCATCTTTTTATCATCAACATTCCAATATTCGAGGAGATATTTTAATTTCAAAATAACATCGGCAATTGATGTTTCCGTTGATTCGGTAAATTTTAAGCAATCTGGTTTTAAAGCGACTAAAAGTTTGGTAAAAGCTCCCAATTCTACAAATGATTCCCATTCCATTGACGATGAATCTTTGAAAAATTGTTCACCATTATTATTTTTTGATTTTGAAGCATGACGTTTATAATTATTATTTAGAAATGACGATGCATTGGAATCGGATTCAGCGTCTGATTCATAATCAACATTTTTTAAATGTGGAATTTTTGACATTGCCGCATGTAAACTTTCGGTGACATCAACTTCGAGGAAAAAATCCGTTTCCTTGAATTTTCTCTTATTAAAATCATTTCCAAAATCTGTCATTTCATTGTTGTCATAGTTATTTTTTTCAAGTTGTATTATTTTCTTTTTTTTTAATGGGATAATCTGAAAAAAATTGAGTTCATTTAATATGCTACAATTTTATTTTTCAATTTTGTTAAATTGAAAGAATTTTTGAAAAAATTAAATAAGGTTACTAAAAAAATAGTTTACTTGTTACATTCTCTGTTTTTTTTATAATTTACAAAAGTTTTTGTGTTATTAACATTTTTGTGCAAAATTTTTATTATTATTTTATAAATATTTTCAAAAAGTTTTGTAATTTCTGGCCTTAGGATTTAATCTACTTGCAAATTTAACCTTCCGACATGATGATTTTGATTAATGAGAATCAAAACTCTGAATTATGTTACAAAACAATTTTTATAAATTGTTTCGAGATTGTTTTTTTTCGAGAGTGAAGAAATAAAAATAAAAAGGAAGAATTTCTTCTTTTTAAGAGGTAAGAAGAATATTAAAGCTAAAAATAGAGACACAATTTTCTATTCTATTTGTAATGAAGAAATAAAAATTGAAGACAAAAATGAAGCTATTATAAAAATTTTGTTGACGGAAAATTATTATTCTATTTTTGTCATTGGTTCAGACTTTGGGCTAAAGATATAATTATAATAGAAATTAAAGAAGGGAGCTGAGAATAAATTTCGAAATCTTTTTTTCATTTCATTTTTGGGTAGGAAAAAATAAAAATGCTTTTTTAAAAATATTCTTAAATGAAAAAATTTTGAGAAGCCTATTTGTAGATTTAGGTCGTGGTAAAGAGGAGAGGAAAAGTGAACGGAAGACGGAAAAGTATTGACATTGACATTAGAAATTTATTTTTAAGACGATGATTCAGATATTATTGAAACATACTTTATGTCATATGTACAATAATTGGGCATTTGTATTAGAGATGATTTTACTTTTAATTAACGCGTCTGAAGAATCGAAGAATAATCAAAAAATTATTGTTTACTAGAAATTTTTTCCAACTGAAAACAATTTTTTCCAAAATACTATATTAAATTTCAGAAAATAGTTATTTTTTCCCAAAAAAGAAATATTTTAAAATGAAAAATAAATTTTTTTCAGGAATTATTTAAAAAATGATGGTTTTTATCCGGGATTTCTCTGAGATAAAAAATATTGTGAAACAAGGAGGAGACGGATATTTACAATATGGGGGAAAGATGAGGAGCGGGAGCAAAGGTTCCAAAACTGTTTTTGGATCCGTGACGTTGTCGAATTTAGATTTTTGTATATAGATCTTTTCGTGATCTCGAATGTCTGACGAGTGCGCCCTCTGGGAAAATAAAATGATTAAGCGCGGAAGCTTTTGCTCGCACTTCTGGTTCTTGCTTCGTTTCGTCTACATTCAAAGGCTATCATCAGAATCAAGCAGCTACCATGGTAATTGGAATTTTCAAATAATTTTCCACTTTTTTGAATTTTTATTTCCCTGCTTTTTTTTTTCTTGTGGTATTCAAGAGAAAAATTTTGTTTTTTAAAAATGTTTATTGAGTAAAGATTAACTTTGTCATCAATTTAAAATCATTTCTTCATTTTAAACTTTTTTAAAATAAGAATATAAAAATTATATTTCATTATTCTTATTTTAAAGAAAATTTAATTTAATTTGTCCTAATTTAATGTAATGAATTTCTTATCCAAAAATTTGTAAATGACTTGTAAAATTGATAAATCCATTAATATCGATATTTTTTTTTTAAATCCATAAAATTATTCATTTTTTGTGCTTTTTCTCGAAAAAAAAACTAAGAGATTTTTAATGTTCTTTTATCTCAAAGGAAATTTGTTTAATTTTAAAAATTTACTATTTAATTCTAATTATTTGTACTCAATTTATATTAAATTGGTTTTTAATTAATAAAAATAAATTTGTTTTATTTCAGGCTGATTTACTGCCCAAGGAAGTCGAAAGTGAGTAACGTGCAAGGACAGTAAATTAAGTGTTAAAAAAAATTATTAAAAAGTGAAAGTGTCAAGCGAAAAAATCTACAAGTTTTTCTAGTGCTTATGAGTGTTTCACTAAATTTAAGTGATAAAATTTGAGTCTATATTTTAAAAAAACAAATTTAAGAATTAAATAACAAAATATTCGAAAAATTTTAATTTCATTAATTACGTTTCTTTAAAAGCAAAAACTGAAGAAATGAAAAAATAATTGATAAATGAAGAAAATGTCTCTTGTTTTTGAATTTCGTTATATAGATTATTTTTAATTACGTAAGAAAGCGAACCATTCGTCGAAGTTTCCGATCCAATTGTGGAAGCAAGCGTTTCGTGTTTAAAATAGTTTTCATGCTGATCTTATATGGTTGGCCGGGGGGTAATGTGACCCAGAGTTTGTGTGTGCGGGGGACGTCAGATCCACTGAAGCTAAAAATAGTATCCGATATTTTTGAAATTAATTCTTCTTCGTGAATACTTTCTGAAATTAAAATTAAAAAAATACATTATTTAAACAAATCGACTTTTTTTTACAAAAAAAAAAAAAATTAAATTAATTTGTTTTTTTTTATCATTTTTAAATCTTAAAATCAGAGTTTCAAAATTTTATCTAAAAAAATTTTTTAATGAATTTTTACTCACGTCTTAAATTTAAAAAATAATGTAGTACTTCAATTGCTTCCAATATTGGGGAAAAAATCATCATTGACCATCTGAAAAATATTTCATAAATTAAAAATTAATCAAAAGTTACAATTAAATTATAATGGATTATTTTTTTTGGGAAATAATTTCTTATTTTACAAATATTATTTAATAAACTGAAATTAGTAAATTTAGTTAGATAATTAGTTATTAATCGAAATATTTTCAAATTTAAAATTAATGCAGTCAAGAAATTAAAAAAAAAATATGTGTTTTTTTACAGAGGCACAATTCGCCTTCTCCATCTACGATGCTGATGGCTCAAATGTCATTGATGCTTGTGATTTAGGAAATGTTCTTCGTGCTTTAAATTGTAATCCAACAAATGCAACTATTCAAAAATTCGGTGGCACTGAAAAACGTGGCGAAAAAACAATGAGTGTTGAGGAATTTTTGCCAATTTTCAGTGACGCCAAAAAAGACAAGGACCAAGGATGCTATGAGGATTTCCTCGAGTGTTTGAAACTCTACGACAAACAGGAAAATGGAACCATGCTTTTGGCTGAACTTTCCCATTTATTAGTAACATTGGGTGAGAATTTAAAAATATTTTTATTAAAAAAAAAATTAAATTAAAAAAATTAAATTAAAAAAATTAAATTTAAAAATTTTGATATTTGAAATTTTATCAAAAATATTTTTCTCAGTAATTGTACAATTGTACGAAAGGGCACTGTCCGTAAATATGTTAAATAAATAAATAAATTAAAAAATAAAAAATTTCTCTAGGTGAAAAATTGGATGAATCCCAAGTCGAGGAAGTTTTCAGAGACTGCTTGGACCCTGAAGATGAAGATGGTTTCATCCCCTACACCCGTAAGTTTGTTTTTTATTATACCCTCAACTCAAAAAAAAAAGAAAATTAAAAACCTCATAACTTTTGTTATTAATATTGATAAAATAGTAGAAATTTGTACCCTATTTTCCTCCCTTAAAAAACCTTTTTTTTTAGTAGATATTTGTTCCTCTCCCTTGTAAAAAATTTTTTTTTAAATGTAGTTTTTTAGCAAAAAAATTTTCTCGATTCATATGGAGTATTTTGTTGTTGGCTGAACGCAAGAGGTCGTACTTCCGATTTAAAGAAATCTTTATCTCCCATAGGTTTGATTTTCCCAATTTTCTTTTTTGTGATTTACAGCTTTCATCAAGAAATTTATGGCGTAAAATGTGTGTCGAGAGATTCATTAATCAACAAATAAGAGATGTCGTCAGTCGTAAGTTGATAGTGTCCTGCTAAATTTTCTCTATTTTTGCTAAATTTTTATATGCTTCCGCTTTTTTCTTCGTTTCCTTTCTATATTATCAATTTATAGGAAAAATGCAACGTTGCAGCGCTGCAGAGATGCTGAAATCGATAACCGCTTTCTGTCATAATAAGAGAACAAAACGAATGCTTTTATTCGATTCCTTCCATTTCTTTTTTTTTTATCAATCTTTGCCAATTTCTTAATTCCTTTTTTTACTTCTATTATATGTGTATGTCTCTAATTATTAAATTGTACTATTTAAGTGTATGGAGGTCAAAAAAACCTTGAGATGCCAGGTTTAAATATACTTCACACTCATTTCACTTATAAATTAAATATTTTCACAAAAAAAAAAAAAATTATAGAAAACAAATCACACATTCATTATTCTTGTTGCTTCTCTTCGAAAAAAACGTAATGCAATTTTAAAAAAAAGAATAACAATCGCTTTTGAAAAGAAGAAAATTCTTCTAATTTTTCAAAAATCTAATAATTTTTAATATACTATTTTCTATATCTATATACTCTCTGTATACTTTTCTGTCTTCGCGTTTTGTACTGTCAAAATTTTCTCTGTTGAAAAGGAAAAAAAAAAATTTTACTGTGAATGTAAATTTTTTTTTCTTCATTTTTCAAATCAAAAATTAATTTTTGTGTCTTCGCTCTAATAGTGTAAAAAGTAGTAAAAATAATTCATCATTTGTTTATATTTAATAGTAATTTATTTTTAATTGATTTTTTAAAAACAGAAATAATTTTCTTTAAATTAATTATAATTTAATAATAATTTTTTTTTATTATTTTAATATACGTAAATTTTTTTTTGCTTTTACTACTTTTTTTTATCGCTATTTGTACTGTCCAAAACCAAAAAAAAAAGGAGAAAAGAAGTGACATTTCTTCAGATGAAAAAATAAAAAAGAAAAATTATCATTTTTGAAATTAAAAAATGAATTTTCAATTTTACAGCATTCCTGAAACGACTGTGCGAAAGAGCAGCTGCCGGCTCTGAAGATTAATTCGTCATTATTTTTTTTTCCTCCTCTACGCAACATTATTGGGAAACTGTTATACGGTTTTATTCAACACTTCCATATATTATATATAATTAAGACGAATGCGAAAAAATTCCATTCGACTTTTTTACAATCATTTACACATTCATCTATAATTAAATAACAAAAAAAGAAGCGAAAAAAAAATCGAAAAATATATTAATTTATCCCACAGGAACATAGACATTTATTTATTCCCTATAGATTTCATTTTATCTTTTTAAGAATGTATATTGTATTCCAACAAAAAAAAAGAAAAAAAAATTGTATTTCGAGTGAATTTGTATTAAAAATAAAAACGATAAATCGAAATCAACACAATATATATATTATGTACAATATTATAACTTAATAAATTATTTGTTATATGGTTACGAAATAAAAAGTATTTGTTTATTAAATGTTCTTGAAGAATAAAAGAACAATATATGAATTTATTGCGTTCTTTTGTTTTGCAATTTTTTTTTAACGCAATTATAAATTAAATTTAGAATTTAATTTTAGATTAAGTTTATTAAAGAATTTAAAAAAGAAATTTTTTTTCGAAAAAATAATTAAAAATTTAAATTTTTAGTATTTGTTTTCGATTAAATTAGATTTATTAGTATTTTTTCATTGCAATTTTTCATTTTAATTCTGTCTGACAAAAACAGTTTTCTACTTTAAATATTATTAATTTGTCAACAAAAGCTACTTTTAGTTAAAATTTGCATTCTGATTGACATAAAAAGATTTTCTATTTTAATTTGTAATATTTGTCTGACTTAAAAGGCTTTTTCTACTTAAACATTCATATTTTTGTCTCATTACATTAAATTCACAATTAAGTTCAAAAAAATGTTAAAAAGCTAATAAAAGATTTATTTTAAGTGAAAAAAAGTTTCTATAGTCAGACAATTACTTTTTTTAAAAAAATGTTTACTTGCATTTAAAAAAATTTACAATTTAAATGGAAAACGATTTCTTTATTAAAAAGTTATTGTTTAAGTAGAAAACAGTGTTTATAGTCAGACAATTATTTTTTTACACTTTAATTGCGTTTGAAAAAAATAGAAAAAGTCATCTTGATTAACAAAAGTTATATTTTAAGTAGAAAAAGTTGATATAGTCAGACAAGTAAAATTTTAAGTAGAAAAAGTTGATGTAGTCAGACAAGTAAAATTTAAGTAGAAATAAGTATTTACAGTCAGACTTATTTTAAGTAGAGACAAGTTTGTCACAGTCAGACAAGTAGTATTCTAAGGAGAAAAATGGAAATATTTTCCTGTCTGACCAGAACATATTTTTCTACTTACAATTTTGACTTGTCTGACTACAAAAATTTTTTATCAATTCGACGATTTTTAATAAAAAAAATAGTTACTGTCTGACTATTAACAAATTTTTCTACTCTACAAGTGATAAATAAATTTTTGCCTAACATCTTTTAGTTAAAATATATTGTCAGTAACATAAAATTTTTTTAAATAATAACTGTCTGACTATAAAATCTTTTACTACTTAAAATATTAATTGTCTGACCATAACAATTATTTCTACTCCAAATCTGCTTTGTCTGACTATGACAATCTTTTTCTACTTAAAATATTTTTATTTATGTTTTACAAAAAATTATTTTAACATTGTTTTTGTGTAGATACAATAAATATAATCTGTCTGACCATGATAAACTATTCTCCTTAAAATATGAATTTTGTCTGACCATGACAAGTTTTTTTCACTCAACAATATGAATTCGATGTTACATACGGCAAGACTATTTCCCATACAATAAAATTTTGATTTCTATTCAAAATAAAAATCAAACTTTTTTCTTAAAAAAAATTTTTTTATTTGCAATTTTTTTAATTAAAAAAAGAAAAGTTCAATAAGAACCACTGTTCGTTGCATGGATCGTGAACACTCGGTTCTATTCGTAAGAGTCGGGCGTGGGGCCTTCGACAAAGCCCGGCAGCCCGGTAGACATTCAGTCAGTTTAAACGCGTCGAATCTGTAGCTTCGTCGGTCGTTGTTTATTATTACATATATATATATACACACACGGTGAGAGAGAGAGAGAAAGAGAGAGTAAATCTCTTACGCGCAAGTGTCAATATTTCATAAAAAAAAAAATCTACGTCAGTTTTTTTTCTTTTCAAATTCGGCTAATTATCATTTATAAATTAATAATTTAGTGATTTTTGGAAAAAAAAGAAGTTTTAACTTACTTTCCCTTCTCACTGGGAGAAGAGAATGACAGACGTGCAGCAAAAGCTCGGTGATCCGAGTAAAGGGGACGCTGCATCCAGTGTCAGGTCGAAGACCGCCTCGTCCCCGCAAACAGGTGAGAGCTTTTCTCCCATTGACTTCCTATTTTAGAAAAAAATAAAAATAATTAATTTTTCAAAATTGTTTTCCCTTTTATTTAAAAAAAAACACTTCTTTTCTTTTAGATATTACATTCAGCGATATTATTTCATTTTTTTATCTTAAAAATAATTTTTGTTTACAAAACAATAATTTTTATTTTTTAAAAAATTTTCCTTGAAAAAAAATTTTAAACTTAAAAATTTTAACTCTGTTTCTAAATATTTAAAAATATTGCAAATATATAAGTAGGTAAAATTTACTTTTTGCAAAATTTGCTTTTACATTTCTTTTTATTCAAAACCATTTATATTTATTTAACAACTTCAAATTATTACATAAATCATTTTTTTCTTTTTATTTTCTTTTCCTTCTATTTCACGTATTTCTGATTTTTTGTAATAAAACGTAATTTTATTTTTTCAAATTTTAATAGCTGTAATATTTCCTGTATAATTTTTTTTTAAATTTTATGTTCCCAAATGAGAATGTTCATTGATCACGAATAGGCGAGACGTCGTTTAAATTAAAATCAATGATGATGAGGTGTTTTCTATTGATGCTACGTTATATATAAGACAGGGTAGGTGACCCAGTAATAGCAAGATTTACAAATTTGATAAAAAAAAAATATATTGACAAAAGTGTCATATAAAACTATTGTTTTATATATTATTAATTTGAAATTTTACACGTTTTATCGAATAAATATTGTTTTCAAGGGGAATTTAAAAAATATGATTCATTTTCATTTATGGTTTCTTAATTATTAATTATAAAAATTGATTTATTTATTAATTCATAACGAATTAATTAAAGTTATTAATTACTAAAATTAATGTTTTTTTTTATCTAAAATATAAAAAAAATAATTTTTTTATAATAAATTTAATTTTTAATTAATTAATAATTTCATTAGTTAATAACTATTTTTTATAATCTTGGTATTTAAGAAATTTTTTTCAAAGGTCAATTTAAAAAAAAAAAGTGAAAATTGCACTTTAAAGTGCAATCGCTTCATATATAGTGAAAATAGTTGCATTGATCAACCTACGTGTTTCGATCTACATTCTTAAGTTCCCAACACAACACTCGCACAGGTGAGTTTGTGTTGCATAATCATTGGAGTTTGCACAGCGATAGGGAAATGTACCATGACAATATAATTCTCGCGTAAATCTGCGTTCAAAATATAAATGATAATTTATTATAAAATTTTGCAAAAAAAAATTTTTTTTGAATAAATTCTTATTTACAAAAAAAAAAAAAATTAATTATCCTTCGCTAATAGTAAAACTTGATTTAAAAAAAAAACAAAATAATTTATAGTTTTCAAATAAAAAAAATAATTATTAAATAAAATAATAATTAAATAAAATAAATAAATAAAACACAAAATAAAGCACAAGTATTCTATAAAATTCCTACAAAAAATGGAATTAAATTATTTTGTACAAGGAAAATTTTTAATTAAATAAAAACACGACGTAAATAAAAAAACTTGGCATTTTTTTTACGAATCAAATAAATAAATAAAAAAGAAGAAAAAATTGTTTTAATTGAACAGATCTTTTTTTTCAAATGTAGAAAATCAATAATATGATGTAAGTACCACAAAGATGAGGGTGTGAGACAAAATGAGTCATATATACGAATCTAGTCGATCAATATTTCGGCAATGATTTTAGTATCTCTAACATTTATCATATTTTTTTTTATCGTCGTGTCTTTTAAACTATAATAATATTTCTATAATAAGAAACAAAAGTCTATATAGTACCTTAAGATAATTGCAGGTAAATATTGTCTGAATGAGGTAATCATTGCGTTTAAAATTGATAAGATATAGTGCATAAGTTCGAGGAAACGTCCTCCATTATTATTATATTAGAAACTTTTCTTGCAATTGTTTAAAATAATTTTTTTTTACAAAAATTCAAGAACCTTGTGAGAAATGAAGATCAAACAGGTTGGTGTGTATATTTATCAATATTTAATCTCATAAACATATTTCTGACACTTGTTGTTTCTATCAATTTTTTTTTTCATTGTCAAATTTTTTTTTTAAAGTTTATATATAATCCTGCATATATTTATTACTGTTATTATTATAAATAAATTATGATTCACAAAATAATACACTGAAAAAAAAATTTATTTCATTCAAATACTCGACTATTATCAAATAAATATTTATTTGTATCAAATAATTATTATTTGAATCAATTAAATAGTAGATATTTATTTCAAATACAGAAATTATTGGTTCAAGTAAATATTTATTTGATAATAGTCAAGTAATCGAGTATTTGAATAAAATAATTTTTTTTTCAGTGTATAATTTAATAATAATACATATATAATAATAATAACAATCCACTTCAAAGGAGCAGAGGGGGGTGAAAAAAAATCCAATTTTTATGTATTATAAAATAATAAAATTGAATAATGGAAATGAAATATAAATTATAGAAATGAATATTAAGAAAATAATAAAATAAAGTAATTTTCTAAATGATCCATATGATAATAAAAAAATCAATTTTTCTGATATAACAATTTCCGCAGCTGTTAAAAAAAGAATTAGGCCACTACAATGACAACTAAATCGTGATAGGGCAAATGGTTATTCTCTGCAGTTCTTATAATGTGTAATTTTATATTTGACGTGTATTTCATTCACGTATAAATATATATATATATATATATATATATATATATATATATATATATATATATATATTTAGAATATTGCACATTTACATTCATTTTATTTGCTTCATGAACATTATTTTTAGAGGGCATTAGACCCGATGAGAAAATTTAAAGTCG